ATTCGGCAGGGTAAAGCATGCGCATTGCGTACCATCACCTCCAGCATATACACTTTGGAAAATAAATGGAGTCGACAAATTGATAAAACAAACAGAAACGGCGCTTCATCTCGATTTCAAAGATGCAAACTTGGGCTGTATCATTCAAATGTCAAACTGAAAAATCGATATCGACGAAAACTCCTTAAAATGAAAAATGACACACAGTTTATCACTCAAACAACGTCAATAATATTCTCTGTGTTATTCGTCACTTGAATTCAAATAAATTCAATCAAAGTGTGTTGTGTTTTGCAAAGGTCGAAACCACACCTAAAAGATTTGAAGGCAAAATTCAAGTGCAATCCATGAGCTCTGTTAAAATGTTCTCTTTTTTTTCTCATATTCATCGAAATAAACAATTTACTATACATGACGTGACGAATGCTAGGCAGTAACAATAAAAAGATACTCGATGTGTCTAGGGACTATATACATAAAAAAATAATTTATCAAAAACATTACATTTTTTTGTTATTCGGTTATAGAAGCAACCATATAACGTTCGTTTTTTTATCGTCATTTCTGATTATCTACATGTCATTGTGTCCAATAAAAATGTATCTGTGTCTGTCGTAAACCCGCTAATTACTTGACCCATTCGACGGTGAATTTTTCATTTTAGCCCCATTGCTAAAAGAACATGGGTAAATAAAATGTCGGCCGGTTCGTATTGTGTATGCGTAGTTGTCGATGAAAAATATGCATTGTAGCTCCTGTTGCTCTATCTCTCTGTGTGTCTCAGAGCACTGGCAACGTGTTTCTTTTTTTTAACCATATTTTTCTTTGCGTTAATATACATAAAATATTAATTTATTGTGTGGAATGCACAACAACGCATCCTACAGGTCGTTTGCGCATACAAAGCACAACCACCAAAAACTGTATCATTCGAAATGAATAACAAACATTTATTTCAATTTTCTTTATTTGTCTCGTACTCGGTAATTTTCTATTCGGTTTTTGTCTTTCATATTGCGTTATTATTTGCGTGGCTTTCATTTATTCCGTCGTGCTGAACCTTCAATTTACATCGTATACGCTCTTGTGAATGTTTTTTATATGTGCTCGCGTTTTTTTAAATATTTTATATATGTCGTTCATTCTATTCTGTATGCGTATACAGAGGTTGTGTGTATAATTTAAATGACATATTCTTCATTAGAACGGCATACATATTGTGTGAGTATGGTTGGTGCCATTCCACACGGCGTTTACATATACACCGTGTGTGTGTATCTGTACGCGCTTACAAGAAAGAGTGCACGAAGAGTCGAAGTCGGAATGTAAAATAATGATGATGACGATGGTTGTAAAATCGAATGGTCTTACGGTGCGAGAGAACCAGCAATCTATGTACACACAACATTTTTTTATTATGATTATTTCTCTCTTCTATTTCCAACGAAACGTTTCGTTACACATAAGTAAGCACAAAGACGCTGACATTTTGGAAAATATACATGCATACACATGCACGGTACAATGTCATAAAGCGATACCTTTAATGTGAATACAATTGAATATATATGACATAAAATACTTCACATTCAATAAAGAGAAGAAAAAAAACCATTTTTCTTCATCGGTGTTTGTAAATGTGTGTATGTCATTTGTTTCGTTGTATTTCGGCAATGGACGTACTCAATTTATTTCGAATGTCCTCTATAGCAACCGTGTGAGGTGTAAACAAACACTTTTGAAACACCATTTTTTTTCTCTATGCTTCGTTCTAGAAAGAGATATAACAGTTAAAACCACAAATGAAATCGTGAAAAAAATGGGTCGGCAAATTGATTTTTACTATGTTTTCTATAATATTTCGTTCTTGTTTTTTTCATTGCCTTTCAACACACACCGCTTAGTTGCATAATGTTTTTATCGTCGGGATCTTTCTATTTGAATGACAGCATTTCGATATAGTGTGTGTGCATGTCAATGCATCGACCAGAGCATTGGAACAGAAAGAGAAAGAAATAGAGAATAAAAATGATTACTTTCCCTATAATAAATCCAATTAATTGAATAAAATGCGGAAGATCATCTTATCGATAAATAAGATCGTCTATCGCATAAAAGCGCACATATGGCAGCTGCTCATTAAATGCGCTTGAATTGAAGCGACGACTCGCTTTTTTTTGTGTCCCATTCGATGATGATCCTGGTGTGGTTATGCCTTTTTGTTCTGTGTCAATTTCTGTAACAATTAAAAGTCGAGCAGCAAACATACAATTCAATGGATTTTCAATCACGCACCACTGAAATCGAATCAATTGAAATTCGTTCAATTGTCATTGAAAATAAGCCGATTATGGTGTTTTTCAATTGCATGTGCCAATTTTTATTTGCTTATTCACGCACACAGAAGAAAAAAAAACCTTAAATTGAATATGATATTTGATGCATCATGCACATTTCGATAGTTTTTTCCTGCAACATATCCGCTTCGCATAATGTACATGTCTGTTAAAATCTGTTTATCTGCTTTAAATTGAATGCAACCAAATAAATATGTTAAGGAGAGTGATTTTTCGCATGTGGTAGAATGGTCTTCGCGCCATTGGTAGAAGCCACTTAAAATGTTGATGTATCCATGTTGGAGTGAATCAGCATGATTCCTCAATCATCTCGCAAACGGAACATAATGCATGCGCGCGATTTATTCCATTTAAATGTCGACTGATACGACGTTTTCTGCAGATATTCGCTGAATTAGAATTTATGATTGGCCATTATGCGTACTGAAACATCGATAAAAACAACTAATATTAACAATGATCATTTATTGCGACTTTAAATACCTTCTCGAATCGCTATATGTGGATTAAGATGTGTACGAATGCGATCGCATTTAAATTGTGTGGGTGTCACTGGTTGTCTTCTCTTCTCCTTCTCCATCAAATCATTTCGACTGGAATGGAATTCCAAATACATAATCAAGTGATTTGATTCAACGTTACAGTATATACAATATAAATGAGAAGAAAATTAAAAGTGATGTGTGTTTGTAATGTTTAAACAAATGAATTTTGACCAAAAGCGACATGTTACGCATTTTTACTTTGTGCGCCGTATTCTTGTTGTTGTCACAGCTCTTCGCTTTTATTCGTGTATTCAAAGTGAATAATTTGAAATTAATACATTCTGACTTAGCAAGTGTGGTAGAAATCAGTCGATAAACGTCCGAACAGCATAAAAAGAAGCGAAAGTAACATTTATTATCGTTAATTTCAAAATGGGTTTGCCTACACGCATAAAATGCCCAAGACTACCGGATAAATATATAAGGAATGACAAAACTCGGAAAAAAAATTGTTTGTAGAAAAAGTCTAGTAGAAACGGAAAGAAGTGTCCCTGTGCGTTCGAATAAAACATGCCGTTTTTGCATATGGTCGTCGCACTCGCGCGCCAATTTATCAACTGTCAAATTACAAATGCAACGCTTGAACTGTCACAGTCAATTAATCTCAAGTTCTGTTTGCGTTTCGCATTTTAAAAAAACAACAAACCCAACAAAATGTGTGTATCTGCGGTATTGATTTGGTTTATTAGGAATTTTTGCATCACAACGAATCTTGAATGCAAAACGGAGACCCACCAATTGTATATGCATCATCAATGCAAGAAGAGAAATAAAAAAAAAATTCGTTTGCAACTCACGAGATCGATTTCATTCATAAAAAACAGCCACTTCACGCGACATAATGCTGGTGCGTTTCGCATACGCTTGAACAATTTATCAGGAAAAATTGATCGTTTGTTTAACGTCTCCATTTTTTTGTTCATATCTTGTCTCTGGTGCGCCACAGGTAGAAAAGGAATCTTGCAAATGTTCCACCTGAAAGGGATTAATGAAACAAATGACAATTTTTTTTTCATCTCATCTCAGGCCATTGACACTATCAGACGATATTTCAATTTTTAAAACAACGCGCATCAATGATTCCATCCTCAAATACGTAATCAATAACTGGTCTTCATTAAAAATGACAACTCTTGTAGTATATACGTTGTTTTTTTGTCATCATCGTGTCTCGTCTGTGCTAATCAAATATAACTTCACTTTCATCAATTGCATTGTCAGGATAGTGCATGGCATAAACATTTTATTTTAGTTTTTTTTTCTCCTCTCATTTCAAAATATTTTCCTCAGTTCGATAGAGATCATCCATCTATGTCATACGCAGTGACATTCATATTTAGAGTTTAATTGATCGAAATGTTTCCAAAATGAAATGATGAGCCAGAAGGAAAGAGTAAGAAGTAAGAAAAAAGTAACGACTCCCCACAAAAAATGTCGAACGGACAGACAAGTGTTCAACCGGACTGCGCTGAATATAGTGCGGCTGTTGCATTTCTTTTTTTTCTAATTTCAAAATGATTTGTTTGTATATATACAAAAACTTCTGAAGAATGAAAAAAAATGCTCAATCAACTACTAAACAATCGACCCTGAGCAACGCCTTAGCATCTGACTGCAGGGAAAAAAGTAAAAAATCATCTTTTAAACGAGCATATCTTAATTTGGATAGAATGAAAGCTGAAAATTCAACAACGATTGTAAAAACAACAATAGAATTATTAGACCCATTCAGAGTTTCTAAACAGCAATTGAAAAATGGAATAGAAGAAAAACAGCGTTATCCACATGGAAGAAGAATTATGTTTTAATGAGAAGTGAAATTGGCTTTTAAAATGCAATTTATTGCAAGTCATCATCTTTTGTAGTCGGTCAAGATTCTTCAAAATGCTAACAATTCGAATCGATAAACCAAATGGCATGGATTCAAAATTCACAAAACAATTTTGTTATTTTCGGTCCCAAATCAATCCAATTTTATCGAATAAGTTAAATATTTGTAATTAAGTTAAATAATAGTGTATAAGATTGAAACCGCTTTGAAAGACGTTTGGCAATTACCCACTCGGTTTTCTTTTTCTCCCTCTCTTTCAACTTATTGCTTCAGTCACTTCAGAGTGCAGCACGACGTGCGGGGACATCATGTGCAAACTGCAAAACGACCACAACAACCCTTTGGAGGCGGAACCAAAGTGGTGAACCAGTATGCAATGCCTGCGGATTATACTATAAACTACACAATGTAAGTACACTTTTCGTTTGTTTATTCAAATTTATTATTTTGGTTTCTTTCAAAAACGAAACGAAAAAAGTGAGCGAATAGACAAAATTAAAAATACGTTAAATGCGAGATAGAAATTGAAAAGATATTTTCATCGAGTTTTTCACTCCATCGATTTATTCGCACAGCGCGGTCTATGTACCATATTTTATCTACCATAATATGGTAATTTAATGAAAAAAAGCGTTTTATCGTTTATTGCATTGATCGTCGTGTACAGACGCGCACTTACCATTCGAAAATTTATCGTGTTGCACATCGTTGCGTAATCGAAAATATACAAAACACATTTCCTTATCTACACCAAACATACGCCTGAACATTCATATCTTAAACATTCAGATGGATTATTTATGCATGAAGCGACAGAAACAACAACAAATAAATAAATACGATTTAAATTGTGCAAAAACATTACTTTTTGGGGTGTTTCTTGTTCGATTTAACTGATAAATGTTCAAAGAAGTCGAGGTAATGTGAAACGGAAATGAGAACATTGTAACAAACACTCATGACCACTTGTGATTGCACCCAGTTTTCAAACGAGACAACGACAACTGAACGATGCCATGTACAGTGAGTGTTAACTAAAACACATTGACTATCCCATGTGTCCCCTCATTGCAAAGAATGAAGTCACTGCTCTCTGATGCGTAAGCTGATGAAATCACAAACCTAATCGCTATCGTTTTTGGCTACCGTCAAAATCAAAAAACGTACAATATCCTCGACGATATCACATCGATATTTAATCTATTCGTTCTCCGTTCAAGAAAAAAATATGATGAGGGGACGATGATGATGCTACTGCTGGAATCAGGGTAGAACTAAACACATTTGAAAGCGGCTATTTAACCAGTAATTGAGCTGCAAACAAAACAAATAGGGTGCACAGCAGCCAACTGGTAGAAATTCAAGGGTGCCAAATTTTGCAGAACGGAAAATGTATAACGGCATTCTTCTTTATATGCCGATTTGGATCCCATCAAATATCATTTAAACAGCATCATGAATATTCAATCAAAGAATTAAATCACTGAAATAAGCCTTGTATTTTTGAAGCGATCAAACGGAAGATTGGCATGGGAAAAGAGTGCGGAAAAGGTCACATCGATTGTCTTTACTTCAACGGAATTGTTTGTTTTAAATTTATTGTTTCAATAATCAATATTCTACATCGAATCCGAGAAAATTACATAATGATGAACAAAAATGATGTTCTCTCGTCAAAGCACTCGATACGCCAAAGGAAAGAGCAATCGACATACTTTTTTCGATAATCTTGATATGATTTTGTGCAACAGAATTCTACAAAAAAATGAATAAAATAAGCACACACGAAATGGCCCTAATTACCACTGGAAAATAATATAAACCCGAGAACACTTACTTGAAAAACCAATAGTGCACTTCAATATGAGTGGAACAAAAAAAGTGAAACGAAATGCATTCGATTCCAATTTAAAAATTGTCGTCTCTGAAGAAGATGACGAAAACGAGTAATCCATTTGCCGTCGTTCGGTCTGGTTTATCTTGATCGGCTCAAGTCCATGCAGCATCAGTCAGCCAAACCATTTGCCGAAAATAGAAAGCACGCGTACATCGTGACGTTTACAACGAGAGCGTAAAAGTAACCGCTTCTTTTCCAAGTAATATGTTGCATATTTAAATTAACAGAGGCCGAAAAAGCAAAACAAACAAAACTAAAATGATAAATAAATGCTTAAAAATTGTTTAAAATTTAATTAAAATTCAGCAAAGGATATATTCGAGAGCATTTTACGCGTGCGACCATAATTCATTCAGATTTTCTTTCATCAACAGAAACAGCGAGAGAAAAAACAACAAAAGATACGTGTATCTTATCTTGTCATCAAAAGAGATTCAATTTTTTTTGTTGTTGTGTTGATTTGTTGTCGACCGTGTGTGCATGAAGAAGCGCTAAAATCTCAAACACACAACCAGCCGTGTGGCTGATGTATCTGTTTTGCACTTGAGATATACTGAAGATGGGCAATTCCAAGAGACCATTTCCTATTCCATGCCAATCTCATATCAACTACCGAGATTTTTTTTTTTTTTTTTTTTTGAAAAAAGAAGTGACGAGATTTAACTAATTAGAAGAAGAAACACTCAAATACGTATATCTTTCATATAGTCACGACATTTTAAATTCGACTAAGCCACACCAGAGATTAAATGTTTCGATAGGACAAAAGACTTGTGTTAACTCTTTAATACAGTTTATTTCGACAAAACGACCAAACAAAATTACTTTCAAACACTTTGAATGCGCTTCATCTCTAGCTGTCTAGTGAAAGAAAATATCGCAAATTTTTTATCAAGATTAGAATGGATATTTATTTAAATCAAAATGTGTCTTCACATTCATTTGGAATCGGCATAATTAAAACGGGAATACTTTCGTTTTTGTCGTAAGTGAACTGAATTCTAGATGCATAGAATGCATGCGTGCATTAAACTTGGAATTTTAAGAATAGATTTGTCAGCTGTGTGTGCACGTAAAGAAATCGATACTTCTTTTCATTGTATGCAGCAAATAGCAGAGAAAGAATGCATTTAAAATCAACACAAAAAGGGAAATGTTACCATTTTGACAATATAATTGTGATCTTGCCGATAGTTTAGAAAAAACAGCATCAACAATCAATATGAAACACTCGAATTGATGCAATAGCAGAATAATTCCATTGTGCAAAAATAGTAAATGACATATTCTTTGACAAATTAATGCATTACTGTTACCGTTCATGGAACAATGCCGAAAAAGTGTACATTTCAAGTAGAAAAACCTTTTTTTCGAACATATAATTTTATGACAAACGTCGCTGCTTTTTACTTCCTGTAACAACAGTTGAAACTGTCCCAACTTCTGTGTAAATTGTTTCGATGGCAGTTTGTGAATTCAAATTAAGAGTGATATTTGATACATTTGAAATTATGCACTTTAGTGTAATCGATACAATGTTTAAATATACTCATATTAGCCTCCTTAGCACAAAACTACCGCATCGGCTTGTTTTTTCGGCAATTCGCGAATATAACCTTTCTGCATAAAAACCTTCCTCAACGGTTGGTTTCATTCAATTTTAACGAATGATTTTCCCAAAATAAATTTTCATTTCTGTTTTACTCTTTAATTTGCTACATCGGTGAAATTATAATCAACCGAAGTTTAACACAAAAATACCGCCAAGATACACGAATTGAAACCAAGTGGCCACCTAAAAAAATTGAAACCACTGCATAGTTCGAAAAAAAAAGATTCCGAAATTTCTTGGAAATCGTTTCAATCATCTCATTTGAAAGTTGAAAAAGTCTACTCACGTTTGCTCGTGCTTGCAATGTGAGCGTGCGCGCATGGAAAAGATACAGTGAATCCGTTGGTTTTTAAAGCCAGCATTTTTCCATCGATTCTGAGTAGAAGCTGAGCCCACAACATCGATAAAAAGCAACAAACCAAAAGGAGCAAACGTCGATAAAAAACAGAAATGAAAACTGCATAATCATGGTCATGCTTCATGCATATGCAGAGAATTAGATACAAATTCGTTGTAAATATATGTGCGTCGCACGTACTTTCTGTCGAATTGTTAGAATATATTGTATTTGAGTTTTGCTGTGTGTTTTTTGGTTGATTTGCCACCCGATTCGAAAGTGATAAAGTGAGAAGCGTCACTTCAAACATTTAATTTTAAAACGCGTGTAAATATCTATAAATTAACGTAAATACATTCGTTAAACTTATTATTTATCAAAACAACAGGTCGTTTGATTTCCGATAAAACTATTCTATTGAAAATTATAATTGTATGTAATTTTTTTCGGATTTCTCAATTAATCGCGGTACAAAAAGAAAAGCCAAAGAATGACAAACAATTTCTCCTTTCTCGACTGATGATGATTCGGTTCCAATATTTGATTGAGATATCGTTCAATTTTAAATTTTTTTTTGCATTCATAACGGGAGAACGAATTGGAGTGCCGCTATTTAATTGTTATTCAGTTGTCACAGAGAAATCATCATGTATTGTTGCCATTGGTCGAGATTATACGTAGAAAAAAACTCTTCGACAGACTGAATTGAACGAAAGAAACACATGTTTTCCAATGCGATTAAAATCTCAATCGTTGATTTTTTTTGTTGTTTGTTGAATGTTCAACTGAAGCTGCCTAATAAATGCTTATGTGCTTGAATGTTCCGTAAAGTCTAATCTTTAATACGTTGAACTCAGGAGACAGACACTGAGTGCGAACTGCAAAACCACATAATCTCTGATTGAAATCTTTCTCTTCAATTTATTTCTATGGATTTTTTTGTTGTTGTTGTTAGTGCTTTCGTTCGTTCATTTCGTTGCTGCGTCTTGATCGTTGTGTGAGTGAATTGAGAACCGATTTATTTTCCCTTTTACGATGAGCATGCAAAATTGGCCAAAAATGAAATGAATTGCCAAGCACACAGATGAAATAAACGAAAATGCTCGATTTAGTCAAAATTATAATTCAACAGTGATACACACCAATCATATTGCGTCGGTTCATTTGAGTTTGCTTTAAAGTTGTTGGAACTTCATTTCATCTACAATGAATAGTAAAACATTGAAATTTAAGTTGCTGGTTATAATAACTTTGATTTTCCAAAGCAAGCGCCAGTTGAGCGTTACACGAAACAAAATGATACATTTCTTTCGGCTAATTTATTGATAATTGGAATGCGTTGTTGGTTTTTTTGAAATTAAAACCACATGTTTGTGTGCTAGCTTCTTAAAAATGTGTAACATGAGACTTGATGAGAAATTTTATTCCACAGAAGAAGTTTATTTCTTTTGCGAATTTAGTAGTTAAATGAATAATTCTTTTGCATATCAAATCACTTACACCGCCCGCTTCATTCGCGCTACAATCAAAGCGAAAAATGCCGTTTTGTACGCACGATGCATACACATTTTGAATTTCACAGACTAAAGCCCGTGTGAGAGGAAAAGAGCGCGGAATAGAGAGACAGAAAATGAAACAAACCGCAACAAACGACAGAGAAGAAAAAAACAACAACAAGCAGCAGTAACAAACAAAAAATTTCTAAACCATTTAATAAACGAAATGCTAAATGATCTCTATCTTGGGGATATTTTATGAAAAATGACCTTTTTTGTAAAGCCCAATTCGGTGTCGTTGTGCATACATAAACATTGCTCATGTTCATCATTCGCGCATAAGCGAAACAATAAAGTACATCGAATAATAAAAATGGGAAAGAAGTGACGATGTGACGATACCGACGGTAACAAAACGCGCACACACACACTTAATACACGTGATTCGTATGAATTCCTCGTTTTAGTTGCGTCTCTTTTCTTTTTTTTCCTTTGAATTCAGCGTCATGAATGTGCGTTGTAATGTTATGAAGATAAGATTATAATAAATTTTTTCCTCCACTGTTGTCACTCAATCGTGTGGAACAAAGCACACGCCAAACGAAACAAATGCAATGATGTCTTAAAATGACGGCAACTAAAATGAAACTGAAGACGATAAAATTACTATGGTCGCATCAAAAATTATTATTGTCTCACTACATTCGAGCCGCAGAAAAAAATATATATATTCTTGACCTTGCATATTCTACCTAATTATTATTATTTATACTGATGAGCATTTGTTCTTGTTTTTTTTTTTCGTTTATAGGTAAACCGACCATTGACCATGAAAAAGGAAGGAATTCAAACAAGAAATCGAAAATTATCATCAAAATCAAAGAAAAAGAAGGGAATGGCCGGTGGATGCTTACCAATTGGCAGCCATTTGGGAATGAGCGATTTGATGAAACCACTAGATCCTTCGAAAGCATTTTCAGGAGGTTTCCCCACTTCAATGGGTAAGAACATTCTCACTTACACTGCAGACTTTTGATTAGATTCTCGAAAAGTTTAAGCACAAATCTATTGTAGCATGTTCAATAACTTGAAACTTAACGGTTCCATTTTTCTTATGAATGAAATAGGTCAACATAGCCATCTATCTGGTTCGTTGCATCCGGCACATGCGCATATGCACGGCGGATGGTATGCCAGTGGAATGGGCGCTCTTGGCGCATCCAGTGGCTTACAAAGTGGATTTTCGTCAGGCGGATTGGGCGGTGGAGTTGTGCCACATTCGCAGTCTTATCATCTGATGGTGAGTATCTTATGTCACTAAATCACCTCAATCAATGGAATTTCATAAATCCTTAAGACATTTTCAATTCATTTTTGAACCATTTACCAAAATAATCCACTCATCCGAAATCTATTTGCTTAAATTTTTTGAATAGGGTGCGACATGGGGACGTGACTACGCGTGATGGAACAACAGCTACAATTCTGAAAACCTATAAATTCCGATGAAAATTGAATAGATCTTTTTAACATGTACAAAACAAAGGAAAAACAAACACGAAAGACTTCATCATAATTCAACTGTGAATGTGTGGAATTTGACATTTTTGCTATCGTTAGCGGCGACACCGTCATCATTTTATTTCATTAAGATCAGCCCCGGCTTCAAATGATTACCCAAACAAAAATGGAAAACAAGGGATTTGAAAATTGGAAGTGCAGCAAATATAGCACCGACAACAAATTCAACGCACAACAAATGTTTGAATTGATTTTCGGCCAATAAAAGACCCATCAACATCGGTAAAATTTTACTTTTCCCGTAAAAAAAAAAAAAAACTAAACAGAAAAGAACTAAAGCGCATTTATACTTCGTCATTTTTCGAAGCAGCCGAATGATATTAGATAGAGTCGAATTGAAAAGACGCTAAATTGCTCAACATTTCCGTTTTAATTTGATGTGCAATCTTATCTTTTTATTGTGTAAATCTACGATTAAGATCATACCAATTTTTAGCATCGTGAATGTTTTGTGACGAATCAACAATTTTCGGCTAAGAAATAATGATAAGTCATGCTGAATTGATTTTGTGTTGATATTTAGCGACAACAAAATGCCGATCTATCATTTAATGCCATACAACAAACAAAGTACACGTCCATCGCTTGTGCGACTCTCATGCTAAAATCGAAAGCAGTAAGACATAGCAAACGGTAAATAAAATGGTTCAGAAAACTTATTACGCTAAGAACATTTTAAAATTGAATAAAAAAAACCTTTGCGAAAATAAACCAATCAATCCATATGCATCACCTATGCTCAACAGATACAATAGACACCCAATTATTGGTGAGCATTTAAAAAACGGCCACGGTCATAATTGTATAAAACATGTTCTTTTTTTTATTTTTCATTAGGGATATTCATAATTTATAATAATTGTATTAGAACTAAGCAAATAGTGGCAAAGCAAATGAAAGAACGTTAAATGAATGGTAGAAAAAAACGTGTACATACGCAATTTAACATAAAAGAAAATTTGAACAATTTTATCGGCATGAATGTCAAATGGAACAAACTAATAACAAAACATAATTTTCAAATGTGCTAAGTTTAAGACGATCTTCAAAAATAAAAATAAAAAAACTTTTGTTCAATCTAATAACACATTAATCTGCAGATAATGAGAAAAACAAACCGTTTGAAATAAACGTCTTTAGAATTAGGACATGTAAATTAATCTAAAATATATATTCAAATGATTTCAACAAATTCACATTAGATTTTAAGCACACACACACACATTCTAGACATACAAATGATGATGAGATCGATGATAAATCGATGATTAAGAGAATAATATTAGCCAGAAAATTAATGAACGAAATCAATATAAGAAATATAGTTTACAAAAATCTTATCTAAAGAATTTTAGTGAGCAAATTAAGATATCTAAATGTTTTCACAACACAAACAACAACAATTCAAAGAGAGACCACAAAAAAGACAATCTCTCATGTTTTATCCGGTTTATTTGATTAAACCGCGCACAGTCCCGAATCTAACCCAATATTCTATTGATTGATTATTTAATTGTGAATAGTATTTTAAATGAATTATTATATATATATATAAACGACAAAAAATGTATGATTGGTAAGTTCAAAATTGGAATGTGTTTTATGTGACGAATGCGCTTTGGCAATGGACAAATACTGTACAATACGCTGAAACATTAGACACAGATTGAATGTTATGATTAGACAAAAAAAAGAGAGAATGTAATAGCAATTAATGTATGTACTGTATAGTGAGTAATTATTGATTATTGTAATTCTTATTATTCCTGATACGGTGACAATTGTATCGATCTAAAGATGCAATTGAAAAATAAAAATTAATTCTATATAATAAATAATGGAATTCAAAGGCGTTTTCTTTAATATTTAAATGGACATTTCAGAATGAACCGTTTCCTGATATTTATTCCATCCAAGTAAGTTCTCTATACCAATATGCACTTAAAATTAACGAAATTTGAAAGCAAATCATCATAACGAATCAATGATTAAACCATACTTTCTGAAATTTCTGAGGGGTAACTTGAAATGATTGCCCCCATTCAACGTTGAGGTACTCATTTTACTCCTCAAATTTTTGTGAGATACAATTAGATTTTGGATAGTGAAAAGTCTTATTAATCGATAATTTTCAAAATACTCTACTGATATTTATCACATTACTTCTTTTCGATTTTAGCTAATCTCCTTTTATTTTGAACTTCAAACTTCAGCTGAATTTACTATTGGTCCCGTTATATTTGCAATGCGTTTTTGATGTTTCGATATTTTTTTTCGAATCAAGAATCAAAATCATCGGCCACTCGGAAATGCAACTGTAGTTTATTGAAACTAATTCACTTCGATAAGCAATAAAGACAGCTTGTTTAAAATCCACCAATTTTGTGCTGTATCTAACTGCATTAGACAGACTATCGTTATAATAACATGGAACAAATAATTCCGATTTGTTTAATCAAGTGAAAAGAGTCACATAAAGGGAAACGAACTTCAGATACACACGCTGTGCAACGGATAATTCGTATATTTTGCTTATAAACTGAGAAAAAAAAGGTTGAAATTCAATTTACAATAAATTTCACGTTGAGAGTACAAAGTATCCTTCTGGAATAGAATTTTTTTTATCGAAACAAGTAATATTTAGTCTTATGACGGTCGAAGCTAGATTACACTTGACGGATTTTTATTATGATTGCAAACGTATATAAGAAGATTAAGGTTTTTATTGATTTATTTCCAAAGTGTCTTTTCGGTTGACCGTTTAGCTGTACGTGTGCACTGTCACACTGCTGCTATTGGTGGCATACATTGAAAACCCCTTTTTTCAAGCATGGCCAGCAAATCGTTGCAATGATGTGTGAAAGCTGATTCTATTGAATCATTGTCACAGATAAGTCCTTTAATCAGGCTCCAATTTGTTACCAACACGTAAAATAAAAATGATGACGAAAAATCCCTCATGAAATAGATTTCGATGTAGAGTGATTTCAAAACACTCAGATGGACAAATACAAATCCAATCCTTACCAACCAAATAAATCGCTATCGATTATTACATTCGAAAACAATTTAAAGTTAATGACATGAGAAATTTTCCATCGAAGCAAATAATCGAATCGTGCATGCAGAGCGTACGATAAAAGATGACCAAGCATCAATCGCTCAAAGAAGTACACATCGATTGCCGGTATGTATTTTGAATCTTATAAAAATATATATACGCTTTTAGTTTTATAGCTTTAATTGGATCAAAATCACAAGCACCATAATTCCACAATCTAATGGTATTTTGATTTTTTTTATGTTCTTCGAGATTTATCACGGAGTGGCCCAATATTTTCGCGTTCAGTAGTGCGTTCATTGATTGCAAATAAAAATAAAATATGAGCATTTGGTTTAGTTTCAATCGTTTTCAAAAATTCAAACGCAACAAAATTGTTCTCAACGAATATTAACAGCAGGGAAAACACCATGAAATTCATATGGTAATAAGATGAATTAAAATGCACACTGTTTTTTGAATGATACGCATAAACTTGATCCATTTGCTGTTACCCTAAAAGACTATAAATATTAATACGGTGTGTGCCAGGTTCGTTGTCAATCAAAATATGAATTCACCTGTTTAATTCAACGTCACAAAAGAAATGAAAAATGGACAATTGTACATTGATGATCAAATTGAAGAATAAGCGATGGTAATTGCAAATTAATGAAAACTAAAGTAGTGGCATTCGATGGTGTTCGATCAAAATTAAAAAAAAAATCTAAATGCAAATAACCGCAGTGCAAAATCAAAGAAGGAGAACACACAACTGTATCTATGTCTTTAAATCTTAATTACATGTTACTTTGCAATTCAATGTGAATTTTTATTTCTTCATAAGTCAAATTGTAACTTCGGCGGAACTGCAAAAGGAAATAAATGATTAAAACACAATATATTAATATCGGAAGAAATAACATCGAATCGTGTAATAAATGGTAGAGAAGAGAATTTGAACAAAACGAATGCAACACCTGCAGCTCAAGTCATTAAGTGCATTTGGAATGATCACTTGAGTCGCGCACGCGTTCTCCTTTTGCGTTTACTCTGTGTGTATGCACACAAGAGAGAGAGAGAGGGAGGGAGAGAGAAAGAGAGAGATAATTATGTATTTATGTAATTGTGTCGATTCTACTGTTCTAGACAGGCTCACGTGTAACGGATTTTAGAGTCAGTAATTTGTTTCATTCAATCTTTCGGCGAGTGCATTTCATTCAGCGAACTAGTCCCTATAATTTTTTCTTCGGCTTCTTAAGTCGTCTATCATCCAGTTGCTTGTCCTGTTTTGCTCTATTCAATCGACAGAAGTTTCTCGTTGCGCATACGAAGCACCAAAATTAAATTTTCTTTAAAAAATTTGCCCAATGATTGCTGAAAACAACAACCTTAGCATGCAATATTTATAAACACGAATACAATCGTCTCTCTGTTTCAATTGATCAATGAATAGGGCATCAACTTTAAACATTTTCCAAATGGGCCATTTGAATTCATGTTTCGATTCAAGTTAACACGCTCCAATTTAATAACGATATGGCATGATATGTTTAATTCAATGATTCACAAAAGATGAAAACAAATATTAATCTTGACGACCTGCACTCATACGTATAAAAAATATATTTCTGGTGTACTTTCAACGGAGTTTTTGTTGAACAATAAATCAACGGCTCTTAACTCAAGAAAATAAGATCTCAAAGGTAATTTAATTAAATTAAAAATGATTTCAGCAAATTTAACGAGAAAAAAAAGTTTTGTCATGGAAATTTAAAACTCATGCATACAAATTTATTATTTGTTGTTTTTCTGTGATCGACGGTAAATTTTGTTGGTTTCTTTTATTTATCATGATTGTTGCTCATTTAAATTCCAAGATAATGATTCCAATGAAAATTAGTTTTTATTTGACTTGCATACTTCGTTCATAGACGAAAAGGTCTTGAGGTGGTGTGCGGTGCGGTTTTAATCAAAACTAAGCGCACATATTTTTCAAAGCGTTCGCAATGTATTCTGCAATCGAATTTTGTGTCAATTTGCATGTACAAATGTACATGTACGATGTACGATTTATTGCCAATTCGTATTGATTGGATTTACTTGACAGTTTTGATTGTTTTAGTAGCGAATGAAGGTAATAATTTTGTTCTGACTCTGTAATCATTCAGATGGTGAATGTTCGCATTCGAACCAATAACAATTGAAAACTTTGAAATGTTCGTACGGAGAACGTTGATTCGTGAATTCAGAGTTATTTATTTTATTTTGTTTAAGATTCGAACATTTTTTGTTTTGTTTTGATCAACGACCACCCTGCATGCAGCAAAACCGGAGTTTTCGTATGCAACACACAAATTCGAAACAATAAATATATTTTGAATTCCATTTAAAGTGCAATAATATGTCATGTAGACAATAGCAGTGCATTGAGCCACCAACTAATTAAAAGTCTAATAGCGTCCAAAGCAGTGCCGCGTCAACAGCTACTGTGTACGGTCGTCTGGTGAGACAAAAATGCATTTTCACGATTATGTCGGCAAAATTAATCAAATTTATGTATGTAAAGTGCATTGGTATTCAATACAGATTGGAGGCGGCAGGATTGTCTGTCTGCAATTGACACACCTATTCAAAAATTTAAGATTCGGTGCATTTTCGAAAAATGATCGTATGACCGGCTTTTTAGGAAGTTTACGTCCAAAAATAATTAAATATATCTGCTTTGAGATTCAAAGGACAGAACGAAATATATGCAGGAATTGTCTTGTAGGTAGTATGATCAGTATCATCTATCTTTTTGGGAAATTTTGATCAAGTACTTCACGCGCTGCTTTCAAAAGGAAATTTATATATATTTTTTATATCTATGAGAATCGAAAACCACAACAAATGTTGGTACAACATTTTATTTATTTAGTATATTACTTCATATTTAAATTCATAATTCAGAAACAATTTCGATTTTCTTTTAACAATATCGACGACAACGTGATTCGTTCGTTGTTTAAAGGCGGTTGTTTAGTTCCAGTCACCGTCTGACTCCTCGGAATCTCGCTGAACTGGTTCCGACGACATGTTGATTGGATGATTGTTGATGTGCTGCAGGAATGATTTCAGCAGAAACTTGTTGATTTTGTCGGTTTGATCTGATACTCGGTTCGGTTGTTCATTTTCAGTATTTTGGATTTCGTTCGATGGTGAACCTTCGATTGGTGCATCTGATTGAACTACATATATTCCCGGCATGATGATGATTAAATTGATTGCTGATTCAATTTTAATTTAATTAACGTCAATTTTACAATAACCACTTTATTTACTTTGAACACAGGCAATTCGAAAATAATTGTGATTCTCAATACTTTTTCACAGAGTTGACCAACAAATAAATAATACTCATTGAAATGTCAAAACAAATTCAATGACAGTTTATTTGTTTGAAAGCTTTCTCTCCACTTGAAAGTTTCAAAATATATGTTCCACACTATTAATTCAATAACGAAGTTCGTATACTCATTTTTATTTTTATTAGAACTTGAAATGAAACTTAAATTAAATAAAGAATTCAAAATAAAAAAAAAACGACAAAGTCAATATATTTTATATATCATTATTATATTTTTTAATATTAATATAAGAAACTTTTCGGAACATTTTTTCAAATATTGTGAATGAGCCGCAGTGCTTTTAATTCACAATGGTACCCAATTCACAGTGGCATTGACGATTCACAGTGGTGTTTACGCAATTTAAATTCTTGAGGTAAATCAATTAAAAGCCAAAAAAAGATTCTTCGCGTTGATAAAACACAACTTTTAAATGACTTGAATTCTGAGAATGACATTACAATGTCATTTAATTTAAGCAAACCAGTTTTAAGTTTGAACTCATTCATAAAATGACTTACTCGCCGTTTGTCACAAACATTTTTCGAGTAGAAGAAATTGCCGTCTTCTATTTTCAAGTTCAAAATAACCATTTCATCATTGATGAAGAGAGAGAGAGAGAGAGAGAGAGAGAGAGAGAGAGAGAGAGAGAGCACATTTGTGTTTCCTATTCGCTTCAAATTCACACATTGGTCACATTCGATCTGGATAGGAAGTTAACTAATCCCGAGCATCCGCAACTACATCTTGTTTCATTGTTAGGCCTTTCTTTCGGAAATATATTCGTTGATAACACAATTCTGATCTGTATCTACTCATGAATACCATAAGCTGATCACAACAGCAAAAAAAAATCGTTTTACGATGTGAACTCGCTAACATCTCTCATCTCGGAACCGATGTATGTAAACAACCGGTGATATATTTAGACTATGAGCCACTGATTCTCTGAAACTAGATATTTGTGTATAACTTTTCAAGTACGTTGGATGTAAACAAGTTATGTTTTTTTTGTTTTCAGGTTTTAAGTAACTGTAAAAATAATCATTGAAAACCCCTAAACAAGGTTAGATAAAACTTTGTTGTGCAATTTTATGAGGTGAGCGTCTTAAATCTGTTGTGAAGAAAACAATGGACTTCATTAGAGTTGCATATAAAGAATGAGTTGACTTTTATGAATGAAATTCGGCGTAACTTCTGATATACAAGACTAAGATTCTTATCTCAAATTCCGGAATAGGATTATACAAATAAAAAGAAAGACAGCATTTGTTTTAAATACGTTTCAGTTCAGTATTTAGCGTCACGTGATTTAATCAACAAAACAAAATTCATGTTAATTGAATCAGCACTAATAATAATAATAATTATTATAAATTCTTAAATAAAAATTCAATATATACAACAATATTTTAATACTACTAAATAAACATTTTTATCCGCTTAAGATCTAGTCGAAGTAAAATTGTGTTTAATATTTTGATAATGTATGTTTGTGTGTTTTTGGTGCCTTGTTTTAGTTTTTGTACTGAGAAAGGGCCATTTCTCGTTCATCTGCATCAAAATACCACACTGTTATTGCGTACCGTGTGCGATGGGAGGGTTGGACTTCATGGGGGTTTCTTCGATCTGACCAAAAGAATATGATGCGATCAAACTTAGGCTCTATGTCCGCCACTCCCATGCCATGCTCGGGAAATATTCTGTGGAAAGAATGGATTTTAAAAAAATTGTTGATTTTTTTTATGCAACGGATTTAACGCTTCAAGAAAGAAGTATTACCTGAGTGAACCGCCACTTCTTAAGGCATCCCAATGAAGATTCAAATAATAAATAGCGGTGATTACACGACCATCTCGATTTGGATTATCCACATGCAAAATGTAATGTGAACCAGTTGGGGGGTAACAAGCGACCATTGCCTATCGAATCGATTGAAAAAGAGAGCTGTATTAGTAATCTATGGTCCCTGGTAAAATGCTGTCAAGTGTGACACACCCACCTTAGTGCGTTCCCGTATCTTATATTCACCCAGTAAGCCATTGTCCTTCATTCGATTTGCTGATACTGTAACACACAAAATTATCGAATCAGATAAGATTGTCATCGGTGTATTAGGAAAAATAATAGGAAACACTTTTCTACTTACTTACAACGGTGTCAATCTGTGAATCAGAACGGAAGATAAAAAGAAAACAGTTAATGTTAGTAGAAGTAATTATCACGATTTTAAAAGTTTATCTTAACCATAACAGGTATTTCATCTAAAAATAAATTTTCATTGAAATTTAGTCCGAAAAAATAAACATGAATGGATGATTGAATCCATTTAGTCACGTAGGCAGTCTCATTCTCTTTTGCTTGAGTTTCGCAAGCGTAAAAAATGGTGATTTGAAAATTCATTATCATCAAAACGTTTCAAGAACGCAATTCGGTTGACCGTTTTGTAAACTTACTTGATTTATTAAAAATCCAATCGATTGACAATGTTGTTCAGTTCCCTTTACCCACGTTATCTTATCACCTCGTATTGTTTTCACGTCGGCATCAACTGTGTTCGATGCAACTTGTCCATTCTATGAAATACGACAAATAATCATAATAACAAATGCAATCAAAACACATTCAATCGATGTTATTCAATAATCAAAACTCACTTGAAATACTCCGGCCGCGTATAGTCCATGAACTGAAATTTTCGTGGAATCAGATTAAATTTTTATACTTTTGATCGACGATAATACGATAATAGCAAAAATGAAACTGATTCAATTTACCTTCATTTAAAATGCCCAAACCATAGTTCATGCCTAGAAAGTCATCAACCACACACATTCCATACATATTCATATCACGAATTATCTGCTTGCACAAGCTATCATAGCGTAGCTCACTGAAAATTTAACCATAAACAGTTCATGTTAACTGGTGCTGTTCTATGTAAATAGAGTCGCATGAGAGAATTACCTCGACGCCAAACTGTTCTCCATTAGATTGACATTCACTTGCATTGTATTCTCCGTAAGACGTTTGTATTGTTCGTCCTTTTGTTGGGCATTTGTCGACTTTTTTAAAACTCCATTCGCATTTGTCGATGGCACACCGTTTACCGTATTTGTAACACCATTTTTACCCAATAATCTATCATGGTTTTGTTGTGTTTCTACTGTCATCGTTGAATTTGATTCTGTTGCATTAAGAAAATGAAGTTAAAATCAATATTTGCTTTTAAGTATTTTTACTCATAATCCAATTTGCACATGAAATTCATGAATTATCATCAAATTTTACTGTTTTCACACGTTTTTCATATAAACATCTCTCATTTTCACTTTTTGTTAAATTGACTTTTATTTAACTTACTTGATGCTAAATTTGTGGCAAATTTTTTACACTCGATTTTATGTACTCTCCAATCGACTTGTTGATGTACTTGTGAACAATAATAAACTGATTTACAACGTGAACACCGTCTTAGTCCATTCAATGATCCACAAACTTTACAGCAAATTATGAATTGTTCCGTACTGCTACTCACACCGCTTGTATTACATTCACCAATGAAGCCAGTGGTGGACGTGATCGATGGCGGCATACTATTTTCATCCGTCATATTTACAATTTCTATGATGGTGTGCACGTACACACACTTTTGTCTATTTTCTATATACTTTTTTGTGTGTCTGTGTATGGGTGCGTTGTTATTGTATAGCCGTGCGTCTGTGTATTAGTGTTTGCCTATTTGTTGACGTTGTTGTCACCATAAAAGCACCAAATATTCTGTATCAAAATACACTGGTGAATCAAACGAAAGAGAAAATACAAATGGGAAGTAAATATCAAATAAATCGTTCAAATTGTGTGTATATTGTGTGCGAATTTGTATTGGTGACTATGAACAATACTCGCTTAGAAAGTAGTTAGACAATGCAGTCGAAAAAAAGACGATAAGAAAATATACGGCGAAAGGTCTATGAGAAATACAGACAACTTCGAATTTCGTTATATTTCTATTTTGACCTATTTGAATGGGAGTCGAGATTTTGCACGTAGACACTGTTCCCGATTATTCGATTTTTGTGTAAAAAAAATAAGATAATCAGAATAAAAATAAAAACAAACAAACGATCGGACGGAGGGCGATAACCGCAACAGCTACAGCTGATTTCTATTATGCTATCTGTGTTCTTACGACTTTAGCAATGGCCACGGATGACTTCGAAACTGATGGGTTTTGAATGCACGGTGTCATTGCAGTGTGTATTTTTAGCAAAGTAATATTTGCAGTTTTATCTGACGCAAATGCATATTACAAATTGTATCTTCTCATTCGCATTACACGTAAACGTTGCATACCATACCATATTCTATTTACGTCATTGGACATTTACTCTCGACGTTTCGAAACTTAATACGCATTTGCTTGCCCATTTACTTCCAAACAATGTTATTGATGAAAAATAAAACTGGTGAACAAAGTCACCTGATCAATTAAAATTCCAATTATCCAATGCAATTTATTAAATGGTGGAGATTATATTTAGAACAAATAAAAACACACGGTTTTCTCTCTTTAAATTCTACTAATTACGAAAAATTCATAAAACGTACACAAACATTTTGTATGAAGGAATTTTTATCCAATCAATCATTTGAAATTTGTTTGCTCCGCATTTCAATTGTAGTAGTTTCGCATGTATTTAAATTATATAAATTCAAAATAAAATTAACAGATGGATCAAAGGTCACTCTAAAAAAAGCACTAATTTTTCTCTTTTTCGTTTTCGTCAAGTTCTGGTTTTTATTTCATTTAGTGAATTGCTAAACATTATCACGAAACAATGAACGATTTATTTACTTTTTTCTTTCGTCCAATAAAATGCACACAAAACACGTTCCAAACAAATTAACGCCACATTAGAAATGCAAGTTTTTCACACGATAATTTATCTTTTCAAGGTAATATTTTCCGTGGTATTTTCAATTTCAGTTTTCCTCTTATTATTTGACTTTTTGCAATATTTTGATGACTTCTGAATTTCTTAACCTTAGCTGTCAAAGCAAATGGGTGCGTTCAATTGCCATACACATTCAAGTTGGAAATATGCGTTTAATTCAAAATACAAAACGTTGAACGTTTACATAAACTTTTGTAATGGCAATACAAATGGATTTGGATTAAAAAATAATGTGATGTTTTTTTTTTCTTTTTTTATCGGCTACAAACACTTCAACGTTTATTTTAGGATTGATGTTTTGTTCATAGTTAATCGACTAATAAGTAATTGACCAGTTGAACAAATTTGGACTCGCATTGGCATTTTTTTTGTTTTCAACTACAATTGAATTGACGACATAAAAATAAATGAATAATCAATGAATAAAAAGTGTTCAATGTTTCCACTGGCCATTATCATATATTCAAATGTGAATTTTCTGACACTTTTTTGTTAAGTGTTATTTAGAGCAAAAAAATGAAGGCCTTAGGTGTTGACGTTACCGTCAAAATTACTTTTGTGTTGATGGGAATTTCTGTAGGGGGATGATAGCAAAATGCAGGTCCTCGCAAGAGTCAATTATATCTAGTGGTAGCTCCGAAAAATATTTTTGGAAGGTTAGGAATCCTCGTCTATACATACATACCTATTATTTCTTATCGACAACATTTGAATTGAATGTCCGAGAATGAAAGCGAGACTTCTATTCACAACTTATTGAAATGTAACACCGCCGTGGTTCATGGCTTTCATTCTCGGGCAATCAATTATTTATTTAGATACAAACCTTCGAAATTCTTACAAAGTCTTCGAAAATGAACAACTCAAAATCGTTTGTGTTTTGTACTACATTGTATTTACGTTTTATTTTCATTTTTAATTTAATAAAATTTGTGTGATCTTTTCATCGTACATAATAACAGTTTCATCAAAAACAGCAAATAAATAATGCCAACAATTTTTTTTTCTTCATTTTTTTGACAAAAAAAAATATCTTAACAACGGCACGATAATGAGCGTGGACGGTATATGTGACTAAATGTACAATTTGATTAATATAAATTTTGTGGTAAAAGTTGGGCTTTAGAAACCTTCTCTCGCTTTTCTATACTGAATACCTTTCGACGTTTCGTGAATGCATGGAACCTATAATGAATGAAACAAAAGAAAAAAACCAAAATTATTTTCAACACAATACATTCGGGGTATTTTGTCTGACCTAAATTTAATTGATTCTTCTTTTATGTAAAAGAGCGAGTCATAGCAGAAATTAAGAGAGGCAGTCTTATTTACCCTACCAAAGAAATATTTATTCTCTTGACCAATTTCCTTTGAATGACCTCTCTCTCTCTCTCTCTCTCTCTCTCTCTCTTTTCAATTTGACATTGTCTAATTTGAATGACTTAGATCTTCTTTTATCAGAACCAACCAACAAAAATGAATTGCAAACAATTCAAGTCGAAGTGAAAAAATTGTAAATTTCCAAAGTTAAATAAATCACAACTTTCTTCGGAGTTTTTGAATAGAAAAATTTCCAGACAGATCCTGACAACAAAAAATCTTTTCAGTCTGTTAATAGAAAACAATTGTTATCGAGACTCATCAATCAGAAAATCAATTAAAAAATTCGAAGAACAAAGGTTGCGCTTATTTTTTTTACCCACTTGGAACCTTTACTGGCTAATTATAAAATAATATTGCTGGTAATACAGCGCATATAAAAAATATAGATATTTTTGCAGCAAAATCATTTTATTTTATGATGAACATATTATGGTGCAAGTACCTGTACAATATTGAAGTAAATAGATCCCATAAGCTGTGCAGCTGGCGTATCATTCAGCTTCTTTAAACAATCAAACAGCATATCATCACACACGCAATGCGATCTAATCGTGCACCCACAAAATACATAAAATATTGTAAATGATTGGCATTCACGATAAAAATACCATAGAATTTTCATCGAGCTATTGTATTTTTATCAAAATCAAAAGTACTGCTCTATTGATTTTTTTTTTCATCATCGAACGTGACTGACCATGTTTCATTCATGAGTACATAGTAATAAATTGGTATTACTTTTGATTTTCATTCGTTTTTCAATTGATTACATCAAGGTGATGATGAAAAAGTTTTTATTTAAGCATCTTTGGCTGCAAATACCATATTTTGCGCTTGTACTTACTTCGTGTATAGTGAATCATTCGTGATGTTGTACTTGGCTTCATAAGCGCGAATTTTAACAGGGCATAAGTCGTGAGTTCGACAACAGCTGTCCATATTCACTTCGGTACCTTTGGAGAAAAAAAAAATTATACAAAATTATATAATTTGATAGAATTTTCTTTACAAAGAAAGTTGAAAAATAGATCCTTTTGGAACGGACAACTTATTAATGAACAAAGGACACGTTGCTATTGAATAGACGTTTACAAAAAAAATGTTACTTTGTTCAACTGTTGTGTCATTGGATGTACAAAGAATGAAAAGTTCAGGGGGAAATCGATGCGACCGCATAAATAATGGATAGAGGGAGACGTAGCTATTTAAAGGTATCATTTTATTCGGTAAGAAAAGCAATTTAGCTAATTATAAGTCAAGTGTACGTGTGAATAGTTGCTTTTCCACGTTGCTTTTTCATTTATTTTGAAATGACAAAAATCCATTGAACTAATGACACACACGTCAACCGAATTAATAGTTTTTGACGCGATCTTTTACTATTTTTAATAATCGATAAACGGAAAAGTTTCCTTCAAAGTAGATATATTACAAATAAAATTGCTCACCCAAATCGCTGTACGTTGTTGCTATATCTCCGGTACCACACCTGTGAATATGTAACATATTTATTAAAGTAATAATTCCCGCAAAAGTTTTCTTATTACTAAAAAAAAGCAAAAACAAAAAGAAACGTACCATTTTGTGCCCGGTATGATTCCACTGAATACGGAAAATGGATTATTTTTGAATTGAAACGATTTGCTGGTATCGCCATTCGATGGGCTTATGTTTCGACGTTCATTACGTTTTAGATTCTGTTTCTCAACAATATCACATTGGTTCATTAATTCGAGCATTTCTTTAAATTGGATTTCGAATGGTCGATTTAGTTTCGACAAATGTTTCAATAGTTTATTCCCGGCACTCTCACTACTACGTAAACGAAAGAAAGTAAATGGATGTTTTGCATGGTTAAATGGTGTGCATTTCAATAAGATTCAACGTTGCGAATGAAATTGGTGTAATAAATAAAGGAAAAAGAACACTTACTAAATTTCAATTAGTTCACAGCCTATTAACAGCTTTTCAGGTCCAAGTTCGACTGTATGGATATAAGAGATACATTATTTGAGATCGAATTCTATTTAGTTTAAATGTTTCCGGTTTTTTGCTATGTCTGAACTAGTTTTTATTGATTTTTTCTCGGCGGGATAGTTTTAAATGAATACATTAATCTGATGTTGATGAAAATAGGTGAATCGATATTTGACTCTGCTCTTCTCATTGTCGCTAAAGAATATTTACTTACCAATTGCGATTGTTTGGTCTGAGTAGTAAATCATTATCAACGAATCATTTTGCTGGCGAATACCGCTGTACAATGAACATACAAAAGACGAGAGAGAAAAAAAAAACAGTGGTTATAGAAAAAATGCCATTCAGTCATTGCCCATTGGGACTCTGTAGGCCAATGATGCGATTCATTTATGATTTATTGCATTTTCATGAGCAAAAAAGTTGAATGGTGAACGGTGAATGTTTATTGTACGCGCTTACCTATAGCTTTTCATTTGTGCAGCATGCTTTCGGCCGACATATTCCTGTGTGAATGATGTGAGCGACGGCAACGATGGGGTCAGTGAAAACGATGGTTTTGCAACCGTACTCGTTAAAATCGCAAATAAGCCACACACAAGTATCGAATGATAGGCAAAATGCCGTCTGAAATTCATTATCAAATTATGCAATTTTCGCTTGGTTCGATGATAGTATTGCAATGTATGCTCTTGGCAATAAGCTTTATGTTATTCGCACGTGTCCATCACTTTTTTTGCAAACACTGAAATCACTTTATTTATATGCATTTAAATTTGCTGGTTGGTTGGTCTTTTTTTCTCTCGTGTTATTCGTTTCGTTTCACGTCTATTTGCACAGATTTTAAGCTTTTAAACGAAATCGATTTGAAATGAGGACAATAAATTCAAAAATGTAAATGTGATCACTGTGTCGTCCGCATCAAGACTGCTGACCGCAGCAAACCATTCTTTCCACCAATCGACAATCGTTCAAAAATTCTAGAATAATAAAGGTTAAAAATAAGTCCAAGCATAACGAAAAAACACGAACCACTTTCAATACATTCTTGTTGGATTGATTTTCTTTCATTCTTTTTTTATGTGTGAGGGGGCGAAAGAGACAATCGATTATATTATCCATCTTCCGCACGAAAATTTTATGTGTCATTTCAATTATTCAAATTTTGTTTTTCAACGGTTTACACCGCACGACATATGATTTGGTTCACATAGAAATAATGTGATAAAATAACGGATAACTATGACAAAACACACATCGATGACAATGAAAATTCAGCTATATTGACGATGTAAATTGAAAATATGTCGAGCGTTGAACATTTTTTTTTAGTTGAATAAACAAATTCATGGAGCTCTTATAAAGCGGTACTCTTCTGTGATGACGTCATTTGGCGATACGACGCCGTAATAATTTATGATTTATGGAATTCAAACATAAATTCCAAAAAATGTATGTTTTCATACAACACAGGCGCGTCTGTGCGTAATGAATTTTTGATATACCAAAGAAGCAACGTCACTTTAAAAAAGGTGTAGATATGTCAATAAAATCGATAAATTCAAATGAACTCGATATGGTTTTCATACTATTTTCATGTCTGGCATTTGTATTGTGTACCACAGTATGTGCAAGTCCAAACGGTCAGTGCGTAAACACACAGACGCGATTCATAAATTATGATAATAGTTCAACAAACATTTCCATAACCCAGAAATACTTGGTCACATCCACTTTTTTCGCTCGCTACATCGATTATCCGTATTTAACCAAGAACTGTAATTACATTAACTCGCAATAATCATTGGTCATCACGCTTAATATAGCCACTACATATATATGTACGTTGCGACAATTCAAGACTCTGTACTAATCTGGTTTACGTTATTACAACACATTCATGTAAAAATATATAGTCGATGCGAAAACGATTGACACATTTCATACATGTCGGTACTCGAACCGGTAAAAACGTTTATGTCGACGATTTTTTAGATTAGTCGATGTGAATACATCTTTGATAAATGTGCAAAATGGGCAGAGCACGTTTTTCAGTTCAATTTTGCATCAAGTGGAACATCATAACAGGGCTTGACGCATAATTCTCTCATTATCAGATTGCTATTTAAGAAAGAAAAAAAACACTATAGAAACTAACGCTGCTGGTTAACGTCAAAATGAACAATAGAAAATCTCCATCAAAATACTCTATAGTCCAACTGTCTTGGATTTAAATTGAAAACTGCAACACGTTTCCTATAACTGCACAAAAATTAATTGTGATTTTAAGCCACAACTCATTTTCTCACAATTGTGAACAATTGGAAAGTGTTGTATTCAAAACAAATTGCAAACAATGCATCACAATTGAATATCGATTGTAATACAATCATTGTATTGATTGAATGCATGCGGTTTATTACATTGCATGTCACTCGCCCACTTGAATTTAAATATCAAAGCGTTTAATTTACATTTGTATATCTGTACAGTGTACACTGAGGCAAACATTGTTCGGAAAAAATCGAACTTGAGGTTGAAATGCGTTAAATTCAATCAAAAACCTGGCAAGGCTTGATTTGACGCAAGGTTTGCGATTTTTCACTTTAAACAATTCGATTTGAAATGCGTGCCAAAATGTATGAAAATCGTAACAAATTTCCAAAAAAAATCTTACAGAGTCAATAAATTTTGTTGCGGTCAAATATTTGTGGTCAAATGTTTGTTGAATCCAAATAAATAGGTATACGCTTTGTTAGAGATAGTTGGACTTGATATTGATGGATTTAACTCAACAATGATGTAAGATATGTGAATATATTGTTTGTGTTGTTGTTTAATCGAACGACTGAAAATAACTTTCTCTTGACACAATAAGATGTATAGTCGTTTCCAAAAAGATCTGTGTTGTCAAACTAATACAATGAATTTCGGAACGCATTTCCATTCAAAAGTACACAAGGCTCCTTAGTTAAACGTGTCAATTTGGTTTGAATTTTGCTGAGGGTATGTTGTTTGTTCAAAATTTTGACGGTTCGCTGTAACAGATCTTATTGAAAACGACTATACAACGAAAAAAATGTATTCATTACGAAAATCCAACGATGATATAAGTAAAAGAATTATTTTTCATATAACATTAAACTTGTGAAAACATTCAACTCTAACAAGAAAAAATCGTTTAATTTTTAATTTGATTGTCGCGACCTTTATAAAATAGAAATAAAAACTGACGAGAAATTCACGCTCGCACTTACTTATGAGAAGAGAGAAAGACGATTTGTATGTTTGCGAAAAGTATTTAAGCGTGATAAATAATGATGAAGATAAATGTGGGTGTATGTGTGTCTGTGTATTCGTTTACTTATGGTTGGGTCTCCAAATCTTTCCCTCCAAATTTATCAACATGAATATAACAAGAGTGAAAATAAATTCGACGCCAAGTTAAAATTACGTGCACTTAATATATTGTTGAAGAGCGACAATGTTAACTTTGCCCAATACCAGTTTTGCAACATTAAATCTCCATCTGAAAATTACGTTTCTGGTGAATTTGCAACCTGATTTAAGTTTGTCGTAAACTTTCGCTTCTTATAAGGTTTTGCGACGAATTTGTTTTTTATGTTTTTCACAGCGTAAAGGGTCAAAGTACCACAACATGTTTGAGCTTATGATATTGGTGACGGAAGTTCGAAGTAACTTCGAGGTCAATTTGTTTTCGTTGTTTATAGCCATAATTAAGCAAATGAAGGATAGAAATAACGTAAATGGTGTTCCAAATTTAAATCATTTAATTGAATCATTCATGTTCAACGACCATAAATCCGAATGATATGAAAATATTTTTAACGATTGTGTGCGCTCGTTGAATGGTCGGCAATTGACAAAATGCAAAATCACTCATCGGGTTTGCAATATATATTTTAACGCAAGCAATATTCTGAAGAATCATTATGTTATTCACTGCTTGAAACCAATTAAATGACAATAATTAGTCCAGTGGCAAATAATCGAAAACAATCTTGAAGTAAAAAAAAACACTAAAACGAAAATGATACGTAGTTCAAACACGCAAAACTTATGTCATAAGCAGGCGAAGACTTAAATTGATGTGCATGTCGCGCGTAAATGTAAAAAATTTAACCACATCATTGGTCACACGAATGACAATTACGCATACAACAGATTGACGTCGAGCAGGACAATCAAATTGAATATCAATTGAATCGAATTTATATCATTCTCAGTCATGCTGTTTATGTGTCATTGTATTCCATTGATGGGCTTGTACCATTTGTATTGGCGATTGTTGAATGCTTTTTGATTGACGAAACCATTCAGCAGCAAACAAATAAACGAAAATTCATTGTAATTGGATTAATTTAGTTGGCGCTTTTAGTTTAAATTCATCCGAATCAAATGTGATTCGAAGCATTTGAGAAAATTTGCAGGGTACAGTGTTGTGAGAGAAAAAATCTCGCCTTTAACACGCTTGAATAAAGTGTGAATTTTGAATTTAAAAAAATATTTCTCATTTATATGTATATTGCACTATACAATAGACGAACTTATTTAAATGATTCGACTGAAGAAGTCGACTGTTGCTTATTAACACAATAGAAAAAAATATGTATAACACATATACACTATTTTGCAAATCTGAGCACTTTCTAATTTTTCTCTTTATCTTGGTTTCGTTCATTTCTTTTTCTGTCTGCTTGTTTTTTTCTTCTTTCCTACTAACGAAATTGGTTCAGTGAAACAACATTTGACAACATCTATTTATACATTCATGTATTTCATTCACGGTCTCAGAACCTACTATACTATATACTATTTTTTTTTTAATAAAATGAAAATAAAACTCATAAAATGGTTTTCATCGTTTTTCACTTGCACTAAAGATGTAAATGGTTCAAAACTACTTCAAATGAAATATAACAATTGTTGAGCGTATTTATTCGGTTGACCGTTGTAATGTTTTGAAAAGAAAAACAAAACCATACAGAAAATGCACGCAAACTTTCTTAATGACAGTTTTGTGAATTTTATTGCACTTGAAGATGAGTTACGCACCGTCCATAAATCGTTGTGTCCAATTCACTTAAAAACAATCTATGCTTGTGATGACTGGATGCTTACCAATTCAACACTGCTTATGTAGCCCCTATGTCACTCAATGCACAACTTCAAATGAAATAAATGAAAAGAAAAAAAAAAACGACGCAAGTTTTGAAAGATGCGGTTTTAACTTCTCTCTGCATCGAGTTTCTTTTTGTTTGTGTTGCCGTTTGCTTTGGTACTTCTTGTGTGTAAACGTGCGTTGTTACCGATTTCTACAGAAAACATTAACAATGGTATAAGCTGCAATGATATGCTTGTATATGTATAAGTGGTGCACAACACACGTGTTGTATATATCATTGACGATAACTTTCCGTTTAACTTGTGAAACTTTATTTTGCTTTTATATTATTATTGTTGTTGATGTCGTTGTCGTCGTGGTCGTCACGATGGCTATAGTTTTGATTGTACTTTAGTGTGCGTAAATCGTCAAAGTAAAGCAAAGAAAATGACGAAAATGAAGAATCGTATAACAACACAATCAAAGATAACAACTCATCACGTTTTATCGACAGCTCCCTCCACTCTTCAGCATAAAACTTCAACTCAATGTTCATCGATTTTATTATATTTCATTTATATTTGAACGACAACAACAACATTCAACCAACTTAAAATATTATACTCAACATTTTTTTTTTTTCATACGAAAATGTTCGGATACGCTTTTTATTCGATGCATCGACAACCTGATGGATATATACTTACGTTTATATAGAAAAAAAAAACTACTGAACGACAAATTATGCACGATAGAGCACGGTAGCTCGTTAGATGGTTTTTGTTATTAGTTTCAACGATACTTTAATTAACTTAGATTCGCATAGTACGGTGTATGCTTTTTGTCTCGCTCACTTCCATTTATTTTATTTCATTACATTTAACTTTATGATTAACTCAATAAAACATTCCTTTAAGTTCATTAAAAGCGAATCGCACTTAATCCGCAACAAGTGCCCAAACAAAGTGGGGATAATGAAAATGCGTTAAGCTCTCTATCCATCTATCTCACTTCCACTCCCCGACTACGTCTCTATCACTCCAATTATTGTGTCAATCGTGTGCTGTCATCTGACCATGGAATGCAGAAAAGTCTTAATTCACACTGTAACACAAACAGAATATTAATCGTTGATTATGTTCCGCAAGTTATAAAATCATCATATGGTAAATATTTAACGATATGCTTATATATACATTTTCGTGTCGAGGCTGTTCAGAAAACATATTATCCATTCAGATATCAGCCGAATGGCTCATGCAAAATTTGCGCTTTTTTTATTTTCCAAAGAATGAAACAATGTTTAAGGAATTTGCGATGTAATAGAAATAATTCATACATTTATGATATCATTCATCCGAATTGTATGCCATACCTGATATTATCATCTCACCTGGTAATCACAATAGCATCCAATGCTTGACATCCGTAAGATTGTAACGGTTTAACAAAACTTTTCCGTCATTTTTATCTGAGAACGTTCTATGGATATTCTCCAAAGCAATGACGCACTTTTATTCACAAAATTATGAATGAATGTATGTGGGCTAATCGACCGAATATTGTTTTATCAACATAACAATGCAGCAGAGAGGGCGTAATAAAATTCTGTTCAGAATTAAATTTTGATAAATAATTTGCAAACACAAAGATGTAGATAAGTCATCATTAGTCATAAGTTCCAGAACTATTGCTTTGGTAACACGATGCTGATGATGGTTGAAATTCTATTGTATCGATTTGATTTTAATTGAATGTGAAGGTGTTATAATAATGAAGAAGGTCGTAATCTACCTTGAATTAATCCTTTGCAAAGTGTATTTTCATTGTTGTGTACGTGTTTCAAATCAAATTAATAATGCTAATAATAGCAAAGTGATACTAATCGCATTTATCTTCTTCCGGCAAAGTTTCGACTCACTGAATTTCAATATGTGGTGTGATGCATATATTGATAGAAAAAAACATGTATTTGACCAATTTAATTGTTGTATTGTATCGCAATAATTTCGCCATATATCGAAACGTACCAGATTAATTTGATTAAATATATATTGCACATGTTACGAATTCTACCTAATGATTTTGTTGCTCATAATTTATCTATATTGTTTTGAAAACTGAATTCGATTTCAAACAAGCTAGAAAAATTTGTTAAAAAAATCATTTGTTCGGTGTATATTTCGAATTCTTTTTCAAAGTATTAGTAAACAAAATTGTAACATTTTATCGAACAAGTGAGTTTTTACGAAAATACAAGAAGCACCATGCTGAGACAGTCTTGGCAATTTACTTTATAACGCACATTTATAATCCAGAGATATTATCGAAAAGTGTAATTAATGTTTAATCAAACAAGCGCATACAAACCATTCAATATCGCCTGAATAGAGGTGATCGCATGAATTCGTGCAAGCCACACGATTTTGATTCAAATATAAATCAAATTTGTTGTCAATTGTTCGGTGAATGGTGGCCAGAGAGGTAGGTAGATACATGCATTTAAAACATGCTCATTGAACTTTATTGCAAAATAAAAAGCATTCCAAATCGATTTATTATTACTTACTAATAGCATATGTCCAAAAAAAATTGGCAATCTTTTGTGAGCTATCAATATACAATTAATTAAAATTAAACATATTTCTAATATATAGTCGCATTGCATCCTTGAAGTGTCATAAAATATCATACAGACAAATTTGTGACAATTATTATAGATTTTACATACTTTTTGCTTATAATTTACATTTAATGGGAATTTAGTAGATGTACATTTTGAGCTGTATAAGATAAGGACCAATTTCAAAATGGTAATCGAGCTTAAACAAATGTATCAGTATGTATATATACCAAAAAAAATGAGCAAAATATATGACTTGAAAGTATATTAATTTTACACCTCATTTGCATCAAATTTAAATTCTAGAATTGACTGACTGAGTCTCGATGTTGATATTGCAATTATTTGATTTCTTCGTAAATTTTCAAATTCATCATAAATTGGCTACATCGTTGATTTTGCTGAACATGCTCTTCGTGTTGTATTTCGAATCAATAGGGAGATAAACGACCCACCTGTTGTTCTTCAGCAGTGTGCAATTGACAGGATTCGTTGCGCTTTACATTCACGTAATTCGCTTTTTGCCGCAGAAGTTGTTGCGGATTGTGTATAAAATGTATCACGTAAATGGTTTATTGGTAATGCACGGATTTCGGTGAAAATAATTCGATTTAGAAATATGTACATGTGCATATTGCTTTTATAATCGATATTGTATGTATTTGTTTGGCTTGTTTGCCAATATGATGAATACATCAAGCTATGAGTATGAAATAAAGAGTGTGAAAGATTCAAAACATTGACTGATTTGTAAACAGAAGATATTTTACCAACCCATATTGTTTACATAGTTACGTTGAAGGTTTTGGTTTAATTTTGGGTATCAATTTAAAGAAAAAAAAAGTATGTAAAAAAATCTACGAAAATGTCAGACAACCAATAAATATAAATGGTGTAAAATAATATAAGACATACAAATATTGTATAATAAGGTATACAAAGTGTGTATGTCATTCACGTTTTTAGCTTGATTTTCAATTACACGAAATTCATCGAATCATTGTAATACAAAGAATTCCATTCATTCTAATGCCGCCACTGGTTCATGACCTTTAATTTATAGTACCCGTTTCTGGATTCGAATACATATGTGTATCATATTCAATTCAATTTACAATTGAAGCAAATTGAATCCATATTTTCGCATGTCTTCCTATGAAATCTAATTTGATCGAGATAAAACGGGTTTTGGTCAGAGTCATACCCGTCGGCCAGAATCAATTGCAGAGAATCAAACTTTTTTTTTTTTTTCAAAAGTTGACATATGCAGCAAAATATCATGTGCTCATTTCAGTGTTTACAAACTGCTCAACGGAAAAATGAAATTGAGCTAAGTAATGGGTGTTCAGAAGTTGAACTGAAAAGAGGTAAATAGAGTAGTAAAAAACACGCTCGCTATAAAATCATTTTGTTTAGTCTAATCGACTATGTTTAAAAGTAAAGTTCTTTAGTGCTAATGAAATGATACGTTATCAAGTCTCGGGCGTCCGTGAATGGGAAAATTGCAGTGCACATATATTTCGTAACTTGAATATATGAACAGTCAGCTGATTCTAAATTCGTATCTATGCCATTCTCAATTATTGGAACATATGACAATCTCAACGTATCTTCTCCATTATATTTTTCACTGTACGTAAAAAATATGCTTACTTAGCTTCTCAAATAATATAAAATTATCATTGATCACTTACGATACTTAAATTCGTCATTGTGTATTATAATAGTCTATTCTCTTAATTGATTGAAGTACCATTACCCAGTATGATGTCAGTATTGCAAAAAAATCTTCCATAAATCCGAAACAGTAAAAAAGAGCATAAAAAATCAACCAACTTTCAATCGACAGTAGAACATTCTCAATCAAAAAACAATGACTATGAACAATTAAATGAAAGCATTTTACATGATAGAGTCACATAAATATAAAAAAATGTGGTGTAATTTCGAAAGAGAAATGCAACGTTGAATGCAATTTTAGTGTGTATTGTCACAAAATGCCCTTTACATCTACTACAATTACGCGTTGATCTGTCTGAGTAAACTGAGTGTTGTTTTATTTGTTTCGAGTGTCCTATCGTTTGTTCAGCAGCACGTTGAATGTCACGCAAACGCAAGGGAACAACAAATCGAATGGGCAACAGACATCAGCACATTGACGCGAATGAATACGTGCATTCGCCGTATGGCTTTTGCTTTTGTATCGTTGCCATTGTGTTGCCATGATGTAAACGCAAAGGAAAAGAGAGACCGAGTCGACGAAAAAAAAGAGAAAGATTTCGTCTTTGAGGCTGACTATGCGGCACACACACACTACATTACACATGTGTTTGAGTTCATATGCACATCAAATGTGTCACGCTGGTCGCGTACACACAACACTTGTCCAATTTCATGTTGTGAAACGGAAAAAGTGCGGCCCGAATGTGTGCGAGTGAAACAACAATAATAATAAATGTCAAAAATTGCAAGCAACCACAAGAAGACGAAGAAAAAAAAACGAGAAATAACATACACACTCACGCGCGCTCTTAGCGTTTACACACTCGACTCGGTCGTCGTCCGTCACACTCGGCGCGCTCACTAACAAATAACACTAACATCATCAGTTTTTTTTGTGTATATCTACAACGTCAAAACAATGTTTTGATTTTGACATGACCAAAAACGAAATTAAATACAACCGAAAAGTCAACACTTTTTCTACCTATTCGCCCAGAATTGAATCGTTAATTTTTGGTTTGAATTAATTGTTGTTGCATTTCACAACGAACGAATGAGAGAAGAAAAAAAAAGTACACTTTTTGTGGTGGATTTTAGTGCACAAGTGTGTTAAAAATTGCGGAATATGTGAAAAAATAATATCGCTAGCATATTCCTCGAATTTATTTAAGTTATTTTGTTCGTCGTCTTGTGTTCGATGTATCCTGTGTAATATTGTCCGCCGTTTCGTACATCGTTCATATCTATATTATATTTAAAAGTATTTAATATAATTGAATTGGCGATCAATGTGTGATCTATTGAAAATAATGCATTAAAAAAAGTATGTGTCAAGTGTAAGAAAATTTTCAAGTAAGCAAATGCATTTTATTCTTTGCAACATTCAATCATTTGGCATAAATCACATTTTTTTCCCTATCTTTTTCGGATGATATTGCTGAATTGTGAATTAAGTGAAACCTGTTTTATTTTTTTTGTGAAACATGTTGAATGAACTGTAGAAGAAAAAAAAGGGAAAAAAATCAATAAACAAGCGAATAAGAATTCGGACATTAGTTTGTTTTAACTGGAAACATGAACGGCTCACAAAAAAAAACGTGTTGAATAGTGCAAGCAGTCTTGAGGATGTTTGCGTGTGATTCGACGATTGAACAAGTTTCATTAAGAATGCTACGCTGTGTGAAAGTACTGAATATTATACGATTTATGTGAAGAAACCTTTTTAAACTGTGGGCTTGAGAGGTTCGCTGACATACATTCTTGGCTTCACCTCCATACCTCTATGCGACGCATACTTTTTTACTTATTCATGACGACAGTCAATTAAATCACAAAAACAACAACTAGCGCAAAGGAATGGGTTTTTTTCTTCCTCTTTTATTTCATTCAATTGGGTTCTTCGAAGAAACACTTTTATATTGAAGTGAACTTGAAATGTTTTGGCGTCTTTTAAATCGAATTAAATTTGAATCATAAAAACAACGGTGTATGGCTTGGATATTTGAAAAGAAAAATAACTTAACGTAACTTAATGTATTAACATCAAAAACAAATAAAACTGGACTGTTATTTTGGTGTCGTTGTTGATCATGTAGGCGTACACTTGCGGACAAATAAATCATTTTACGATGAAATCAACGAACAGTCTTTCAATTGAAACATTTACTTTTTTGTTGCGATTCAATTTTCTGAACACAAAATAATCGTAATTATTTGAGCTATAAAGGAGACGAAAAAAAAATTACACCACAAAGTGAAAAAAAAAAAACAACAGCAACGACCAATCAAATACGCATACAAATTGAAATATAGCCAACGCTTTTTGTGTGAGCTCATTTATATGTGTAATGATATGCCATCAAAATCAATGATCACGTCAATTTGATCAATTGTGTGAGCAACACACACACACACACTCCACGGCTCCGCATGATGATTTAGTCATTCCTGATTTTCAGTGCTATTTATAACAAATTGTTGTGAATCATTTTTATTATCATATATGTACACTGACTTAGTGCTATTTCACATTCACAACGATTGATTTGCATTGTCTCCTCTCTTTCACTCGATTTTATTTCTGTCGTATACAAATTAATCGGACGTTTAACATTTAAAAGAGCCAATTTAAAGAGCATATAGAAAAACAATAACCGCGGAAGTATTTAGATGTATTTATTTTCGAAACGATGAAAAATTTGTTGCATTGAATATGAAATTCGATTTCTTAGACTTGACCATATTGGTAAAAGAGGATTAAAAAAATCCTTATGGTTTTTTTCCAATCGGCACTTAATTTATTTATTATTTTTATGTGTGTGTGTGTGCTTTTTTTCTTGTTGTTCTGATAAAAGAATCGTAAACGAAATCTGTTCATATTTTTCTAAATAAAAGTCGAAAATCATTGAACAAATATTCTTTATGTGCTTGTCTAATTGTCTGTTTGCCTTCAGCGTTCAGCGTTCAATCAAAATTTTCTTGTTATTCGCGGAACATTCGGCCCATAAACACTATTCTATGAAAATATTTTGAGTCAATAATAATAGAGACATATGCAGAGCTCGAATGCAACACCGAACGAATAGACAGCACAATACACAAAAAAATGTAGATTATGAATAAATAACAAAAACCTACAAGTTGTTGCTTGTTACGTTACGTGTTGCGGCGGCGGCAAGAGCCGCTGTTTATATGTATTATTATTTCTTTTTTTTCCTTCATTCAGTTTTTCTGTGTTTGTCATTTTTTCGTTATTATCTGTTACTCTATGTCAATAAACCAGTCTAATTGATCCCGACACGAATCGCTGCAGTAACAGAAATGTATTGACATAGCAATTGAGTACCAAACTATGGGTGTAAATATTCAAATGGATTCGAATAATCAGAGTGTGAGATGGAAAAGCGTTATATATTGTTCAATGAATGATACGACAATCACAATGAGCGCCAAAATTGAATTTATTTCGTCATAGTGCTCAGAATGCTATCAAACGAGAGTGAAAGAGAGAATCGAATGAGAGGCAGAGAGGGGGAAAGAGAGAACAAGCCAGTAATCAGACCTCCGACTATCAAGTGAAAATTGCATTTTGATTAATTTAATTAACCAAAAATGAAAATCGACATAGAGACAAGTCTCAATTTAGTGGCAAACCAATGCAACTCATTCGAACCGAACATACTACGGTTATTATGGAGAAAAGTTTGAGTGTGAATGATGAGTACCTTGATATTTATTCTGAACTATCAAACGGTTGTTATCACAGCTGAATTGAGAAGAAAAGAAGCGAATATCAATGAAAATCGCGTTTGCTTGGGAATAATTAATCGCATTCAAATCGATGATAATTCCATGTGATAATATAAGTTCATCCGAATGGAATATAAAAGAGTACTTCTATATAAAAGTATTTCTTATAAAATGAACCGTATTTCCATCTTTTAAAATGATGAACTTATCATTCGTTTCAACTAAAACAACATGCCCATTATCAAACCATTTACATAAATATGTATATGCATGTACATATTTGAAGTATAAAATTTAGTTAGAGGGTTAGAAAATGCGACGAAGAAAAGCGAACGAGCAAATTAAATAAATAGCACAACGAACACCCTACTAAAAAAGACAAGCAGACACATGAAGAGTGTGTGTATACTTCTCTTATTATTTCTTTTTTTTTATATCGAGTGGCACACCAAAGCCATAATATACGCAAATTTTTATGTGTCTACTTGGTACATTGGCGAAACTGTGGCGCAGTAGCAAAACAGCTTCGCAACTGAACGTACATCATTTCACTTTAGTCGTGCGGCTGCTATTCGAATACCGCTCGCGCGCGATATATAAAAACGGTTCGATTATGGCATCGACATAAAACATTTTCAGTTTTGCTTCGAAGGCAAATCATTTCGTTAATAATATTCAACTGAACTTGAAAGTGAGAAAAACACCAGATCCGAATTTTTGAAGGATTTTCGCATGATAAATGAAGAAGATACAAAATTTTTGTTTCTTTTTTTTATTGTTATAGATACATGACAAAAACATTAAATGAAAATTACATTCAAATTGAATATAGATTGTAAATATAATATAAACGAAAAGTGAAGTGTGTATCGTGTCTGTTAACCGCCGATTTTATTCAACAACATCCATTGATCCAAGTAAATTAAATTAAATGGTATATTCATCGTGTGCTGTAACATTGTTTTGCGATGTTGTTGTTTTTTTTTTAACACAGAAAAAGCGAAAAGAAAGAAAGAGTGTAAATGGGTTTCGAAGGCGCCTTCGGTTCGTTGATATTATGTTGTTTGCCTTCAATATACACAATTTGAACTTTACCGTATTTAATCCCTTGTGTAAGAGTGTATGCGGGCCAGATTTCAAGATTAGATGCCAAAGATTACGGAAAAAGGCGGAATGAGTTTACAATTTCGTGATGATTGTATTATGATATAAACAGCTTTATCTCTCTATACATTTTTACACATATTTTGTCTATATGGCCAAATTGCTGCCTACAAAACACTTTTTCTTCTTCTTATCACTCTCATGGTCTATTGAAAACGGTTGCATGACATTCGTAATTTTTGGTGTGAATTTGTTTCTTCTTCTTCTGTTTATTTTTAAAAGCTCTTAATGATTGCGATAGAAAAGAGATATTAAATACCGCTGATGGAGATGCGCCGAATTTTTTATTTTCACCCAAAGTAAAATATGTCCATTTATAGAATTAGGGTGTACCAATTTTTTTCCCTTGGTGACATCGGTCATATTTCAAATGGTATATATGTATATATAACTAACGGCTATTATTTTGATTTATATAATCATTCCATGCATCGGATTCTATTATTAGCTTTATTTTATTTTCCAAGTTCAGGTCGTCACAAGAATGAAAACAAAAAAAGCATTAGTTTGAATAATGATGGGTAATAACTAAGAAATTGTTCGACAAACAGTGCTTCGACTCTGCCACAATTTAAAACATTTATTTTTACACTTAATTTATTTGAACTATAATTTAATAAGCTATTAGAAAAATAATATAATTTACAGAAACATAATCGTGACTATCTTAGTTTGCATCGAACTGAACGTGAATGTAAAACGAACAGAGAATCGGATCGGAAGAATTTATTTTATCAGCTACGCTGTCGTTGTCTTGATAATGAGGCATATAATCGCATATTTACGTCCTCCACTTCAATTCGTCATCGTTGATTTATTACAAATGTTGTCCGCCATAAATAAGCATTTCGATTTGCCGCAACTATATTATTAGGTAATATTATTGAGCATACAAGTAATTCATTATTTGCATTTTGAAATTGAAAAGAAAAAAAAACAGCATTAGAAACTTCGATTTTCCATCGATAATTTAATCAAAAACTCACAAAATTGCAAGAAAAAACTTTTAGAGGTTGATTCGATTAACTTCGTAAAATATTTTTGTGTCTCTTGCTAATTGTGTTAAAAGTTTGTTGAAATATTCCGTCTTTTTTTTTCAATTTTATCAAAACAATTTTTTCTCTCTCTCTCTCAGCAGATTACTATCTTGATATGAGTATCATCGAATGAAATAACTCAAGTGCAAAAAGTGGGGTATTTGTGTGGCGAGAATAAATTTGAATTGTAATCATCTGAGCAGCGGTTTGTCTAAAAAAAAGTGTATAAACATCATGCTGTCGAGCTATCGATTGAATCATATTTCAAATGAAGATTTGCAAGCAGTTACATTTGTGCCATATAAACATGCAATATTTCAATCTCATCACCATCATCATCATCATAATCATCGCCGACAGTCATGCTGCAGCGTTTTATTCCCAATGGCCTTTGAGCGTGCGGCACCAAAGTCAATTTTAAATCCGCGATTCGATTCCATTATCTTAGAAGGTCAATATCAATCGAGCGTTTTTCCACAAATCCGGCTTAGATATCGGTAAATGAGTGCATACATGATTAGAAAATGGCACGAAACATCATGATGGTTTTAAAATTGTTTTTACATATATTTCAGATACGCATTGATTTACGTGATTTTAAGTACATTGATATGGCTGGGATATCATTTGTCTGTGTTAGATACGTCGGTTGCACGGATGCAGCTAATCACACTGTATGCGTCATACGTTATGGTCCTATTGACATCGATTCTACTGTATTTTTTGACCTACACAAAATTTTATCGTGTTCACACAACGTTCGTTTCAATAATAACAACGATTATATTGTGCGGCACATCGCTAACACTTCTCAAATTTACGTCCATTGAACTGTTTAGTCCGCTGGGTCATTTTAGCATGTGTATCGAGATAATTTTACTAATTTACACAATGATCCCATTTCGTCTGTGGCAAAATTGTTTATTGGCCGCAATTTATTCAATTCTTTTTGAAATTGGATCGTTCCGATCGAATGACATCAGCACATCAGTTACCTACAAAATAATTGTAATGAGACTGATGCTACATCTATGCGTGCATCTCATTGGACTCCATATTTTAATTATGAACGTTGTACGAATGCGCGGCACATTCATTGAGGTTGGACAAAATCTGCTCGTTAAGAGGCAACTTGAGATGGAAAAACAGGTAATTTATTTTTATTATTTTGCTGCGCTTTTCTCTCTCTGTCTCTCCCACAATGGGGAAATATGAGATAAATCTGACGTTGAGTCTAATTGGGTTTTGTTTTCAAGTTGAAAGAGAAAATGATACACAGTGTTATGCCACCGAGAGTTGCAGACATGCTGTTGAAAGAACGCAGCAGCGGAGATCAAGCAATGTTTGGACCAACAAATGTTAAATGTTTATTTCGTCCATTTCACATGGCAAGGTATATATTTAAATCGCAAACAATATCATTTGAACATTCATTCATTCATTTATTGGTGTGTGCTTTGTCTCTTTCATTGAATAGCATGGACAATGTGAGCATTTTGTTTGCGGACATCGTGGGATTCACAAAAATGTCTTCGAAAAAGACAGCCGAACAACTTGTTGAAATTTTGAATGACCTTTTCGAGAGATTTGACGACTTATGTATTCTGAATGGTTGTGAGAAGATTTCAACCCTCGGCGATTGCTATTATTGTGTATGTTTAAATAATCTGAATTCTTTCGACATTTAAACATTTTATAATGAGAATTTATTGAAATCATGATTTTTAGGTGGCGGGCTGTCCGGAACCGAGAGCTGATCATGCAATTTGTAAGTTTACTTTTTTCGCTCTTTTCCCGACTTTTCTAAATTGAGTCTAATTCGTTTTTTTTTGTTCGTCAGGCACTGTTGAAATGGGTTTGGGAATGATTGCGGCTATGCGTTTGTTTGATACCAAACGACATGAAGGCGTAACAATGAGAGTAGGCATACACACTGGTTCGGTTTTATGCGGTATTGTCGGAACGCAACGTGTAAAATTCGATGTGTGGAGCAATGATGTCTCGTTTGCAAATAGAATGGAATCAACTGGAAGACCCGGACAAATCCACATCTCAGAGAAAACATATGCATTTTTAGAAAACAAATACATCTCCGAGCCCGGAGAAGAGGTTGAAGGTAATTCTTGTCTTATAGTCACACTCAATTCGAACTAAAATTAATTTCTTTTCACCGTTTCATAGGTTTAAAGACGTATTACATAATACGGCGAAAATCAACAAAATCTTATGAGCATCTACGACCAAATGATCTAAATTTAAGTAGTATTCCAATGTCAAAGAATGGTGAAACGAGTAACGCTCCAAAGTTAATATCCCAAAGTGCGACCAATTTGGCTGTTCGCCATGATTCAATCTCACCGTCGGCACTATCAACGGGAGCAGCTACATCCCCAGCGGCGACGGCAAACCGATGTCGATCAACAACGCTCAATAAATTAACACGTTGCCTTCGTTCCAGTGTGGTGAACTCCGGTGGTAACGCTACCATTCAAGCCAAAGACCAATCAAATCAGCTGCAGCTGTCACAGCCGCAGTCGCAGCAACAACAAAAACCACCTCAAATATTTGTGTCGACTAAATCGCTTCCAGAAAGTTTAACTTCCACAAATCCATCCATTTTGAATTGTTGTCCAAATTCACTCACCCCAAACAGTAGACCATCACCATCATCTGGTAACGATACGTATACGGAAAATTCAAAAATCGGTGATTCAACAATAATGACCGCATCCGATTCAGTTCCAAATAATAAATCGATGCGTCAATGGAAACTTCCGAAATATTTGCGTAAATTTGATAGTCGCAATAATAACAATGACATAAAATGTGATAAAGATTGTGTGATGAATGACGGCATAGTCGATGAAACACGTATCGATAATAACGATCAGTCGTCATACCAGTTGCTGCCCATTATTATTCAGAAAGCAAATACCGAAACGTCATTGAGTGCCATTGATCAAAATGTAAGCAGCAATGGAAATTGTTTTGATCATGAACATATGAGAATCGAACGAACGGCAAGCTGTTCGCCCAGTCCACGATCGAATACACACCTAAATACAGATGTTATTGATGTTCGATCGTACATTTCTCAATCGAGAAGTGACACCATTTATGACATAACACCATTTTACCCGGAACGTGCTGATTCATGTAAATATCGAACACATCGTTCGTACTATGGTGATGTGTCACCGATGCGTCGGCCACGATCGAAAACGGTAGCGGGTCAAGAACATTTGAGTAGTAAACTTAGTCATGAGGCGTCGATCAATGAGCTACGCGTTCCAAATGCACGTATTCGGAAACATTCTCATTATTGTAATTCAACATCGAATAATCTACAATTACCAGAAATACCGCCAAATCACACATCCATTTCACAAGAACGTTTATCGACCGGAGATATTGGTTCGTGGGTTACAAATATATCAGACGATCCCACATCGGGCGAACAATCATCAGCAATTGTGATACCGGCAAACGATGAAATTCACATGGATCCGCTGAGAAAGCAAAGTGATTTGCAGCTCGTTAAATGTGTAAAAGAAAACGCAAAGTCACAACAAAACTATTTGGTAACACCGCCAATTTCAAAATGTTCGTTATTCTTTTTGTCACCGCTGATGGAAAAGGAATTTCGAGACGAAGCGCATCAGTTGAACAAAACAAACGGACCACTTACAATCGCATTTCCAATTTATAACACGTATTTTGACATTTTTATCGGCATCATTATATTCGCAACGGTGTCCATTGCCATGTTCTTGCTTTCAGCCTCCGAAAGGTTCAATAACACTGCATTGCAATGGCTTTGGCTATTCTTGTTTGCATCTTTTTCTCTCATTGAATTGCTAGTTTTAACTCTATTTACTCGGCGATTGTTTCGAAATCGTGGAAAGTCATTTGGGCAACAGCATAAATCGCAAGGTACCGAGTTGCAAACAAATGATGAACGAAAGCAACACACTTCTGATGCACTGAATACCGGACAAACCATGTCCAATACGGTTACAACATCGAATATAACAATTGATTCAATCGCTGACCACGAATCTTTGAACGGTGACCGAAATTTTGAAGACAAAATTATCAATTCGATTTCAAAATGGTATCGCTGGCACATATCGCTTGGAATTTTAATGTCGTTGCCGGCCATTTTAACACTTGTACATTTTCTCATTTCGAGTATGTCAAATGATGCGTCCGTATTTGGATGTCATTATGGTTTTTTAATGCTCATTTCAATCGTGCACTTTTGCAATTTCACACAATTGAATTGTTGGATGCGAAATTTAATGGCAGTTGTTGTGGCGCTTGCATTTATTGGTGGAATATCGATGAATCAAGTTGAATGGTCGTCCGATGCTGGTATGCAATTCGAAGTGCAAAATACAAGCCTCTCACCGCCCATGTTGATTCTATCTGATGGATCGATGAGGAATAGAAATGAAAGCAATGGCAGCTCGTTCGTGAATCAAACGCAAGCATTTTATGATCGAAAGAAGCCACATTGTTTTGAAAAGAAAATTGATTTGGAAATCTATTTGGATTTGACATTGGTATTAATTCTCGTTTGGTTTTTGAATCGAGAATTTGAGATATTTTATCGTTTTGCATTTTATAGCAGTTCCATTGCTGAGAAAGATAAGGTTCGTGTTCAGCAAATGAAAAACCAAGCCGATCTCTTGTTGCAAAACATAATCCCAAGGCATGTGGCCGATCATTTGAAGAATACCACCAAATATTCGGAAAATCATAAAAATGTTGGCATCATTTTTGCATCGTTAATCAATTTCAACGAGCTGTATGACGAATCATACTTGGGCGGTCGTGAATATTTAAGAGTACTCAATGAACTGATTGGCGATTTTGATGAGTTATTAAGCCGACCCGAATTTGCGAGTGTTGAAAAAATCAAAACAATTGGAAGCACATTTATGGCCGCAAGTGGCTTAGACGATAGTTTACGCGATCAAAATAGTAACGGTCACATTAATGCTTTGATGGAATTCGCATTGGCGATGCAAGAAGTTGTCGCCGCTTTTAATAAAGATTTGCTAGAATTTGATTTAATACTTCGCATTGGGTTTAATGTCGGTGACGTAACGGCCGGCGTTATTGGGACGCGAATGCTTCATTTTGATATTTGGGGCGACGCGGTCAATGTTAGCTCAAGAATGGATAGCACTGGAGTGGCCGGACAAATACAAATTGGAAAAGATTGCATCCCATTTTTGGATGACCAATTGTACGAATTTGAACCGCGCGGAAGTGTTTTTGTGAAAGGAAAAGATAATATGGAAGTGTATTTAGTTAGGCGTAAAAGACATTGAATACAATGTCCACTTTTGGCAGAAGTGCCATGAAGGTGGTGGTCGCCAGATACAGAGACGTCTACAGGATTTCGTCCAGCGGGGAGAGGCAAGGCAAATGAAAAACGAGGACAATTTTCCTCACCATAAAGTTCTAGCAAATTGAGAAAAATTTCGACGAAAATCTCTGCCCTCTCCTGTGGACGCCCCTGGCCAGATACCATTTGAAATTCGAAATACCAGTGCAAAAAAACATATGCCAGATTCAATTTTATGCATGAATTATTCGCTGAATTTTCTCTTACATCTTCTACTTTTTTCATTTTCAATTGCACCTGATGAAATCTCAATGATATTTTAAAACAATATTAACGAAACTCTAAGTCGAATTTAAAGACAACAATTAATTCCAAGTACTCACACAATTTTGCAATAAATATAACCAAAATGAGCATAAATCTTGTGTCCTTCAATATGAAAGGCTACAGATATAACTGTTTTTTTGAATGTCTTTGTAGTCAATGTAAATGTGCTTACATATATATATTTTTTTGTCATTTTAAGGACGTTTAACTTTTCTTTGTCATAGCTACTGCCCACAAGATAAAAACGCGATAAAATAGGTGTAATTTTTAGACAAAAAAACCGTAGACTTTATTTCTGTATAAGTTGCAATGTGAAGCGCTTACTTTCTGTTAACGAATCTGAATATTTTTATTTTTAATTTATTGATTAATATATTGACCTGCTTGAGCAGGGAACCCCAGATTAGCAAATGAAATTTAAATATTATTTTTGCAAATTCATGTATAAGCGATGTAGAGAGGAGAGAAGATCAAGTTTATCATGTTAAATTTTATAAAATATGTTTTTAACATAGCGAAATCTTTTATATTATATACTAAATGTGATACAAAATGATTACAACCGTAAATTTTATTGCTAAATGAAATGTATGCCTGAGACAAACAAAAATTTTATGTATATGATTATCACGAATTTATATATTGAAATAAAAATAAATTTGTGCAATGTGCATTCATTACTCTTAATCGCAAATATTTGGTCATTCACTTTTGAATTATTTCACCCGGGAACGCACCCGTCACAAACACATCACACATACACGTGCACAACCGTAAAATGTGTCAACTGTCAAACAGCAAAACAAAGGTGATAGCGGACAAGAAGAATTAAAGATATATTTTACTTAAATTACAAACTAAGTTTATCGAAATATATTTGCTTCGATAAATTGCTGAGAATTTTCTGTTGAAATTCCAGTTAATTATATTCCGAGAAAAAAACACAAAAAAGCATCATTTTAGTTTTCATTCCGAATTGCGTCGAATTTTGTCATTGCAAACGTAATTTTTTTTTTATAAAAAATTTTTTTTTTTTTTTTTTTTCATTCGTTCACTGCTAAAGAATTGTAGAATAACTGAAAAAAATTATCTGTATCATAATCATCGCTTAAATCATGGACGATGAACAATTTTTCGAGTCAATTTTGGCAACCGAAAGTAATTATCATTTCAAACCGCTCAAAACGATTCCATACAGCACGTAAGTTGCAACGATCAAAGTCGAATGGGTTTCTCTAATTAACTAATATGACTAATCGTTGTCTATTTTGCTTCGTCACTATTTGTTTCTCCTCATATTTAGAATTCATGCTGTAATTTCCTTTATAATAAGTGTGCTTGGAGCATTTTTGGCATGTGTGTGGCAGAGCGATACCGATTGTGAAGAATATTTTCTTATTCTCTATTTGCGTTGCATTTTCTGGATTGTTACATTTGTAAGTACTATATTTGAATGATGTTTACAAAATTAAAAGCACAACAAATTGCTAAATGAATTGGTTGTCAACAGTTATACGATCATATCATAAAATATCATCATGAAAAATTACGAATGAATGGATATCATGAATTTTATCGTGCAACTTCATTGCACAAAGGTGTTCCGTTGCACACGGTATCACTGTGGAATACGATTATTTTGGGCATTCAGACAATCATGCAACATGAATATGGATCAAAATTTTTCGATCATTGCACCAAGAGCTTCTTCTCACCAACCACTTACATTGTTCTATTCTGTGCATTTGAAACTACTCTCCTTATTGCCGTGCATGCATGGTATATTATCAGAGTTATGAGATTCAACCGAGCAACATTGCCACCAGATGCCTATCGTGGACTCGCCGAAAGCATGGACTCGGTAATGTTATGATCTTATTTACACAGATTAAATGAATATTTACGATTTTTTTTTCTTCACATTTAATTGACTTTAGGTGGGTGTTGCAACGCGGGATACAGAAGCGAATGACTTACTCGAAAAACAGGCCGATCTTATTAATTATCTTAAGGACCACAACAATAAATTGAACCAAAAATTAATGACTCTCAATGCACAAATACGGGCATCGTCTGGAAATATACCGCAAAATTAGACACGATTTATAGTTTAATATAAATGCAACCCAACATTTTGGAAGATTATCGTAAAAACTTTTTTAACCAAATCAACAACACAGATTCAAAGTGTCCATAGTTTACTTATTCAAAACCAAAGAAAATTGAATGGTTTTGCTGGCATTTTTTTCTTTTCTTTAGTTGTTAGACGATGAACTGATCGGTGTGATAGTTGTTGCTCTACGGTGTACGGTGACATTCAAACAAAAAATGAACAAATTTTTAATTGATGTTGCTTTTATTTTAATTCGAAGATGAAAAACAAACTCAAACAATCAAAAGAAGAGTACGAAATTTTGGAATAATAGATTCTAGTTATGTTTTTATTCATTTTATAAACTACAATGAAAGTAAATTCAATAATTTTTTTATAAGTAATCAACAAACATCTTTTTTTTCTTCAATATTTTGCTGATAATGATCGACCTTCGAGTAAAAGTTGAGCGGATTTGACACGGGCACGCATTATATTCATGGCCATCGTATGTGTATGTTTCCGCAATTTTTGCTCTTCCTGTCTTGCTTCTTCACGCATTCGCTTTTCGGCTGAGGTACTTTTTGCGGAAATTTTAAAAACCATTAGTTTTTATTCAAAGTAGTTATTAAACAAGGAAGAATGGCTACTTACTCTTCAGATGTGAATGTTTTCCACGCATCGCTTTTTCGAACATCCCATTTATGACAATTTGGTATAAATTTCGAAACATCCATGTGTTCTTTCAGCTTTTCTTCGGCCAAATCGTTGATTTTCTTGCGTGAATTTCGGTGTCGCAGTATTGCAGCCAAATTACTGCGAACCAGTTTCGACGATATAAATTCGTCCATTGAATTTGGTGTCTTAGACTTTGGCTTGACTTTAATTTTGGTGGTAGTTTTCGGGTAAGCATTTTGTTGCCGTGATATTGTCGTTGGTGAAACGCTTTCGTTACAAAAACTCGGTTCAAATTCTTGGGGCTTTGCTGAATTATCAATTTCAATGGATCCATTTTGAATACATTTTTTTGAATCTGAACACCTCGATGAAGTTACGCTAAACAAATCTTTCGGGCATGATTTGGCTCTACGCACTTTTTCTTTCGTTGGTGTTGATTTTTCGTTGCAATTCAAATTCCGTTTAAAATCCGAATTGAATTCTATCGGACATGAAGCTGAAGCTGGTGTCGGTGGACTGTGAAAGCAGTTTGAATTCCGCGTTACGGGACCATCGTCATGATCATTCAAAAAGTAAATTGTATTATGCAAATTATCGCATGGATAAGGGTCGTGGTCGTGATGGTAATGATGGTGCAATTTATGCAAATGAAAACTTGGTGAACACATCGGTGACACGATAATTGGTGTTGGAATTTTCGGTTCACATTCCCAATCATCGACACATGTCAATAGTTTTTCGCGCAACGCTTGTAATCGTTTGATTGGCGACGGTGGTGGTAGGACAATCGGCGGCGGTGGGCTTGGCATAACAAACGAACTTGCACTGTGGAGCCGTTCATCATCAACATTTTCATTGGTTTCCACCAAACTTGCCTTGCTGAAACTCTGTAATTTGATTCCAAAATCATTAAGTAAGTACCCATATAAATCATTTGCGGAGTAATTTGGACGATGGTGGGACTGTGCGGAGTTTGGCGGAGATGACATACAAACTCTGTGTGTGCGAGGGTAACAGCACTTCTATGTGATGTTCGTTTGGACAAAATAAATCTATGAATAGCAAAGAATGCTGTTGGACTCGTATACACAGCATTTGCATACTATCTCCGCCGAACTCCGCACAGTCCCGCCATCGACAAAATTACTCCGCAATTGAGTTATATGGGTATAGAAAGAATATTGTATAGGAACACTGACATTGCATAAACTATTTGCTTTTTGGCTTTTCTTCTTTTTCGCACTGTTTTTCCTTTTGCTACATCGAGATGCCGACGAAACAGGCCTCTTACATGTGGGTCGCAACATTGTCTCGCTCAGGTCGCCGTGAACTTTTTTCAACATTTCAACTCTTTGCGAAAAATCGTACTCTGGCAAATGGCGAACGTCATCGTATTCTATGTTTTTATGTGGTAGAAAAGGAAGAGTTACCTCATTTTTTTTTTTAAATTAGAGTCAATATTCGAATCAATTACTTGGGATGCTTTGATAAAATTTGATCATTGAAAATGTGTTTTGGGAATTTTTCTTCGGCTTCGGTTTAACTTTCACATTTCTTTCTTTCTCTAACACTGGAATATCCGGACCACTTTTGAATCGATTCAAGATTTTTAAAGTTTCGCACAATCTTTTATTTTTCTTGTTCAACTTATTCATTTTGTTTTGTTTTTGGTGTGAAAATTATCAAACTGAAATAAAAACTTTCCTAATGGCACAAATAACTACCATTACCATTGATGAATATGTGACAAAACTATGGTAACCATAAATAAATATTAATCGAGGCATTAAATAGATTTATTAGGTCGATATTTCCCGCCGAAAATACTGTTGCCAAGTGAGTATTTGGTTGTTATCTTGAATCACTTTCAAAACGGAAAGACCTACCTTTTTGTAAAGAGACGAATTTTTTTAATCCCCATTCCGGTTTTTTTCTGGGTTATTTTGAATGGACCAGATCTGAAAAAAAATCCTCCAGTTTAAATAAAACGACCAAATGTTTTTTTTGTGTAAATTCTGAATATGACCAGTGTGAATGCGCTTATGACACTGCGATACAGTTCGAGTATCACAATTTCGCATTTGTGTTTCATTTAATTTATTTTTTTCCACTTATTGTTTGATTTTTTTTCATTGCATTATTTTACGTTTCAATGTTTTTTTTTCTTCTTCATACTCTTTGTCATATTTCATATATTTTTTCAACGATTCTTTGTCAATTGTCTGGTCTAGATTTTTGTTTTGCTATTTTTTTGCAGTTTTTGAAAATTTTCTGGTTTCTTGTTAAACTTGTTTCGTATTGCAAATAGACTTAAATTTAACAAATTATAAATTTCTTATCCGTAAAAGTATTTACAGTAAGTGAATCATGTTTGCTTTTACATCGTATTAATCTGATTTTCTATTAATATTATTCAGCTGTAAAAAAAAGAAATCGCGCATATCAAATGTTTTTTTGTTTGTTTTAGCTATGCATGCTATTTCACAAAATTTCTTGCAGCTGTGATAGATTGGTTTTGACAGGGGAAAAAAACATCGGGATAAAAATGGATAATGGCTTAAAAAATACTCAAAGACACAAATAGTTCGTTAAACGGAGCAATGTAAAGAAATAAACAAACGGGAAGCCAAATAAAATATTTCTAGTTCATTTCATATACATATACAGATATAGCTATAATCAATGCTGAACCATATTTCTGTTTCTCTGTTGTGAATAACATTTGGTTTCCGCTTGCGTATGGTATTTAATACGCTCAAATTCATTTGGCAACAACAATCATTCAACCGAACTTAAATTTTGAGCGAAAATATCGTTTGCGATCGATATATTCTCAACTTTCTTAAAAAGAAATTAAATGTATGCTCTGTTACGTTAAGGAAGAATATATAGATATTGATTCTCTTCAAGAAAAATAATATTTCGTTTAATAAAATAGTGCATAAAATAGTTTGATAGTCATTTATAACTAAAACTATCGAAAACAAATGTGTGTAAAGTCAAACGAGCAAAATTTCTATTAAATTGATAAAAAAATAATAATAAATCAATAGATGATTTAGATTAGGTTAGAGGTTTTACTTTTTTTCTCGATGGCAACTTTACCGTCATTCGAATAATCAACAATTCATTTCGTTAAGTTTCTATAATCAATCGCACAAAACATTGCTTCTTTATTTGTGGTGCATTGAGGTGGCTCTCTTTTTGTTTTCGTTTGTTTTTATTTCCCCTCAAGCTCATTGATGTTCGTAACTTGATTCACTGCACTTTAATTTGCTCACAACACATATACAATTTACTGTTCTGTGGTTACTTAACTAAATTTATAAATGTTTTCATTCCTAATCACTAAATGTTTTCTCCATTGTTTTTTTAAATTTTTCGATCAAAATCGTGTAAAATTCTAAAAGCGTTGAACTTATATAAATATAATTAATAGTTGAAATTCTCATTTGAATTTATTATCGTTTAGTTCTTCTTGATTTCTTAGATAGAAACATTCGGACCATATTATGATGTTTTCTCTTTTCATTTCTCACAAACTATTTTTTTTTTTTAGACTATAGTGTAATGTTGAGTTTTGCATAATTTTTAAGCCATTAGCAGCATTTAACGGCGCCATGAGCGATCTTCTGCTTCCTCGTCGTCCTCTTCGTCCTCCAAACGTACTTCGGATGTAAGATTATCATCATTTACAGTATCATCCAGTAACTCTTCCTCGGTTGCAATCTTTGGTGGCTCAGCATTTTGTACAAACCAGGACATCTGAAGCAACAATTCAATTGAATTAATAAAAAAAATCCATTTTAAAATAACAGTGTGTAATACATACTTGTAATTGTTTATCGTTAAAACGTCGTCCACGTAGCATTGCCTGTTCGGCGTTCAATCTTGTTGCATAAGTCAATTTCAGATATGGCGTTGTTTTATCAATATCATTTTTGGTGATCTCACCGAAGTGCTGAAAAGTGGGGAAAATATTTATTGTTATTTTTTTTTTCATTTGGATTCCATAGATAAACGATTACAACAAGAGAGAAAACGAAAAAGGTAGTGATGAATGCAGACAAAAGGAGACAAAGATAAAAATGGTGAAAGATGGAGAAGAAGTAAACTAACCTTAAAATGTCCCAAAACGGCGTCACATTCATCTGAACTGAATCCAGCAACTAAAATCGTAGTTGGTCGACGATCAAAGCTTGTCGAACCGGGTGGTGCCGGGCGAACGCGTAAACTTCGTGTTGGTGGAAATGGGATTTGCTTGGATGCTGTGCCCAAAGTTTTTTGCAATTCTTCCAAACGTTTTTGAATCTCGGTCGTATCATTTCCATCCTGTTGCTGAGCAATCAGCTCAAGTTCAATGTCAAGCAATTCCTTCTTTTGAAGTTCTTTTGACTTGATGAACGGATGTGCCTTAACCGGATGTTGCGCTGGTTGAATTTGTGCAGTTATCTGTGCTTGATCCGATGCAATTTCCTTATTCAAATTATCGATGTTATTTTGTAACGATTTAACTGTGGTCAACAGTGTTGTACGTTGTGGATCTGTGCTGTCCATTTTTTCGACTAATTCAAGACAAGTGCGCATCTGTTTCAGATAACCTTGTAATAATTCATGTTTTCTCTTGTGAAGCCCATGTGCCAGTTGAACGGCCGCTTTGACCTGTTCCTCCTTTTTCTTTCGTATGGCCTCGGGTGCGGTTCTGGTGATGCGACTGTTTCGATTACGATTAGTTGTCAAGGCGGATGCGGGAGGTATAACCGTTGGTGCGGTTGTTGATTTCGTGAATGTTGCATTTGACGATGCATTTGATGCATTATTATTGGCTGCGTTCACATTACCACCGGATTTTGTGAATTCCGTTGAAGCTGGCGTTGGATTAGCGGGCACAGTATTGTTCAAACTATACTGATTGCTCTTTCGTCCAAAGCTATTGATGGTGTTGTCTTCTTTTGCATTTCCGCTGGCATTTACATTGGAATTGGCATTTGGCGTTGCATTGTGATTGCCATCGACTGTACCAGCTGCATTTGTGCCGGGTGTATGCCAAAATACTTTGATAAAACGATTATTTAGCACAGCTTCGGTGCTTCGATATGCAACATTTGCTTCAGCATGCGTTGAAAATGTTACAATAGCTGCTTCTGGATCTCCTTCATACGAAACTTGAATATTAACAATTTTTCCAAATTTGCAAAAATGATTGTTAAGATGGGCGATCGAATTTAGACCACGTGGAACTTTTCGTAACTCAAGTGAACAATTATTCTGCAATCCGACTCGATTTGGTGGACCTAAGCGACTATTGATTGGAAGTTTACGTTTGGTCGGTCCTTCAGCAACGGCAACCGTATCTTCTGGTTCGTATCGTCGTTTTTGGCTTGCCGAAATGTCACCGCCTGAATTGGCTTCAACCACTGGTACAGAGATGAGTTCACGTTGCAATGGTGTTGTACCAGCATTTGGTGGAAATGGAAATGGCGGTGCTACTCTGTATGCAGCCGTTGTAGGCATTCGTTGAAATGAATTCAATGGTGCATTGTTTGGTGGCCCGGTACGATTTGGACCATTCAAAAAACTGCCACCTTGAGCCCAAATCTCCGGTGCATCTGGATTATATTCGGCCGAACGGTGCGGTGCTTGAATTGTCATCAGCGTTGGATTGTTAATGTCTTCCAAGACAACTGGATTCACTCCATGGTCCCATGGACACGTTTCACCGCGCATGCAATAACCTTTCTCATCAAAATCTCTGCATCGGTCATTTTTCTTTGGTGGTTGCGGTGACAGCGAACGGGCACCTTTACATTCCTCATCATCAACGGCTGGTGGTGAATCAGAGCGTTTATAGTATTTAGGTGATCTTGGTTCGTGGCCTGAATTTCGTCGAAATGGATTTGAGTTGGCCGGTGATTTATTTCGATATGAATGCCCCCTGGAACCGTACTTCTCACGTTCACCGCCACGCCGTAATGAGCCACGTGGCGATCTTGAACGGCTTCGCGAACGAGCCGAACGACGTCTTTGCTCTTTTCGATGGTTTTCATTGTCGTTTCCATGTTTTACTGGGCTTATTGGACTCACGTCACGCAATTTTGTTATTGACGAACCAAGCGGTGATGAATTAATGTAATCGGGATCGTTTTCGTTAGCATTATTTTGGTCATTTGGTACAACAGGACGTGGTGTTCCTTTCATATTACGAGCTACGCTTTGTAGACGAGCTGGATCGAGACCAGCAGCCACCAAATCGGATTCATTGACTAAAGACGATGATTGTGTTTCTTGAGATGATTGTACTTGCTCGGAATTTGATGCTTCAATTGCTATATCTCTGTCTATGGCAGTTTCATTCAGATACTCTTCAGTAGCAATCATTTCGAATAAACGAGTTAGAAATGGCTTTGTTTGGACACCCAAAAATACATCCAATTGTTCGTTCATACATTGCTGTAGATCTCTTAGCGGTTTCTCCTTTTTCAATAATGCCAAAACATAACGAGCTAAGGCGGCCGGATCAGCTTCACATCTGAAAATAAAATCACATTCAAAACAATATTATTATCAAATCGAAAAAAGATTTCATAATAGTTTTCATGTTATTGCACGTCGCCGAATATTTTATATTCACGACAGAACGGCAAAATAAAATTTATAAAATCAACAAAATTTTACTGAAGAGTCGGCCACACCGAACTATTCACGTTGAGCATTTTTATTTTTACAAACGATAAATTTAGAACACAAAACAAAACTACAACACAATTTTAAATATAAACACGAATACTTGGAGAGTACAACATACGAAAACAAGTCATGACGAATGAAACTTTATAATCAATACCGTATGTTTAGTAAAGACAAGAACATTTTTTCGAAGTGACTTTATTTGTTGTTGTTGTCTTTTTCGCATTAGGTCTAAAATAGACATATTAAATGAAGAAAGAAAGAAAAAAAAGCCAAATGGTAAAACGCATCGAAATGCTAGCCGATCACACACAAAGATTAAAAGTATATTTTTGTTGCTTGCAACGAATGCATACACGTATACGTATACACGCACGGCGAAACTGCAGTACATCGTGCATATACATTGTGAAAGTGAAAAAGGAATTTATGGTAAAGGCTCACATACAAACATACATGCATAGGTAAGATTTTTTTTCTCTTTACATCAAGCAATATATTTTGGCTGCTTTTAAAAACTGTTTATTATAAATTGCACTGCCTCGAGCAAAAAAAAAATGTAACGATGTGCGAGAACGTTTTCATAAATATGAAATATTAAAAAAAATGAGCTGTTGATAGAATGGATAGAATTTGCTGACCCGACAGAAAATTATTTCGTACCGTAAACGCCAGTCCAATAGAGTAATTAACATTAATTTATTCACATGTACAAAAAAAAGTATCGCCTTTATTGCTTCAGTCAATGAAAAGCTGGTCAGTGTATACATGAATAGGCTAGTAGCTACAAAGTTATTTCTCAAGGCGACAACCTTTTGATACTTATTCACAACTGTGAGATACATATAATGGTACCATTTAACTATTATGATCGCGCGCACATTTACATCTACAACAACATAAAGCAACAAAAAACTAAATAAAGTCATATAGCAAATAAGAGAAAGGAAAAATCGAGAATTAATCCACATATGACGGCAAAAAAACCTCATATTTCGAAGAAAATATTTTTTGGTGATACCAAGTGTTTTCACGTCATTTCAGTAGATTATTTTCAATGATTTGAACCTTGTCTCGTTCAATTGAACTTTCAAGCAAACGAGAGAAAGAGATAGACAGACACACAGAGATATAAGCCTATAGTTTGATCACTTACAATGGGTCTAGAACGACTGTCAGCCATGCTTTTAATTCTTCTGGATGATTTATCTGCATTTTTATTTATTTATTTATATTGAACACACATAAAAAATGGTTAAATCACAAATATTCACTTTTAAAATCCTGATTATCTTTTTGCAGATTGTATTTTATGTTTTTTTTTTGCTTCTTTTTTGCACTGTATCTGCTTGCCTTTGAAAATTGTATTCGTGGGCCTTTTTTGGGTTTGATTTTATTTTTTTTCGGTTTATTTTTTCAAGAATCGATATTCTTGTAAAGTTTTTCGATGGTTCAACTTGAAGAACTGCTCCGAACTGCTCCTACGAAGTGATTTTGCACCACACACGAAACGATACGCACGATTACTATTTCCTACGTATCTCGCTCTCAATAGGTCGACTGGTTGAATGTTAAAGCACAATATATATATATAATTTTTTTTTTTTTTGATTTTTTATACTGATGGAGTGATTTTATTAAAATAATGCGATGCAATCTTAATTTCAAGTGTTCACACAATCAAAATTGGTATTTTTTTCATGTGTAGCCTTAACAGCTGTCTAAATGCAAAAAATACCTTTCGATTTACACGTTCTGAATAAAAAAAAATTTTCACTTCGTTTTTGTCTTCTCTTGCTGTGTCTTAATTCATTTAAGTTTATCCTGTCTATGATTTTTGCATTTGGTTTTATCACAATGTTGTAATTGGTTTAAACGTGTTTTTTTTTTAAACTATTTTATAGAATAAAGTTAATTAATCTAAATTAGGACTGATTTGAAAAAAATTTGTACACCATAAGAAAAGTTATGTATGTTGACTTTCTCTCGTGCGAACTATTTTTCACAAAATATGGCGGCCATTTTACTTTTTAGTGGCGTTTGAATGTGTATACACATATGCAGACACGGGCTCGTACACGCACACATTCACAATGCTGATGTAATTACGTTTGAGTAGGGTTGTGACAATTTTATTGCGTCGAACGTGGTATGTTTATACAAATCGTTTGCAATTTTTGGCGAAAAAATTATTCGATAAAATTTAAATGATAATTTTTTTTTGGTTAGACTTCTTTTTCCGAACGAATCAATGGGAACTTTGATGATTCACATGCGATTTTTTTCGAATGAATCTGAAATACACAACCATGAATTTGACGTTTCATTTATTAGTTCAAAAACACGAAACGTGTTGCTGACGTTGCGTTTACATTAACGCTCGTCCATATAACGATTTTGAATGTTTGAAGTGTCGGAATGTATTTTAATTCAATTCCAAAGCTGAAAATATTTTTAAACCGATGACATTTTACTATTGGATCTACAAAATGGACTTTTTTTAAAAATAATTTTCTTAAACTAATTAAATGCCAAAAATTAATCTATTGTATATTCTAATCAAATTGATAAATGAACTCAACGCTGCGAAATTTTCGAGTGCGTTCTCGAAAATGCTAGAAAAACTGTAGGGCTAACGAACTTTATTCATATGAGCGCGGGAGAGTTGCACCTTTTTGGCTGCATAATTTTCTTATGACTTCATTATAATGAACTTCGGATGCATTATTTTCATGAAAAAAAAAAACGAAGAAAAAAACAAAAATACAGATTTGGGATTAAGAGCGCCCAAAAAATTAACCAGTTTTAGTTATCAATTAAGATTTAGGTCACCTTGATTAAAAGACATTTGAATACAAGAAATGTGTTTGTTTAGTTTTTCTTTCATTGGACTTTGCTCCATCAAACATTATTTATGATTCAATTCTGGCTTATGTAATCATGCATCGTGGTGTCATCGTGTATTAGAAAAAAAAACATATTATATAACTCTTCGAAATAGCCTCTTTCTATTCGATTTTATTTCCAAGCACTTGAATTGTTATATTTTTGCCAATGAAAAACTCCCATATCGCACCACTATAAATCACTTAGCGCAATACTACGTTTTTATCATGATTTTACACATGCTAAAATTATCAAATTTTCTCAACAATTCATTCGTCGCGAATTATTGTATGTAAACGTCCAATCGCTTCGATCGTCACGTTTGGAGTAAAAAAAAGAGAACTTGTTTATTGCCAAAAAATGAAAGTCAATCGAATATGCACCGAGCAATGCGACTTTGGTTCGAATAGAAAGGCGTGAATAGTATTGATGTCGAGAGATTATTCATATCTTTGCAGCTATTTTGCACGCAGACACTTACGTACATACGATCATCGAGTTGGTATTATATCATTTGGACAAAGAAAAAAAAAACCAATGTTATGGTTTCGGTGTGTTTTTCATAATGTCATATAACGAGTCGCATGAAAACCGCATGAAGAGGGAGAAATGGTAACATTTTGAGCAACAGACAATACATTGAGGTCTAGTTGAAAGAGTTACAACTTGGTGATCACACCAATCAATCAGTTGAAATTTAAAACGAGACTTGAAAAAAATGAATTTCTTTTTAATTTTACATGTGATAATTGGCGCGTCAATCGTAACGGCGAAACCAGTTGATGTAAACAATGACGATCGACCTTTAATCAATTACATCGCACCACATCAGATTGATGACCTGGTAATTGCAACAAATCGTTTTATTGATTGATGATTTTGTAATATTTTCAATTATTTCTCTTTGTTTTCCAGCCGATTGTTGAAAAAGAACGAACAGGCCAATTGGAGTATGAGGGCATTCCATCAAAAGGCATATCGATTTATGATCAAAGTCAAAAAAAGTTCGGTGACATTTTAAGAACAAATGTAAGTGATTGTGAATAAAAAAATAGTGGAAAATGTTAACGATTTTAAAATATTCAACCTAAATATGATGAGATGAAATTGAGTAATCAAAAAATACCATCATAACCGTATTCAAATGAGTGTGAAGAAATCTTGCGATGAGAGTCAATAAAGACTATGTTGCAATTTCTTCAATACAATTTTGAAAAGAAGCAATCGGTTGTTAAATAAATTGGACTGACATTTAACTCTCGTTTTTATAAAGACGACCATTTATAATAAAACATGCTTTTTTACTCTTTTGCTTATAATAAAATGATTTGTTAATTTTTTCTTTGGTTTGAAAAAAAGGCCGAACCAATCGTTGATACAATTCAAGAGGAAGAGAAATATGGAAACGATGGAAATCGCCCTTGGGATAGAGCCATCGTAAACACACTGGAAAAAGTGTCTGTTTTTGTCAATAATGTCATTGAGACACCCAAACAATTTGCGAGAAGTATTACACAAAAAATAACGGATGGTTTGAATGTAGTAGGCGCAAAAATTGTTGGTTTATAATAGAATTCTGTAAATAGTTCATAAGAATTTTAATGTTATTGGTGACTTTTTCAATAAAATGTGTTGGAAATTTATAAATAACCCTGTGCTTTGAAATATTACCTAATAAACACACGCCAAACTCACTGAATCTGGTTAACCTTGAAATGTTTGTTAAAAATGGAAAAAATGCTATTGTTTTCTTCATTTTATTTTGTCAAAATGTGTTTTATTCGATATTCAATGATATATTTGAATGAACTAACTACCTAAAATACGGAATTATTTGGAATTGCTGCAATATTTCATTTTGCATTTATAATATTTTTTCAGTAAATCACATTTTCGCACCTCCGTCGACTTGTTCGATGATAAATTATTTCTATTATTACTACTTGAATCCTGAGGAATGATTTTTGGCAATGGTGCTATTGATGGCCGGTTATTATGTGACCAAAATACATAATCACTTAAATTTTGACGAACTTTGCACTTGAATTTACTTAATGAACATTGAGCGGTCTCTGTTTGCTTTATATTCAGTTGCTTTTGAACAAGATCCTTTGAATTTTCTTCGATGCTCATCTCACTGTCACCCGGCTCTAATAATTTTCGCCGAAATTTTTTCGGATTATCAATTTTAATGGAACTATCTGTTTCGTCGTCGCTAGAAGTGTTCATTTTTATATTCGTTATAACACTGTTGCCTCTTTTATATTTATTACATTGTTCTTCTTGACTTTCCTTCTTTTGATCAACGTGTAATAGACGATAAATTGCATCGCGACACTTTCGTTCATTTTTTACTTCGGTGCAAAGGCTGTCTTTTCGTTCGATAGGTGCCTGTTTTGTATCCGGTTTGATGTCATCGCAGTGGGTGCATCGATTCCCTGAGAATGCGTGCAATTGATTGGAAGAACCAGACGATGATTGCGACGGTTGGTAATTGCCCGGATTTGATGGTCCCGGTTTGCTATCTTCATCGTCTGGCGATTTTCTGTTTCGAGGAAGCTGATCCTCAACACCGTCCATGTATTGGTTCGCACAAGATGGTTGATAAATTACGGCCGACGCATGTCCCGAGCGGCCACTCGTTAAAGATGTACTTTCCTCCCATTTATTTTGAATCGGGTCATAAAATTCGACAATGCTTAAAAACGAATGCCCATCGAAACCGCCCATTGCGAACAATTTCCCATCGAGAACTGTCAGAGATAAGGCACTTCGAGCTATTTTTATTGGTGCCACTGAGTCCCATACTTGATTTTCTGTATCGTATCGTTCGACACTTGCCAATTGTCTTGTCCCGTCGAAACCGCCAACCACATAGATGTACTGCTTCAACCTGATAATGAGACAATAAAGAGTTAGTGGAAGATGATAAAAATAGAGCTTGTTTTCTTACGCAGCAACACCGGCACCTGATCGTCCTGTTTTCATTGGTGGTAAAATTGTCCACGCATTATTCTCCGGATGATAACATTCAATCGAAGCAAGTCTATCGTGAGAATTAGAAAGAAAATGGTACATTTTCAAGAAAACAACATTAAGAGAAAAAAATGAATGAAAATTTACCTCTCGTCTCCATCGAATCCACCACAAGCATACAGTAAGCGATTAACAACAGCTACGCCAACTCCAAGTCGTTTCGAATGCATTGGCTGAACTATTGTCCAACGATCTTCATCGGGGTCGTAGCTGAAAAAGAATGATTTAAATAAGTAAACAAATGAAGGGCGTAAATGTGACGTTTAAATGCTTACTATTCAACAGAATTGTGATATTCAGAACCGGCTGATCCGCCGACTGCGTATAAGAGTTCATCCATTACAGCAACACCCACTCGATTTCTGGGCACTGACATAGGACTGCAAGGGCGCCATTGTTCCGTAATTGAATTATATTTATCGACCCAATCTGAATCATATGAGGCACCTGGTGAATTATTTCTTCCTCCAACCGCATAAAATGTTCCCTTTAAAAATGCCGCACCCAAACCAGATCGCGGCACACGTAAACGTGGCAGAGTGGTCCATGTCTTATCGTCCACGTTAAAAGCCTCCAAAATATCCAAAGAATGACGAAAATAACCGCCCGCCACAAATATCATGCGAGTTGTGTTCGGCGTTCGTTCACGTACAACGGTTCTCTTGTGCAGCGTTAAATCTTTGAATATTCGTGCCAAATATTCACGGCATGCGGGCACTTTTTTTAATACATCACAATTACGCATTTGTTCTTTTAGAAAATTTGGCGTTAAAAATTGACATCGAACTGCATATAAAATATGCTCCATTTTTGGATATCGTGTGTCCTCATCGTATTTCACCCATTTTAACACGGCATTATACACTTCACGCTCTTCCTGCACATTTAGTTCATCCTTTCGAATCAACTGAATCAATTGTATTGCAGATAACTGAAGAAATTCCTCTTCTTGTGAAATCTGGCGAAAATAAACAAAGAAACATTAGTCTAGCTGGAAAGAGCGGTGAGTTCCAGGAGGATACATACCTGTGTAAAGTGTCGTTCGATGAACTGATTTGCTCGTTGTTTGAGTGTCGTGCAACCGTGCTGTTCGGCAAAGTTGGCAATACCAATCGCATTTGTTGGATCCAATTGTCGCTCAAGAAATGCACAACATGCATCAATCACGTTGGACACTTGAAACATTGTTGCCGCCGGCAATAAAGTACAAACTGTCAATTCAGTGACGCGTATATGACCCGAATACATAAAATATAAAATACGATTCATTGCTGTGGGGCAAACACCTTGCAGTTTAATACGTGACATTTCCGATTCCTTTAAACCGCCCGTAAACATTGCTTTAAAATATGGCGAGGCAGCTGATAACACAACTTTATGAGCATGGAAGAGTTCTTGTTGTACTTCGATTATAACGTCGGTGAGCATGTGATGTGATCGCATCATAAACATCATTTTCATTGTTTCTCTCGCATAATTGCTCATACAAAATGACATATCACCTTGGTCTTCCTTAGCACCTTCCGCTGAACCATACGCTCCATTATTATTGTCGGCAAAATCGAGGAATTCATCATTTGGACCGATACCATTATTGCACTGGAAAAAAAAAAAAAAAAAAAAAACAAAACAAAAATGTAAATAAAACTGATTTAAACCGTCATGGGCTTTCGATAGGGATACGACAGTAGTTGTCATGACTATCGTTTTATTTTGACAGTTCCATGTGTTCATAAACGTTTTGCAAAACATCAACATTGATTTGGAACCAGCATTAATCGTGAAATAGAATTGTAATATTTTGGAGGCGAACAATTTGCGTTCAGCATGGCGGGACGAGGTTTTAAGGGTGCTTCATCGTCTTTACGACCAGAACAACTACAAGGTATGGGTATCATGGGAAAAGATATGCCAAGCTCAACAGTTGCACCACCACCAACATTTCCACCTCTTCTAAATAGGTACATTTTTATGGCATGAATAATTTTTTTAAAAATCGGACTTCGTTATAAATAATGTTATTTTTTTACTTTTCAGACCGGCTCTATTTGAAGTAATTTTAAACATTGTACCAAATTCTCTACGAAAACCGAACTAATTTCGTGTATATTTGCAGAAAAGTCCTGAACGCGACTTTATGATCGAATGGAAAGAGACGTTTTTATCATATTTGAAAAATTCATCATACTACACGGGCGCAAATGATGAAACGAAACGCATTCATTCCAGATTCTATCTTGAAAATTCGGTATGCAAAAATTGCTCTTTGGTTTTTAGTTCGAATTACTGATTTGCGAATTTTCGTTTTCATTGTCACAACAGCAAATAGACAACGGTGCATTTAATTGGTCAATGATGCCAGCTGAGCTGCGTCCAAATTGGAAGCGAAAAGCAAATAGCAAAGATGTCAATAGAAAAATGGCCAGAGATGTAAATGTTGAAGAGACTTTAAAAGCTTTGGAACAAAAAGAGAAAAACAAAAAGACTGGCAGAAACGATGATGAAGATAAAGAAAGTGAAACTGTATGTGTATTACGTCTTTTTGAATATCCAAACATTCAATTTTGAATATAATACAAAATGCTAAATTATCAATTTATACAGGAGGACTTGGAAGACGAAGAACAAGACGAAGAGATGGATGACGAAAATGACTATGGCAATAATTATTTCGATGATGGTGGTAATTATTTGGATGATGAAGATAATTTGGACGACGGCCCCACATACTAAATACCATTCCATTGTTAATTTACAATATTTATATTCGACAAAAATAAATTCATTTATTTTTATTTAAAAAAAAAAGTCTTTTTTTTGTCGTGAAATTTCTAGAAAAATGTATTCATTTCTAGAAAAAAACAGTTCGCCTTTCGAAACGTCAATTGATATGAAGTTAGCTGCTAAAGAATCAATGTTTGCTTGTGTTGAAGTGTCAACACGAACATCGTAATTGGCAGCAAATATCTGTGTCATTATTGACTTGTTTTCACTCACAACAGATTGAATGACATCGGCAAAGAAAACTTCGTCTTAAAAATTGTTACCAAAATTCTTTCAATTGTGTTAATTCATTGTTAAATTTATCATATTCTTGTCATATTTTTGCGTAATTAATTTGAAAAAGCTGGATTCATTCAAAAAAGCACTCGGAAAAATAGCAGAAGATTCAACAATGGATGTCGACCAATTGGACACCGCATCGATGGATATATCATCGGTCGATTTTCAACAAGCAAACGATGAAAATGTGCCCGTACATCAAAGGTAAAAAAATGCGTTGATTTTTCACGAATTTTTTTTTCTTGTTTTCACCAAGTTTACCAAGAAATTTATAATACATAAAAACATTACAATGAGCTGCGAACACGAAAAAATATGTAAATTTTGAATCGATAAATGAGTGGACAGTGTGTGGGTTATCGTTATGTTGAATCAGCGCTTTGAAGACGCGCTCGACAGTCCATATATGGACCTAAATCTATTATGAGACTGAATGAGTGAGATGTGTTTTTCAGTGTTATTAACTGCGTATGTTCGCTTTTTTTCTCTATTCGCTAGGTTTATAAATGCGTTGGACCACCTCGATAATCGCGTCGAGAAATTGCGAAAAGAAGCAATGACACTGACGGAAAAACGTGACGTATTACTCATGTCGATGGATATACTCAAACACAACGAACTCTTGAGCAGCTTAAATGAATGTAAGCTTAAATTTCATTCCATTTTTTTCGCTCAGAATAATAAATCTCAATTTTCACAGTCGAGTTAGACGAGGTGAACTGTTATGCGCAGCGAATAAGCAATCGTTTGGGAACGATTGAAATCAGCGTGAAGACCGTACGTGATTGTGCACAGGAAGATTCATTACACCAAGTCAATAGTCTAATCGATAGTTTGCTGACGATAAGCGATCGGGTGTTGGCACGACAACGGTGCCAAACATTTTTGAATGCATGCTGTGTACACGACGATTCAACGAACATTTCAGAAGTCGAACCGGTTGTGGATAAAAAATTTGAAACTGCAGTTTTGGGTTGCACACTAGACGATCAAAAAACAATCAAAAAACGTTTGCAGGCTCTAATGGCCTATTTGAATAAGCAAACTGTAACGGAGTAGATTAAGTCATTTTTTTAGAATGAAATTCACGGCAATTGGTTTGTTAAACAAACAATACAAAGAAATGCATTTTTCTATTCAATAACATTTGCTGTCTACTAACCAAGGCTTTGTTAAAAACAAAAAAAAAGAGCCTAACCTAATTAATGTGAATTCATATAAATCTACTCTTTGAATGATGTTACTTCTTTTTATTAGAACATCACATGTGAACAAACGTTTTTGGCAATAATGATTCAGTACCAATTTCCAAAATAATCACATTTAGCCAAATTTTACTAATTCACCTAACACTCAAATTTAGATTTTGATTTTGCATTTTTATCACATGGTTTCTGTTTAAGTTTGTTCATAAGGCAGTGATGCAATTGAATTTTGTTTTAAATGGCTGTCAAAACTATACATATATATATAAATGACGATGCGTCAATGTATGTTTTCTTATTCCAAAATGTAAACAAAATATTTCCATAACTCATAGAGAACCAAATCACAGCTAAGTGAAAGTGATTTGTAAAAAAAACAACAACATTTGATTACCTCTCTCAGTTTGATAAAGAGACTAATTTTACACAATAAATTTAATTATTGCAAACCAAAACCGATGTTTTTTTTTCATTAAATATTATGATTTGAAGTGGCAGTGAATGTACAACAATTTTAAGCAATGCCCAATCTTCAGAAAACGTGTAATGGCTACGTGAGTGATGTTTTTTTTTTAATTGCAGAGTGAACATAATTAATACAGATAAGATCTGCAATTTATTGGTCTCTCCAACGTCGTGTTTGAGTAGCTCGCCACTATGTCTTTTCCTCCTCTACTTATCACCGGAGTGTTCAAAAAAATAATAGTAAAAATGTACTTGGGTGCTACACGAGACCTTTTTTTTAAAACAAAAATGACATGGATTTATGTGGACAATGTGTCTTACATTGCAAATCGTTTTGTTCAATAAAATAGATTGAATTTTTTCTGCTTTGTCATCGTGAAATTCATTTCCTACGCAGGAACAATAAAACACAAACGACATTCATGGCGATGACAATTAGCCGTATCGTTTAAAAATCGTTTTTTAGATTACATGTCGACGACACTCCTTTGCGATCGTTTGACCATTTTATTGGTGGAAATCCAAATCATTTTGGTGATTACAATACTGTTCCGTACATAAAACTTGTTGTTGATTGTCTCTTTTGTGAAACGATCTGGGTCTGTGTTGCGATAAGAAAACGAAAACCATACAATACACACAAACGTACATCAAACATATGTACGTATGAAGTCGACTCAATACTGTAGAATGAATGAGCGCGTAGTGAGAAGAAAAAAAATTAGCGAATAATGTTTATCAGCTGTTCGAAACATTCTTAATTAACATCAACCGATTTTACACAAAATTTATATTAGATTAAGATATTTTACGATATAACATCAACACTCTTTTTTGCTGCTCAATTTTTTATGTCTCATGTATTTTTAACATTGATATGCACAACGATACAATTCTGAAGCAGACGGTTTTTTTCGTTTCTTTCGAAAAAAATATCATTTTTGAAGGTTGATTAATCATTCTACAACGATTGTGTGACGGTTATAAAGCTGACAATGACTTGGCAGTAGTTTATCGGATTTAATCTCTTAAAAGAGCAACTGATGATTGAATATTTAGATAGGAATTTTTTTTTAAATCATGTTCACATTTCTTAAGAGTTATTTATTGTTTCAATGTTTTATTTTTCACATACATCTTGAGATCAACAGTTTTGTTTTTAATTCATGTTTTTGCATGAGGGCGGTAATCACATGAAAAAAAACAGTATAATAAACAACAGGCGCGTGTGCATATTTTTTTAAACTCCAAGAGAAATCGTTTTTTTTCTTCACTTCACAATTTGATTTCGATATGTTACTTGAGATTTGCATGTTAACTTGCATAGTTTACTTAATAAAAGTGCACTGACCTATGTCAATTACAATCTGATAGAAAATGCATCGCTTTCAAAAAATGAATTGATTATCGCCAGAGACCGTTTATTTATTATAACCACGATCATATAACTTTTATATGTCGTTATATGGTTTTTATGTCATTTTATATTGTTTTTAATTGAGTCAAATGTCCCAAAACTTATTTATTATCTTTAAAACTGTTAAATACGTTGATTAATTAAATGTACACAATTCCATCGTTGAGAAATCGTCTTGATAAAATCGAAAGTAGTAAGTAAAGGCTGTCTCAAAATCACAGTATACAAATACGTCAGTATTGAAAAAAAAAAACGATTTAGAATCACAAAACAGTAAAAGAAAACAGCGGCATGAGCACGACATACGCGAAACTTACCAACACATGGTGACTTTGCAATTCATTCATTTTTTCAAATTTTCGCCACGGGTTAATGCCATTCACATTTAAACTAGTTTCTATTTATTTTTAACGTCGATTATTGACGTAATTTGTGGGATTTATCTGCTTTAGTTTGCATAAAATTTGAATACACATTCACCGGTTTTGATAACAGTCAACAATTGGACATTTTACGTTTTGTGGATAATTTTTGCTGTTTACACAATTCTCTTTAACTTTCGACACAAAGTCCATTTATTTTCAACGAACTATCTCTTCGAAGGCAATCTTTACGCACGCCTTTAATTTACGTTAATGTTGAGATACATATTTCAACACATAGACGCACACACAGACACATACACACGTTTGTGATTGATCTTTTTATTATTGTGTTTACTGATTTCGAACGAAACTAGTTCTGATCTCTGAATGCACTTTAAACAAGAAAACAATATTCACAAGTTAATTATACTCCATTTTAATACAGAAGTTCACATGTACTCTCACTTAAAATCACAAGGTACTGTATCAAATCAGTTAAGGCAACATTTCAATTTTCAAACAACACAAATCAGTTCGAACGCAACGTTTGAATGAAATTATTGATGAACGTGTCAAAATGATAAATATTAAATTCGTTTGTAATTTCGTTTACACACTACTTTATGCAATGAATGTACGCTGCTTGTCACAACCTAATCAAATAAGTCACGACAATAACAAAACACACATACACATTCTAACGTTTGACCAAAAATCTACCTGTGTTCAATTGACGAACTGAACTACAGACTATCGTATGTACAAGTATGTATGACACATATGTACAAGTCATAAGAGCTTTTGACATTTCGCCCGATAACACAGTTGAAGTAAGCCCACATACGCTCGTTTTATTACACACAAGTGGATACGTTCAATTCCATACACGAATGAGAATTTGTTTACTCAGCACCAAATTCAAATACTTTTTTTAGCGCAGAAATTTATGATTAGTTCTGAATTCAAAATGTTCAACTTTTTAAAGATTTATTTCATTTTTTTTATTTAAAGCTATAAATAAAATATTACAATACAAGCATGTTCTTTAACCTCATATTATCCTGAAATAGTTCAAAGTGGGATACAAATTTTGTGACAAAAGCCTAATTCGAAAAAAACAATCTAAAATTATGGCATATTATTAGCTATGATCCAAGGATGATTTTGTACATCGAACAGCGTTAAACGGCACTCTGGATTCACAACAATTAGTCTTTTAATCAAATTTCCAGCGCTTTGTGAAAGAAAATCGGGAAATGGATTGAATTTTGCCCTGATTGTTTTCCAGTAAATATTTTCTTTAGAAGAACCGCAAAATGCCCATTCGCCAACCAGAAGATCGTAGCTTAAGACACCGAGACTCCACAAATCAACTTCTTTCGAATAAGGTTCACCGTTCATGACTGAGGTAAAACAAAAAAGTTAGCAATTTTTACATAAAAAAACTGTAATCAATACATACTTTCGGGTGGTAAATAATCGGGAGTTCCACAAATTGTTCGTCGTCTTTGGTTTTGAGCATTTACAGATAAACCGAAGTCGGCGATTTTCAGTCTATCGTTGTAGCTCAACAATAAGTTCTCCGGTTTAATGTCTCTGTGAATAATGTCCCGTTCATGCAGATAACTAAGCGCATCCGCACATGCATTAATGTATTTAGCAGCACATTTCTCATCGAATCGCTTATATGGTTGTTTATCTAATTTCTTACGCAAATTACCATATGGTGCATATTCCAAGATTAAATAAATCTGTGCGTCCTCAAAAAAATAACCGTATGATCGTAGGATGTTTTTATGACACAATTCCCTTTGTATTCCGATCTCACGCCACACTAAAATTTCGGTCATTGGATCGCGAGTTTGCTTCTTCATTGCATAAACATATTTCGTGCTTTTTTCATGTACTAAATAAACTTTGCCGAATCGTCCATAGCCCAATCGCTTCTCATTTTGAAAATCAGATAATTTCCAATCATTATTTTGAGCTTCTTTTTCATCGTCACCTTTGGTTTCAGTAGGTTTTTCATTTTCGACGCATCCACTCTCTTCAACGTCTGCTATTTGGCGCACACTTTTGGTTTTCAACACTTCTTTTGGATATACATCTATGCTAAGCGCTCGAACCTTCTCTACATCACCTTGATTTGCTATTGCTGGTGAATCCAACTTATTAATTACAAAATTGAACATTTTTTCTTCTTGTATCTCACTATTTCACTGAACAAAAGGTGACTTTCAAATTTTACATCACTTGCATTTTGACTTTATTTGCGTTTCTGATTTACTTTGTGCTCTTTTGTAGCTGACGCGATAAAATGCCGATTGATCAATCAATCGAATGTGCTCTGAATCGTTTCATGATCGTACACGACAAAATGATACTTTTAAATAAATTAACGAGAAGGCTTTCCGTGTCTGATTTCGAAACGATTAAGCTACAACCTAGGCTAAAACGAAATGGCAAATGCACATAGGAGAACATGTGCCGAGTTTTTTGGCAGCTTTCACATACACAATCGTCCAGTATACAAAGCTCAGAATTTCATCAACTTAATTTCTTAATCATTCTTAATCGTCTTGATTTCATTACTACAGAAATTAAACTTTTAAATATTTTCGGTTGAAATTGATATTTTCCCCATTTTTGTGACCAATATATTTATTGAAAGCGTAATTTTCGAGCAAAATAACGGCAAACATAAAAGTTTTGCACCAATACGTCAAAGAGGGCCCTGCTGCACATAAAATAATTCAATGTTTTAAATTAAGAGCAAATAGATGTTATGTCTAGTATTACCACTTCAATGCAAACACAAAGACTTACATTCACACGCAATGACAGTGCAACCCATGCATTTATTTTTATCTCTTTTCAGTTTTCGTTTGGTATGTAGACAAATCAGTGACAAATTTGCGGTCAGTAGAGGTTCGGCTTGTATTTTGATACTAATCATTGCCAATCAATTCGAATAAAAAACTTGATTAAATTCACTTTTCAATAGATATTAACACATATCGACATTCGCAATTACTTGAGTTTTGGTTTTTAACAAAAAAAATACACCAATTGAACGTTAACAGAAAATGAAAAAAGCGGTTTTCATATTATTCGTTCTTGGAATTCTGTGTGTATCAAAAACATATCCCGACGATGAATTCGCTGAAGAGCCTGAAACTGAAGAGCCAGTTGATTCTGGTCCGGCTATGATAAAAATTGGTAAGTAAATTTCATGATTTCGATATTCTGCTTCAAAAGTGTGCGAAAAGAAACCAAAATCATACTTACATTAGGCCCTGAAAAAATGTGCTCCTCAAAAAATGCATAAAACGCGTAGTTTAGTTTTTTGATGTTATTTGCAACGAAATAGAAATAAATCCTAATTATACATAGGTCACCTATGAGAGGTGAATACTCTAGATACAATAATACATGTTTCGCAGCTTATGTAATGGAATTTCATTCATATTCGATTCAAGCTTTAAATGTGATATTTTTAGATTGATGTATATGTAAATGTCGTTGAACAGACTGGCAATTTTTTTATTAGGTTATTAGGACTTCTGTGATTTCATTTGAATAACAAAATACGATTTTTTAAAATTAAAAAACAAACAAACATTTGGTTTACTGTTTCGGAAGATTTATTTTCAATGGCAATGCGCCGTTTGTTTATTGTACTCTTCTTAAATCGATGAACTGAATAATCAAACATCCTAGTCAAAGATCGTATTTGATCCGAATCGATTTTGTGTTGAGATCAGATTCTGATCAAAATCCGAAAACAGATTATTTATATACCGCTTACATCGATTGGTCTTAAGTGTGAGAATATTAACTCTGTGCTGTTTGTTTACTTTTATTAGGTGCATTATTTGATGTGAATGCAAATGAAAATAAACAAATGTTTTTGTATGCCATTGAGCGTGCCAATGAGAATCTATTGAATACTGAAGAATTTAGATTAGAAGGTGAATTGGCCGAAATAGTGTATGGAAATGAAATCACTATATCTCGGGGTGTTTGTGCATTGTTAGAGGTATTTTTGTACTTCATTTGATATGAGACAATTTTTAAAATTTCTGTCTTTGTTCCGCTGAATTTTATTAGAAGGGGGTGGCCGCAATTTTCGGTCCCGACGATGAAACATCAGCAATTCATGCAGCAAATGTATGCGATACCAAAGAAATTCCATACATTGATACACGTTGGGATTTTTTCTCGGCCATTCCAATTGTGAATATGTATCCCGACCCAAAGGCCATTGCTCAAGCGGTTCATGATTTGGTGATAGCAGCTGAATGGCAAAGCTTCACTATTCTGTACGAAAATCCAGAATGGCTGCCACGGATTGCACATTTACTCGAACTGTATGACCCCAAAGGGGATATGGTAACGGTAAGACGTGTTGACGTTGGACTGGACACGAAGAATTATCGATCAGTTTTGAGAGATGTCAAGTTGTCAGGTGATTTTCGCATCATAATCGAATGTTCGATTGAAAATCTGGGCGAAATATTAAAGCAGGCAAGATATTTTTGTTTATTTTTCTAAGTTCTTCGTCCAAATTTACTATCTTGCGTAACAAACAGGCACAACAAATTGGACTAATGGTCGATAAATATCATTTTATTATTACAAATTTGGACGCAAGTTCTATTGATTTGGAGGATTATCAGTATAGCGGTGCAAACGTCACTATTCTTCGAATGGTAGACACATCAAGTGATCCTGTAGCTGAATACGCGAAATATGTCACGAAAATAAGTAAAGAAGAAGAACAGGAAAGCAGCACAGATGGCGGTGAGCCCGAAGATAACGCCGAAAATGAAGAAAGTCCCAATGAAGAGGGAGAGCAGCCTGAAGAAGGCGAAGAAAATGAAAATAAAGATGAAAATGCTGAACCAAGCGAACCGCCCGCGAGCGAAGAAAAGGCCGAAGAAGAAGAAGAGGAGGGTACTTTATAAAACTGAACTTTTCTTTGTATTTTCAAACATAATTTGTTTTGATTCTTAACTGTGACTTGCATTTGTAGGTTTTAACGCAGATACAGTGCACTTGCAGACAGCTTTAATATATGACGGAGTCTTTTTATTGGCAGGTGATATCTATCAAATTCTCGACTAGCAGTTATTAGTTCCCAAAATTATCCATCCATTCACTCGAAACATTATCCAACCAACATCCATGATCGATCCATTCATCAAACCGTTTATCCGTTCATTCTAGTAGATGGATGAATGGATTTGGGGACTAATGACTGCTAACGAAATTCTTGAAAAATTTCTTGAAAATTTAAACTCAATTTATCCATGCGTAGAAACATTCAAGCAACTTGGAACCAACCAGATTCAACCTGCATCCTTAGCTTGTAATGGAAATGAAACGATGTGGGAAAAAGGATTGAGCATCTCCAATTTTATGCGGAATGTATGCTATTCTTACACTTTTCACCGAATTTCCACACAATTTTTATTTTTTTTTTTTTTTTTGTAGACTTTAATCGATGGAATGACCAAAAATGTGAAGTTTGATGAGAATGGTCGTCGTTCTGAGTTCGAATTGCAGATTTTTCAACTGACTACACAAGGTCCTATTATGATAGCAACTTGGAGTTCCGATGATGGTATCAAACAGATGGGTAGTAGTACACCTGAAACTGTCGGTGATTCAACAGCGATGTCTCTGCGGAATCGAACATTCATAGTACTCACTGCTCTGGTAACTTTATCTTCGATAATATAAATAATAGTGCATGTATTTTGGATGGATCTTTATCGCAATGTTAGGTAGTCTTTCCATCCAAAATATACGCACTGCTGAATATCTCCATTTTTTGAAGAAAGAGATTAACAAATGTTGTTTAAAACATCATTAAGACTCCGCCTTATGGAATGTTGCGAGACTCATCTATGCAGCTTACCGGGAATGATCGATTTGAAGGTTTTGGAATAGATATTATTTTTGAGTTGTCTCAAATGTTGGGTTTCAAATACGAATTTCGTTTGCAAGAGGACAAAGATTATGGTTCAATAAATAAAGTGACAAAAGAATGGACAGGCATGATTCGGGCACTACGAGATGAAGTAAATTGAATTCTCACACTTATGATTCACAAATTTCTCAATTTCTTTTTTTTTTGCACACACAGGACGCTCACTTGGCCATAACCGATCTCACAATCACATCGCAACGTGAAAGTGGAGCAGACTTTACAATGCCGTATATATTGATTTTGTTGGAAATCATAATTGATCTCTAATCGTTTGTAAATTCTCTTGCAGGTTCATGAACTTGGGTAAAAATCTTCTGGCGTACCATTCTATTGTTGCAGCATAAATCCTTTGGTTTTTCTCTTTTAGGAATTTCAATCTTATATTTAAAACCAACAAAAGAACCTCCATCGACTTTTAGTTTCATGGCTCCATTTTCTAAATCCGTGAGCATCACATTCGATTCATCGTTGCCATTTTTCAACACTGTTATTGTGTTTTCGCTTTTCAGGTGTGGCTCTCTGTTTTTCTTGCTTATTTCACAGTTTCTCTTTGTCTTTTTGTTTTGGGGAGATTAAGTCCAGGAGGTAATGTCTCAGTATTGCTTCCGATTTTTCGTTATTTGAAGAGAAAATACTTAATATCTATTTTTCTTGATGTTTTTCTTCCAAAGAATGGGATAACCCTTACCCTTGTATTGAAGAACCAACACAACTTGAAAATCAATTCTCGTTCGTTAATTTGTTTAACTAAAAAAAAGTAGAATCGATTGGATTTATAAAAACTGTTGATTATCTTACAGATTTGCAAACAGTATGTGGTTTTGTATCGGTGCTCTCTTACAGCAGGGATCTGAAATCGCTCCAAAGTAAGTTCTACTTTACTACAGAAAAAAAAATGAATATAAAACAAAAAATGAGTCAATAAAATAATGTCTATAACATTGATAGAGCTCCCGCAACTCGTATCACCGCAGCCGTTTGGTGGTTTTTCACATTAATTATGGTTTCATCTTACACCGCAAATTTGGCCGCTTTTCTCACAATTGAAACGCCTTTTGAAAAAATTAAAACCGTAGATGATCTCAAAAATTGTGGCAACTCCGATGATGAATGTCCGGTTAAATTTGGAGCGAAGAAAGGTGATTTCTATAAAGGTTTACTCAACTGTTAAAAAAATGAATAAAATTTCTTAATTTAAAGGTGGTGCAACGTATAATTTTTTCAAAGACTCTGATCGTCCCACATATCGAAGCATGTATAAGTACATGGAAAGACATCCAGAATTGATGCCAAATGATAATCAGGTCGGTGTCGATATGGCCAGCGATGTTGCGAATGATTATGCCTTTCTAATGGAATCGTCATCGATTGAATATGTTATCGAGAGAAATTGTGATGTCACACAAATTGGAGGCTTGTTGGTATAAATCATTTTTTGAAAATAAAAACTTTCAAATTTAAATAAAAATTTTCTATAAATTGGAAAGGACGATAAAGGCTACGGAATTGCTATGAAGAAAGGTAAGCGAAGATGATTTATGAAGAGCATTGCATTGATTTTTTAAATCATTTTTCAGATTCCGAGTATCGAAATGCACTAAGTGAGGGCGTTCTACGATTGCAAGAGTCTGGCAAACTTGCGTCGCTAAAAATGAAGTGGTGGAAGGAAAAGAAAGGTGGCGGAGCATGCTCGGTAAATTTCTTCAACATTTTTCTCAAAAAACAGTGATTTATGTGGCCGAATCAAGTACAACTGGTGCTATTGCTTGACTAATTGACAATTGGATATGACTTTGACTTTTAAAAAATTGAAAACAGTATTTCAACAGAGTAAAACAATAGCACAGCCTACTCTCAAACAATTTAGCATAGATATTTTCTCAACTGATGAATGATTTTTTTTATTTTGCCTCAAAAAAAATCTATAAAATCTCTTATCGAAATGCAATCGCAAAAGGGCGAGTCAGACGAAGGTGCTGTGCCTTTACAGATGGCCAATGTTGTTGGCATTTTTTATGTCTTAAGCTTTGGTGTAATGTTCGGAATGTTTCTTGCATTTATCGCTGTTGTTCTAGATACGTGGAAAGTTTGTAGAGAGAACAAGGTTTGTCTGTGTTAATTCACTGCGAATGCACTTACTTTCAATTGAATTAAAATTTCACTACTTACTCCAACGATCCAGCATTTGAAATATCAAAGTCTTTCCCACTGCATTTCATGAGTTTTGACGATTTCCGTGCATATTTTCTACCCAAATATAGTAATAGTAATTAGGTTGTTCAAGTTTATCTTTCGTAACCGTCCATCTACCAATAGTGACCAATCATAGCACTTTTTTCCCAAAATTATCCCGTTAATACCATTAATTTATCGAAACATCAGGAAGGCAAAGCGAGTGATGCTCAACCGTTGAATATACAAAATGTTAATGGAGTTTTCATAGTTGTGTTCGTTGGTTGTGTGTTTTCAATCGTTGCTGGATACATTGATCTCTGCATAAATTGCTATAAGAATGCTAGAAAAGCCAAGGTACTTAACTGTTATCATCTCATTAACTGTTTGACACTTTATTCATTTTTAGGTTATGCAATTCTGTTTTTTACTTTAATTTTTTTCAATTTCGTTGAACCAAATTCAAAACACACTGTTATTCACTTTGCAGGTTCCATTCAAAGAAGAGTTTATCGCTGAAATGAAATTCATCTTGAAATTCGAAGGCAACACAAAGGTAGTACGTCATCGAAAAAGTGAGTCAATTGATTCACAGCATTCAATCACATCTTTTCAATCGAACGAATTGGAAATCGACCACTCGGCAAAGTCTGCTGGTTCGAAATGAGGAAACAATGACGCTGCCATTATTTTTTGATCAGTTATCAATTTCAGTATTTAAAAAAATTGATGATTTATTCACAATGTAAAACAAAATGAAAGAAAATGAAACTGAAAAAATATATGTTTTGGAACATTAGACATTTATTTTGATATTAGCCTATAAAATTGTTTGAATGTTTACAAAATCGTAATAAAACTAAAATATTTAACTATCTTACCGGATTTTTTAATCAATTTCAACGAATTAAAATCTGATAATTAATACTATTATAAAATGAGGACGGCGGTGAGTTTTTTCTGGTTTCAGTTATAAATTCTTTAGAAAAAGTTTACATGTGAAGTTAAATATCACCAGTGACCGGTTCGCGCATATTTCTATGCTTGCCTAAATACGCAAAAAAACATGCCATAGACGAAATATATACGAAATATACACGAAATATACAGTTATGCACATTTATTTGCGCGTATTACAGATGATTTTGCAATATAGTTCACTATTTAGAGTATAAATCGTATACATTTGAAGATAAAAGCCCCTAGGCCCGAACCGGTCACTGAATATCACAACATTTGGAAACATCCATGAGACGATTAAATTGTATTTGGTATATTTTGAACAAGATATTTTTGATGATGATTTACGAAATTTTTTTTTTGGCCAAATATGGTCATGTAAACAGTGGAAAGATATGTAATGAATAATATTAGTTGAAGTAAAAATTGCGCTGTTCAAAAAATTCGTCTTCTATATCAGGTAAATGTTCAGTCATAAACTTTTTTAGTTTTTCAACAGTTTGATTGTGATCCTTTGCCGCATTTATAACTGTGCGACCATTTTTCAATGGTTTTAACATCAGATCCTTCAAGGCATCTTCTTGGTTGGCCTGTACAAAGTTTAATATTTTAAAAATGATTTCATCGTAGCCGTGGCGAGCGGCTAGATGCAAGGCCGTTTCGTTTGAAACCGTTTCAATTTTAAGCAAAAATGCCTTAAGAATTCTTGGATATTTCTTGACGCTTTCCATCAACATCTCAACTATTTCAACTTGTTTACAGTCTACTGCTTTGTGTAAGGCAGTACATCCAGACTCATCATGAGCTAATACAAGCTTTTTGATAGTTTTTCGAAATTTTGGATCAATCTTTGTCAAATTCAAACCCAATATTCTTCGAACTTCTGAACATTCTCCATTATTGATTGCCTCATTCAACGAAGCTCTCATTCGTTCAATGTCATTAACATTTTTTTTGAGTTCATCTAATATTTGATTGTCAGTACTTTTTTTATTTGGAAAAACATTTACAAGTTTTTTTATAATTTCGGCAGGTTTTTGGCGAGCGTCTCCATATACTGATAATATTCCCAAATTCTCAATGTTTTCGTATGAAAATTCAGGAATTTTTTTTTTTCAACAACTTTCCACATTTTTTATTTAGAGTTTTGTTCGATTGAATGAGTGTTTGTAAAATAGTCGCTCCAAAATGGTCTGTTAAGAACATTATATCCATGAAATCATTCACGCTATCTTTTACACTATCTAGTATGCTGAAAGTCATATCTATATGACAAGATTGGATTGTATGATGTAAGCCCATGTTCCCTGTTGAGTAATACTTATTTTCGATGTTATAATCACAGGCACATATGAACTTTTTAAGAAAATCTCTTTCAAATTTCCCTCTCACCCAATCCAATAAAATCTTAACGAACTCTGCTTTTCCTAATTCTGTTGAAACGTATAAAACATTTGCACCTTTTTCAATTTTTTTTAACAATTCCTCTTTTAGATTTTCTTGATCTTCGGCATACAATAGATCCAATATAGATGTTGCCATTTCAATGTTATTTCCTTTCACTGCCTCCCGAAAAGATGATTCGCTTCCCATAAGTCCGTTATCAATTTGAAGGACTTTATTTTTAAAATTTCGAAGATGTCGATTGGCATCTATAATTTTCTTGGCTATGTCGTTGTAGTTATATCGAATGGAATCACGTAAGGCGGTGGAAAAGGCACCGTGTGTCACAAGACTTGCATGTAAATTCTTTTTTTCCTGGATGTAATTCAACACAAATTCAAATATTTCATTATGTCCCTCCTTCGCCATTTTCGTAAGTAGAGTTTTCATCTTTTTATCCTTTGTTTTTTCCTTAATAAGATTTAATTTAATATTTTCGCTATATTTCTCAAAGTCATCGTTCATAAATCGTCGAATAAAATCATATTCACGTTTCATTAAAATTTCACTAAGTAAGAGATTTTGAACTTTCACATCTTTCATATTTGCTTTCAAATAAAGTATAAAGAAGTATTCAGCAAAACTGCGATGAGTGAACTCGAGTTTTTCGTTTCGTAAAGCGATTAAACCCATTCGAATGAGCTTCGACTGGAATTCATCAATCTGTTTTACAGGTTTTTGTAATTTATCAAAATGATCCAAGCCTGGCAATGACCTTTTTTCGTATTTTTCGCGGAATAATTGCTTGACAGCTATTTCACTATGAATTTTACGTATATCATCTTTTTCAATATTGTGTGACTCTCTCACACCAACATTTTCTAAGCACTCTTTATAATATCTTTTGTAAAATAGATCAAACTGCATTTTTATGAATTTTTCATAAATATTCAATAAACTCATTTCTTCTATCTTAAGATTATTCGCCGATATAACTTCAGTCATCATTTTTAGATGCAATGGAACACGAGTGAAATACTTGTCTCGCACACACAATGATTTCTTCAATACTTGACCGGCATATACAGTGAATGACAATTTGTCGATCTCTTCTATAAGTTGGTCAATTTTATCAACATCGTTGATGGTATATTTTCGTCTGATTTTAGTAATATCATCTTTGAGTTTGTCGGGACAGTTTTCCAGCTGAATACTCCTTAAACATTCAATCATTTCTTCATAGGTTCTGTCACAAACATTGCCATCATTCATTTTGTTTTTCAAATGCCACTTGAAAAAATGATTTAAAAACTTTTTCTGTTCGTTTACATTAAAATGCCGTAATTGATAAGCGGAACACTTTAGATTTTTTTCCAAATATTCTTGCATATTTGTTCGAGTGGTGATCCATAACTGTGAAACATTGCTGTCCCCTAATCTTTCTATAAAACTTATTGTCTTTTTTAATCCAGGACTAATTTCGTCAAAACCATCAAACAAAATTGTTATTTTTGGTTTTTTACACTCTGTGCCATTGTCTTTTTCTAGACTCATGCGTAAGAGTTCACGTTGTATTTCTTTATCGGGATTATTATCGAAAAAGGCCATTTTTGATAAAAATTCAATAGCTTCATTGACATTAGGCTTTTTTGACTTTTCGACTTCAATATTGTGAAGGCTGTGCGGTTTTTGTTTTTCAATTGCAAAATCATTTAAATTGAATCGCAAAATCCAACCAGTTTCAGTTTTTTTAACCTTATTGGCCACACTAGTCAATACTGTTGACTTTCCCATTCCCGGTTCGTTTGCTACAATTATTAATTTTTCATTAGATCTAATTAATTCCAATTCGTTAACGTCTTTCGCTTTATTTTTTGAATTTTGTTGAAGGTAAAATTTTCTATCAATATAGTAATCTGTGACATAGCCAATAGAATTGAACGATTTCTCATTTCCAATTCGGATTTTTTCTCCATCCAAAAGTCTTAATAAATTGGCTTGGTCAATGACTTTGTCAGCCGTTTTTGTATCAATCAGTTCATTGAATCTTATCATTTCACCTTGATAAATGATTTCATTAGCTAAAACTTTTTCTTTTGAAGTTTCAATCAAGTCTTCAAATTTCGTCAAGTCTTCAAATTCATCGATTTCACATTGACATTTTTCATGAAACATTTTGGCCAATTGGTCATCATTTTTTGCAATTAGAATGATTTTTTTAAAAGAATTTCTTTGGATAATATCTGAAATTTCTTTAAATATTTTTTCTTTCATCGACTCATCATCGTTCGGTTCACATTCAATTACGCAGATGTTACATGACCGATGCCCAGAAAATGCATTCAAAATATATTTGCGCGTTTCCGTTGTTTTTGAAAGAGTCTTGAAGCGAATAAAAATAAAACCATCATCTTTTTCATATTTACTATTCATATGCCGAACTACTTTGATCGCTCCCAATCTTGTATACGAAGTGCAAAAATGCAAAACCTGTTTCTCATTAGAAATGAATCCAAGCAAAGTGTCATTCACTTTAAAGTGTATTCCATAAGCACAAAGTTCTTCCGTATAAGCTTTTTTCAAACCAGAAGCCATCAACACATTGATTTTTATTTTCAATTTATCGAAGAAATGATCGCCATCTTTCCATGAATAAAATCTAGATTTTTCATGAGACAAATCGGTGAATTTCTTTTTTTCGTAATCTTTGAGAAAATTTAGCATTTCCTGTTCAAACGAACTGGACACCAAATCGGCATCGAGAATATTAAAATCTGTACTCAAATCGCATTTTATGAGTTGACCCAACTCTTTTTCATTTGGATAATTGGTTATGAAACGGAATGCGTCCAAAAAATCACGAATAGATTTTTCAAGTGTAACATCGCATAGTGCTACGCGTATAATCGCCATTTCAGACAGCGAAATTTCAATTGTTTTATTCAAAATCTCTTTGACATCATCGAAATTGTCATTCTTTCGAATGTTGTCTAGAGAAGTTTTTGATATTCTGCTCGCCAACATTTCACCACTAACTTGATTTTTTATCCATTCCAAGTCTAGTGATTCCATGATGGAAATTTCTTCCCTTATTTTCTTTAAGGCACATTCATTTTCATCTAACTGTTGTGTTTCCATTTCAATCTCACTGAATTCTTGCGTATTCGGTTCGCTATATCTATTAAATTCATCGCCTAAATTGCCCATACTGTCTTCAGCTTTATTGATAATATCTTCAATTTTTTCAATAAAATTATCATAAAGTGGCTTTAAATTTGCTTTATCATCTTTTGATTGTCCTTTCGCCCCCTTCAAATTTTTAACGCAATCTGTTAAATTTTCTACATCTTGGGAATCTACAATATCTTTATCGGTTGACATTATTTTCATTGATTTTATAAATTCATTCGCTTTGTCCTGAATAACAGTTTTCCGGGGATTTGCTTTTTTCATTTCAGCGCCAATATTTTCGGAAGATTTTTTTGCAAGATCCATTTGATTTTTAAATTGAATTTTCTTCTTCATTTCAAATTTAGCCTTTATGGCAGAAAATGAATTTATTTCTTTACTTTTTAAGGCACTATTTAATAAAGTAAACTGAAAATGTTCGACTAAAAGCGGTTTTAACTTGTCATTGAATTTGAATTTCTTTGGCTTAAATGGTTCACAGACATGAAGTATTTCATCGTTATCTAAATCTTCTGATGGTTCATTTTCCGAGCATTCGATTTCCTCGAAATATTCTTTCCACTCCTTGATCAGCTCGTTATATTTCTTATTTTTTTCGTCAAAATCAAAGTCGGTGTTGGTAATAATGGTAAAATCTCTAAAAACAGAATCTTTAAATATCTGATTTTTTGTAATTTTAGAAAACGATACAAAATATTTCTGTAAGCTGAAATCATTATCATTTGATGTTGATAATAAATCATTAATTCTAATTTTTGATTTTGCAATATTCAATTTATGTTTGGCTTGTAAAAATCGCCAAATCCATTTGCCATCTGCTCCCTTATACTTAAAAACGACGTCATCGAATTTTTCAGCCGCATCCATTTCAGTTGCCAAACGAAAATCATAATGTTTCTTTACAGCACGTTGTACAAATAGTGCCAATAATTTGGATTGATAAATAGTACCATGTAAACTTCTTTTTACACCTGACGCTGGATAGGTGGGCGGAATATCTAGGGCTGGATCCGTTCTTGCTCTTTTGCATGTGAATCTATCAATTTCAGATGACTTCCGTTTTTCATCTCGAGGTTGTCGGCCGAACGTTTGAAAACTATCAACTGCAGTGGACGTACCAGCGACAACACCAGAGTCTAGAACAATATTCACACTATTACTTACATAGAGCCTCGAATTGGTTTGATTTAGTTGTAACTTACCTTGATCATTATCAATGGATTGGTTATGAAATGTGTTTAATCCCTGTTCTGTGTCTGAATCATACATTATGTTATCATTATCGTCAGATAAATTTGAACATGTAACGCCACTATGTATTCCAGAATCTCTTGTTGAGGTCGATGGCTGCTCATTGTCACTTGATTGAGTGGATGTAGATGTACATTCGTCCACATTCGGCTTTCTCTCTGAACCAAAGTATTTGGGAATCGATGTTTGACCGGGTAATATTTGAATTTTTGATTTACGTATTTTCGGTATTGATTTTGGAAGCAAGTTTTTTGGCTTTGTCCAGGGGTCAGGTTGTGCATTTTTTAATTTTGTTTTAATCGCTCTTAATATCTTGCACTTATTTGGTTGCTTATTTTTAAGCCGTTTATTAACCAAATTTAAAGGTGTCTTTTTTGAATCGTTACGAATGGTAACGTCTGCTCCCTTTTCGATGAGTAGTTGGACAATTGTCGGCGTTGGATTTCGTACAGCCAAGTGTAAAAAAGTATCACCGCTCTTATTTCGATAATTGATGTCAATTGTGTATGATGATAAAAAACTTTCAATTTCCTGTATCGATTTTTTAGATGAATTTTTTCGTATGAGATTCATTAATTCCTCATGCCGTCCATTATTTTCATCTTCAATATCACTTGAGTGACCGGTCGATTGAGAAGACGTAGAGCTTGGTTGGCTGTCCGACATTATAATTAATGATATATTTTCAATGATTTTATGATTACTTTTCTTTTATTATTTTCAATTTTTTATTTAAATGTTCAGTCTTTTTTAATTATCAGCAGAAAAAAGCACGTGGCCAACTAAATGACGAATAAAATCTGGTCTGGTACCGTTTTTTCATTTCTCCTCAATTTTTTTTTTTCGTGATCATTTAGCGTCAATGTCAACTACGAAATCCACTCAACGGTAAAATGTTGAACTTGCAATGGAGAAAAAATGGAGGAGAAGGGGCACGAAAATGGCAATACTACATATATGTTATTGTAATAGTATTCATGTATAAAAATGTTGAAAAAAAAAAAATAAAACAATTTGCTTTGCGATATCCTGTTTTTTTTGTTAGTCTTCATATATTTCTTCATTGATTGCTTTTTTTAATGTCCAACTATCAAATTCCACTTGAATCACAGAACTTCTCATTGGTTAAAATCACAAAAATTTATTCAAGTTCATATCCGAAATAGAGTTCGAAGATAAACGCGTTAAAAACGTATAAACATGCATATGCATGTTCAATCACTGAATGTGTAATGAACGAAAAGTCAAGGTCAGGCAGTCTTCTATTTCTTTCAGACTATTTTAACAGTTTTGTTTGTCGTTTACTTCTGAAATTACACTGAAATCAATATCAAAGATAAAAAAATGTAAACACTGAAAACTTATGATAGTTAGTAGTAAAACTGAAAACTTGTTCAGCACTCTACGGTGTATATGAGTCAACTGCTTAAAACGAAAAAGAAAAACAATGTATATGGTGATAAGTTGCAAATCGGAGACAGCATGCAAACACTTACAACAAGGCGTAATATATAATAAGTCAAGCGGGAAGAAAGAAAGCGTGCAGGGAAAATGGAGAAACCAATACATTCGTAAAACAATGGCTGTATTTAGTTACAAAACATATGTCTGCCGGGTTCTAACTGTCGTATTATGTTGACATTCCTATCGTTGCTTTTGTATCGTGCATTAATAATATATAATTTAGTGTGAACTATTATGTGACTCACAATCAAACAAATAGAATTAGTTGATTTGTGTCAATACACTATTTTTTAAAATGTATCACATATTTACAGGCTGTACTACACACGTAGTATTACTTACACATATATACAATATACATACATGCACACTAAATTTAAACTCATGTTAACTTGTGGTGATGACGTACGTCATATCGAAACGCTGTGTAAATTGAACATAAACTTGTCTGCGGTCAGGCGGTGAATATAGAAATAAATAAATAAAATATACATTCCTTTTGTTTATCAAACCTTTACTAGCGACATATGTGGTCTCTGTGGTTTTTAACGAATCCGCGATTTTTGTCATAATATTAAATTGGTGACAATATGAATGATGCAATCCCTTTGTAATTTATGAATTTCACAACAGATAGTCTCGCAGGATATATGCCGAACATCTGCCGAACATCATTCCGGATCTATAATGTACACGAAGTATTTTTTTTTTGCATGTGGTGTGATCAATAAAGTCAATTGTTCATTGATAGTGTATCGTACCTTTATCATAACACGCAACTGATATTGTAATTGACATTACTCCTGAATTCGTCATTTTTTATAAATGCAATCAGATTTGTAATTTCATGAACATCACTATCACCCTGCCCATGCTACTCGTGAATAACTCCAAAGAGATGAACGTGTATGAAAATGTGGCTGTTTGAATTGAGTCTTATGTGTGAAAATCATGAGTTATAAAATATTTGTCATTTTTTCAATACCATGGAAATCGTATTATGAAGTGATAGATTAGCATGATATTACATTTGAAGAGTAAATTTCAATGAAGAATTACAAAATAGTTTTCATCTTGAATGTTCAGCTGTCAATTGTCAAGCCTTTCACGGGATCTGCTCTGAATTTTGAATTTCAAGACCAGAAAAAGTACTCCCACGACCTAAATTCGTAGATTCGCTATGAAAAAGTGCATCGTATTTGAAGTTAGAATAGCCTCCCATAATGTTTTCAGTGTATTTTGCCCGAAAAAAACGCTTTGATCGAAAAGAAAATCATTTTTTCGCAAGAAAAAACTAAGAATGAATTGTATTAAAAATCAAACGGAAATTAATTTTAATGTTGAAATTCAGATGTTACACAAAATAAATCATTGTCTTGTGTTTCTTATTTGTATTCGCATAGTTGATGTTTTTCATTTGTAAGAACTGAAAAGTTCATTGCATTTCATTTAAAATTATAAATAGAATGTGTCAGAGACTAATTTAACTATTTTAACATGAGGTTGAGATTGAAAGTGCTGTGGAAATCTTTTCGTGTTTCATGACAACACCGAAATTGTCAAATTTTAAAATAGACTACTCAGATCGTTGTTCAGTACGTGCTTCGTGTATATTCCCCACTTCCTTTTTCATTTTCTTCATATGTCGACATGAGAATTTTCTTCCATTGGAAATTAGTCGGTATTCTGAGTTTGATGTAGAAAATGTTTTGTTCTATCGATTCCTTCTGAATTCTTTTTTTTTTAAATGAAAATAATAGTGTTTTCCGGTGCTTCGAAAATAAAAATAAAAACATTTCGCTTTGATGAATTTTTCACTTGGATTTATATTCGACTATAATTTAAAATGAATATTAACATTTATTTTTATTTAATATTAATAGTATTTCCAATTAAATATTGTTACGGCGGCGTATTTTTGATTGGTTAGTGATTATTTTATTGACTACAAACTCATATGAGTCCATTATTGAAACTAAATGGATTCAAGCGATTGCAATGTGATCACGTGGTGTGCGAAACTATTGATATAATTCACGATAAGCAAATATCGCAAAATGATGCCAATTTAAATAAAATTAATAGCAAACAAGGCATGAAGAACATAAAAAAGCAAGTCGTTTTTCATCTAGAACTCAGCGTTTAATTTGAGTGCTGCTTTTTTTTATTGAAGAGTGTGTGTGTTTTCTTTTATTTTTATATTCTCACTGTCGCTCTCGAAAGAGCATTAAAATTCCTCTTCACTCAAATATACAAGCGTGAAGTGAATGTTTACATTTTTCCGCTGTTTTTCTCGTCGACGTTTTTTTTCTTCAGTCATTTGTTTTGTGTGATTCATTTTCGTTGTTTGCGAAACGGGGTTTTTCACATTACGATGGCACATGTGTGCGCTGGCACAGTTTGCACACAGTCTGTGATCGTTTAAAATAAAACGCTAAATAATATGAAACATTTTCCTTCTCCGAATTGATGTTCATTATTTTTCTTGCAGGCGCTGCGTTTGATTATAACAATAGATTAAATACAGCAATATTGGAATATGCCGTTAAAAGGGCGAATAAAAATATTTTAAATGAAGCCGAAGTTTCTTTGAAAACCTTAACTGAACCGTTTGATTATGGCAATGAATTTGAAGCCGCCAGAAGCGTGTGCAGTTTATTTGAAGTAATAATTCACAATTTTACAAGATTTTTCGAGTTTAATGTGAAATATTGTCAAAATTTCAGTCTGGAAGCTATGCGATTATTGGACCAAAGTCGCTTGGATCGAAGTCACATATTGCAAACATTTGTGATGCAAAGGAAATCCCATACATTGACACATACATGGATGTCGAAGCAAAAACATCCACCATTAATTTGTATCCAAGTCATGAAACATTGTCACAGCTCTTAATTGAAGTCGTAAATAAATACGAGTGGAAAGATATTCTAATACTTTACGAGGCGCCATCGTATATAAAACGCATTTCACCATTTCTCGAAGATCGTAATAGAAAACCTGGCACCGTCACTGTACAACCAATCGAAGTTGGAGGTAGTTTTCAAAATATTTTGCAAAAGGTTAAAGATATGGGCAGCCGAAGTAGTAATATAATCATTGAAAGTTCCATTGAACATTTAAGTGAAATATTAGAACAGGTGTGCAATGCAAAAACACTGTCCAAAATAATTATCCTGTGTGGTCATACTAAATGTTCAATCTTTTTTCGGTTGGTTATAGGCATTGCAAGTTGGTTTATTTGGACCAGAGCGCAGTTTTATAATCACCAATTTAGATGCACAAACGATTGATTTGTCGAAATTCCAGTATACACAAGCAAATATAACGATATTTCGAATAATTGATAGAGATTTTCCAATTGAAGAATTTAAAGATATTGATGACTATTTGGAGTATGAAAGAGATAAATGTAAAATTATCAGACCATGTACGGACGCGGAATTTGAAGGTACTTATATACAATATAATGACCTCAGACACTTTTAAAAATACCATTTATTTCTTTCTTCAGAACTTTCCCCGCCATTTGTATTGCAAACTAATACAGCATTAATTTATGACGCAGTTATGATTTTGGCGGAAGCATTAAAACAAATCGGCTTCGAACATTTACAAATGAATGATAATCGAATTGATTGTAGTGATCCAGAATCAACCTGGAGCAAAGGATCCACAATCACAAATTATATGACAAGTGTAAATTAAACTAAAATCACACAAATGTATTACATACTGATCAGGATAAATATTTTCCACGTTTTTTTTAATTAAAATTTAATAGATTAACTATACAAAAACAACCCTGACAAGATCGGTGGTATTTGATAGAAAAAGACTTCGAAGCGATGTTGAAATCGATTTAATGTCACTAGATGGGAATGGACTCAATAAGATTGGCATATACAATCAAAATACTGCCAATCCAAATAGTACCAATCAATTAGTGTTTTTACCGAAACCAGTAAAGGCCACCGATCCGAATGAATATCGTCCAATCCGCGAAATGACATTTACAGTGTTGGTTGGTTTGGTAAATATTGACATACTTTCTCTCATTCTAAAATGTTATGTTCGAATGCGGAATTCGCCCCTATTCATCAGCCGATTATAAGGCACTGCCTATTTACACTCAATCGACGGATAATTGACATTTGAAATCCACACACAACTGTGGAAAGTTGTAATAGCCTTCTTTTACCACTTTCAGTTCATTTGTACTGACACTTGTAGTAAAAAAAAATATTTTCTCGCTTACCAACTGATTGCATCCGTTCTGCATTTTCTTACTCATTAAAAGCATTTTTTTTTTATTCAAAAAAATTATATCCAATTTTCAATTGAAAACTATTCCCTATTTAGACTGATCCATATATTATGTTGAAAGACACCTCTGTTGGTTTACAAGGGAATGAACGATATGAGGGCTTCGGAATTGATATTATTTATGAATTATCAAAAGAGTTTGGATTCAATTACGAACTTAAAGAGTTGCCTAAAGGTATATTATTCTGTGTAGTCTAAACTTTAATTTAATGATTATAAAAAAATATTTGTACATGTAGGAGAAGGCTACGGAGACTTCAATAACGCGACAGGAACATGGAAGTGAGTATACATACGTTTCGATAATAGTTTAGAAGTGGGAGTTTGACTAATTTTGATCATTTATTGCAGCGGAATGATAGGTGCATTAAGAAATGGAGTGAGTTAAGATTATAGAAGCTTTCATCTGTATATTGAACAGATTCAAGTATTAATTACTAAATTTTCTATATAGAGCGTAGATTTGGCCATCACAGATTTGACTATCAACAGTGAACGAATTACTGCAATAGACTTCACACCTTCAGTAAATAATTTTAATATTTAGAAAAATATCGCTAATAAATGTCATTTTTTCGTCTTATATTTTACTAAATATAGTTCATGAATCTAGGTAAAAAGAAATGAAAATGAATGGAAGAAAAAATCAAGGATAATCAATTTCTTCCATTATTGACTTTTTAGGTATAGCTCTCTTGTATCGAAAACCAATAAAAGAAGCTCCGGAGACGTTTTCTTTTATGTTACCGTTTTCAATGAGTGTTTGGGCGTTGCTTGGGGCTGCATACATAACCGTATCGTTGTGTTTCTTCTGTTTGGGTAGGATTTCAGCTTCGCAATGGGAGAATAGGTGGGTTAAATCTAATTTGAGAGAAAATCGTTTAATAATTCCTGTTCTCCATGTTGCTATAGATATCCATGCATTGAAGAACCAACCTATTTAGAAAATCAATTTACGCTCAACAATTCGTGTTGGTTTGCCGCTGGTGCTTTGCTTCAACAAGGTTCCGAAATTGAGCCCAAGTATGTTCAAGAGTAATCCATCTATAACTATGATTCTTGTTCATTCAATCGCCTTTTTTTTCCTCAGAGCTGCTTCGATACGGCTTGCTTCATCGTTTTGGTGGTTTTTCACATTGATCATGGTCGCCTCTTATACGGCAAATTTGGCAACATTTTTAGTTATTGAAAATAAAAAACCCGAAATCAATAGTGTTGAAGACTTAATGAAAAATGAGTCAGGTAAAATAACATTTGGTGCCAAAAAAAATGGAGCTACGTTGAATTTTTTCAAGGTAAATCATTAAATTTGAGTATTGATTGATTTTATTCGAGATAATAATAAATTGTGGTTTTTGTGTCGCAGTCATCTACTAATCAACAATATCAAGATATGTATAAATACATGGAAACAAATGAATATTTATTGACTGATGATAATGTGCAGGGTATTGCTCGTGTCTATAAAGGAGACGAACATTATGCATTCTTAATGGAATCATCGTCAATTTCATATGAAATCGAACGGAAATGTAATTTAACCCAAGTTGGCGATCCCATCGATGATAAGAATTACGGAATTGGAATGCGAAAACGTATAATATTTGTTGTTAAAAGACTCTTTTGATTTTCATTCATTTTTTTCTCCCGTAGATTTTCCATACCATCCGCAGTTGAGCGAAGGAATATTAAAATTACAGGAAAAGGGTAGATTGGCTGATCCATTCTTTCTATTATTTGTTTATTAATTTCCATTAAATCCATTCATTTCTATGTGATTCACTCTTTCAGGTAAATTGGCTGAGTTGCAAAAAAAATGGTGGAAAGAACGAAAAGGTGGTGGAGCATGTGCGGTGAGTTTTTTCATCTATTTTTTTCATTTTGATGTTGCCATTGTTTGTGGAAAATAATACGAACATTCGCGATGAAAAGGATGACATTGATGACGGACAGGCGGTGCCACTTGAAATGGCAAATGTTGCGGGTGTATTCTATGTCTTGATTGTTGGTACAATATTTGCAATATGCTACGGAATTTGTGGTTTAATTATGGAAATTCATATTCGTGCAAAAAGACATAAGGTTTGTGAGCAATTTCGCTTTCTGCTCCACCACCTGCAGAATCCTACTAAATATTACCCCTAACGCATCGCCGTTCTATTTTCCCTTTAGTTAAAATACATTTCTTCTTTAATATTATCCCGTTTCTGTGTAGTTATTCGAATTGTGTGAATCTTGAATTTGTTTTAGCAATGTTTGCCCTATTCCATTTTGAAAATTAATTCTCCGTAGAGCATTTAGTAGAAGATTTACCCAAACCTGTCCTTATTGCTTAAAAATGCGTTTCATTTTGTTTGGGGGAAAGTTCTTCATAAAGTTCTGTAATGGCCGCCGTACATTTTCCTGAATTGTAGATCGTTGATCGCCGATTTTGTTGTAGATTTCAGTGAATTTCAATTGGATGAGCAGTATCAGGAAAAAAAACTAAGCAACGCAAGAATCCCACAAGCGTTCACTGCATACGTTGAGTATGTTTGCATGTATGGTATTTGCATTCGGAATAGACTACAATACATGTAAATACACAGTCAATACTGATACTGAGCATCCCGTAGAAAATCACTGGTAGATTTAGTACATATTTTACAATGGACATTTATTTGAATTGTGTGTTATATGCATTAATGCAGAAAGATGAACAAAGCGAAGCAGCAGAGCTTAAATTTCAAAATTTGAGGGGTGTGTTTTGGGTTTTATTGGGTGGCAGTATATTTGCATTGTTTTACGGCTGCATAGAAGCTTTAGTCCATATTTACAAAAAAGCCAAAACCGAAAAGGTATGATTTTTATTTCCCTACCTTATTTGCTTGAACATGCTACTCACATTTATTCATTGAAACTTAATATCGCTTTGAATGTGATTTTTTAACTGGATAAGATCAAATTATTAATTTATTTATTTTATTTTTAATACCATATCAGATACCGTTTAAAGAAGAGTTGATTGCCGAATTGAAATTCTTAATGACGTGTCAAGGTGTAAAAGAAGTGCGCCATCGAAAAGGTTCCAAATCTCAATGTTCAGGCACTTCAAATCAGTCAAATCAATCACGCTACAGCGAAAATACCAATGGATCCAATGCATTGCTTAGATTGCGATAATTATCATTTGTTGTTAAAATAAATGTATAACAAAGAAAAAAAATAAACAATATTCTAAATAACTGATTTGCGCTGACAAATGTGGTTTCATTTCAAACAAATTGCAAGGTTAACCTTTTTATTGGGTGTACAAATAAGTTTCCGGACTTTGACAAGAAATAATAAATTTAATATTTTTTCACATCGGTGCATGTTACAGTAATTTTTTTTCACTTGAATCAAAGATGTATTATCCAGATCCATTACGTTCCATTCCGTTCCATTCCAATAGAAAATGTATGGTTTGGTGCAGAAAATCCAATGCTACGAAAAATCCAATTTTCTAATGTTCCAAAAAAAGTGAATTTTTTCACTTTTGCAAAATCATTGAAAATTGTTTAAAAAATAGACCGACAAACTAGACCCGCATTCCCCTTTTCGATTACCAGTCATTTCAATCGATACTATGCACCGATTTCAAACAGCACTACAATTTTTTTTTTTTTTGAAAAAGTCGAAAAATAGGTCGATCAGTGGAAATATTAGCCTGTACTTTGAATAAAATGTACGGTTGCTATTAAATATACGTTCATTTTTAACCAAAAGAAAATCCATAAACTTATTCATACACCCAATATTTCATCAGATGTCAAACATAAGAACGATTCAATTTATTTTCTTGCTTTTTCGTTTGATACATATTCTGGTTTATAAATGATTTCTTTTTTATTTTCAAAATGATTGGAAAGAAAAACATTTGAGTTAATTCATTTTGTATTGTATGTCAATTTCATTAACTCTAGTATTTGATTTAAAGATATTGTTTGTATTTGTTGTGAGACATCAACGTTCATCGTAAAGGTAATACCATAAAATTCATAATCGATTATACTATTGTGATCGATTGCTCGTCGTGGTGTTGTTATCGGGTGTTTCTCGTCGCATTTAAAAAAGAATTGATTTTCATAATAAAAAGTGGAAATGTCTTAAATCGTTTAAATAGTTTTATTTCTTTTTGTTTTTATCATCGTGTTTCAAGTGAAGATTGTTGTTGTTGGTTTTCATTCAAATATCGACGGCATGCTTGTTACAAACAAGTTGTTTGTGGTTCAGATTTTTTTCATCAGTTTCTTATATTCGGTAATAATTATCATTTGTTTTACTGTTGTTTGCAATTTGTAAATTTAATACATCTGGTGAATGCTTGGTATTTAAAGTTGTTGCATCCCGGGGGGTATGTTGTTTTGGTTGCGTTGGCGGAATTCTTTTTTAGTTCGATTTAATCAATGTATTGAGCCAACCAGCGGAAACCTTCACCATAACCTTGACGCTTCAATACCGAGCACATGTACAACTCTAGTGGGCGGCCTGGAAGTTCAGCTCGTGAGACGGTACCCTAATTTAGTGAAAGAAATAAAAGACTAGTTAATAAACATCTTGATTACGATACAGATTGTGATTTATTTTGAAACTAATTTTCAGCTCGATCGTTAGATAATGGTCAAAAGTGTGCAATGTATTTACCTTTCCGGTGGTTAGTTGATATAGGCCGAAGAAGTTACGGATTTCATCCTCGCTGCCTGCGCCTGGTTTATCGATTTTGTTGCCTAAGATAAGAACGGGACAGTTTGACAACGATTCATCCGTTAACAATGAATCCAATTCGTTTTTGCTTTCCTGGAAACGTGAACGATCCCAGGCATCTACCAAAAATACGATTGCATCAACAGCCGGGAAGTAATCCTTCCAAACACGACGGGCTTGTGTGTGACCTCCCAAGTCGAATGTTGTGAATCTCATATTACCAATCGACAATTCTTCCGAAGCTGATTTGAAAAGAAAAACACAAGAAATTTGTACATTAGTTGATTGATGAAGGGGGAAAAGGCAAAATTGGTGATTTAATTAATTCAATGATTGTTTAACTTACTTGGATGCAATGTGGGCACATGCTGTGCCAGTCTATCGTCTTTAAGCATATGTAATAATGTTGTTTTACCCGCATTATCTAGCCCCAAAAACAGCAATTTACCGGATTTTTTGTACAAGCCTAGATGGAGAGGAGAAAAACAACAACGAATTCAATAACATATTATACATTTTCAATTGCTTCTAATTCGATTTAATATTTGAGTTAAATCAACACTAATTAACGTAAATAATCGTAATTTCAAAGAAACACGTTCAATAATTGAATAAATATGTTGATTTTCGTATGTGATTTGCACGCATTAATTATCAAAGTCTTAAACACTCTTTTATCTACTGTAAATGATCGGAGCTACGTTGCATTTCGATAATGATCGTACGTGTTACGAAGATAAGACGTATTGTCATTGCTTTTCAGATTATGTGCAACAGCTGTTGAAAAGTCGACGTCACCTTGATTTAAATTTCGAACAAAATGCTACGAAATAACTTTGAAATCTCGATCTTCACTTTTCAAACTAGAAAACACCGAGCTGTTAATAGCTCAGCAAAAGTGTTACTATTTTTAATGAAAACAACGCAAAACACAAGCGTGCCCGTACAAAAGGATCACACGTAATCGGTATTAATAAAGAAAGAAAATAAATTTATGCAAAAATATATTTACCTAGGTAATTTAAAACGTTACTGAACCAATCCCAAAGAAACATGTTTTTATGTGGTGTATATATATATGTTTGTGTGAAAGGGTACAAAAAATTTATTTTAAAACAGTGAAACTACTGTGTTTTTATTTAAGTTCACTTGGGTAATTTGTTTGTATGTTAGAATCTGTAAAAGAAAAGAAGAAAGAACGAAATTATGGTTAAAGATAAACAGCAAACAAAACAAAGGCTCACACTACATCTAATTGAATGAGACACACAACGATCGAATGAAACAGTCGAACTCAATTGCAAAAACACATATACACAATCTAGCTATATAATTACTGTCTATTTTTCTATAGTCACTTTACTGGACAATGACAATTTTATTTATATAGATTAATTTTGCAAATCATAAAATGTCACGTCTGCGGCAATCGACTCTGATTCGCATTAAAGTCACCTATCTTGTGCGCCTTAAAAATTAAAAAGAGTTTACAAGAAATTGAGAAAAGAAACAACGCGAAAAACATACACAAAGAAATGCTAACAACAACATTGACAAATGACCAATGTCCACTTAACAATTCAATGGTTTTGTGCCGTTTGACAAGTTTTCATGACTCAGCTAATCATATGCAATCATTTATTTAATAACATTCAGCGCATTCATGTGAGTGCGGTATCATTCGGCGCGTTGGTGAGCGAGCGTGTTCATGTGTATGTGTGTGTGTGTGAACGAATGTATGCGTGTCTGTGGCCGTGCCAACGATGTGAGAGACAGACAATGAGTTCCACATTTACACATTAAATGATTTTTATGGGTTTTCAATTTTACTTTCGTCTTCCTTATCACAAACTTTAACCAATTTTAGTTGATAAAATATTATTGTTTACACAATGAAATGTAGAAAAAAATTTTCAGTTTCGACGCAACTATTTATTTATGGAATTTTAAATGCTTTGGAAAATTCAAACACGCATTGTTTTCAGATTCGTCCATAGATCGATGTGTACAAAATATCTAATTTATTTGCTATGAATATATTAAAAATCCCCGCTCCACGCTCACATTTCTATTGGGAAATTGAAATAATTTCATGGCAAACCAAATTGAACTTTGTGCACTCACACTGAATTATCACACAAATTTTTGTTCACATAAAAAACACAATATTTAGATAATTTCAATTGATTTCCAATTTACCGTTTTTCTTTAACACAATTTTAATATAGCTAATGCAGGTATACACCGTGAATTTTTCTTTATACAACAAAAATCTTTCGTGAGCGAATACGGAACAGAAAAACACTAGCAGCTTAAATGACTTTCGCTCAAAGAGAAGTTATATTGGCCAAGTTGTATGAGAGACGTCACCTAAATAAGGTTGGCAGTACGCACGTCATTTTTTTTATCGTAGTTCATATACGCCGTGGTTTCATTTTGGGCAACCATTTGTTCACGCTTACAGCGCTGTGTCTGATGTGGCAAAGCTCATTTGTGGAATTCGTTTTGAATAATAAATCTCATTATTTACTAATGTTTTTAATATTTTCCTCTTTTTTTTTCGCCTTAAAATGAAAATAAATTTGAAAAATATTTTTAATTATATTTATTTAATATTTTTACATTTTTTCTATAAATTGTGCAATAATGCCAGCTCACAAAGTAATAAAGACGTCAAGTCAAGCACAGTGTCTTGATGGAGGTGCCGCACATTATTTTAAAATCTTTCGTTTCACAGCAAGACTTTCATTCGAAGCAGGCATTTTTGTGTTGTACGAAAAGTGGTTGATCCAAAATAAATAAATTTACACTAATAAGTAATTTCACGTTTGGTTGACGTTAAAAAGTATAAAATAGAACTAAATTTTAAATTTTAATAATTTTTATTCTTTTTAAATAAAATATAAAATACACATAAATGCCATGTAAAGAGTGATTACAAAGTGAATGAAGAAGCAAATGGCACGGGCTGGTTGTGGAACAACGTAAATTGCATACACAAATGTATGTAGAAAACGAGCCATTGTCGTTACTCGAAACAGCCAAATTGCAAGCATTGGTTTTGGATCCGTTAACACATAAAACAGGCCAGCTGACAAAAACGGTAAGATATTCTCCATATCATTGCGATGAGCTCTGCGGATATTTCAATCAAATTAATACATATATTTGTTATGCATTTTGAAAATAAAAATACCTTCGAATACGTTCAACATCCTCATTTGGAGCACCCATTTCAGTCGCTCGCACAACAATCATGTCCTCTGGATTGGCAGCTGACTATGAAATAAAAATGTTTTTGAATTATAATTAATATTGATCTGATCGATGTATAAAAAATAGTCTCTTTTTGTAGTTTTCGTTCAAGGAAATAAGCAAATATGTTTCCCATTCGGTCGACATTCGAAATAAACATTGATTTAAAAAAACACTACGATGCATAGTTTTATTTTTGTTTACCTTTGTTCTGAACCGATGAAGACTAGTCAATGGTGCCATGAGAAGAAACTTTACGATCAAAATACTGCTCCACAGTAGAAATTCACTAAAGACAGGATTATCCTTATCCAGCAACTGATACGACAATTTCCCAGCACTCATTTTTTATTTCGAATAAAATTCAATTAGAAATCAAAATACCAACTGAAATGATGTGAACGCAATAACATTCAACTTATTACTGCTTTGCATCGCCAAATAGTTTTGTTTACTGCGCGGATAGTAGAGAAAAAAACTGTGATCAATGAGTCTCTATATGCATACAGGTTTTTAGTGAGAATTTGACCATATGACCTTGATTTTTTGCATTGTTTTAGTATCTTTACTTAACGTGACGTGAATGAATTATGAAAACCCGTTTTAATAAAAATAAGCATTGATGTTCACTATGAAGTTTAAAAAAAGTGCACTATGGACGAATATAAACTTAAAGATTCAATATTAAAATATCAAAATAATGTATACGTATTATTGTTCCTGTAAAACTTTCAAATGCGAACGTTACTTTAACGTTTCAAACACGTCATATAGAAGTAACTATTTAACTAAATCATTATATTGCAGAAAATAAAAATCGGTTTTGTCACTTTTGTTTTAAACTCTAACAATTTATTCCATCTACATTTTTTTAGTTAAATTTAAACACGATAATCAATTAAAAAATTGAACTTTAAAAGTTGTGTTTTGTCTCGTCAATTTTAAGGCAATTTATATAAATGAATCCCTGCAATTAACCTAGTTAACTACCAAACTTCACATTTCTTAACAGGGTTCATCGGAGCGCCCAGTTTGCAATTAAAATCATCGGCGAACTCTTGTCGATTACTTAATGGTCCGAGTACACGAAACGGTCCTGGACTATGTGGATCAGTTGCAATCTTCATTTTCAAGGTTTCTAAAAATCAAAATTGGAAAGTTAAAACCAGTGACCGGTTCGCGCATATTTCTATGCCTGATAGCTATGCTAAGCATAGCGGAGACGCAAGCCGCAACGCACCCGTCACCATTCGATTCGAGCTATATTGTATGCGCACGGTCGTCTGCATAAACGAACATGTGTATTGTTCATATAGAGTGAACGGCGATGCGTCGGTTGCGTTTGCGGCTATGCTTGGCATATCTATGCTACCTAGCGTATTTAGGCAAGCATAGAAATATGCGCGAACCGGTCACTGGTTAAAACTTCAAACAGAATAACATGAATAGAAATTGATATTAAATACCAAGTCTATATTTGCTGCAAAATGATTGAGCTGCAGAAATCCAGAACATTTGTTGTGGCGTATAATTTAAACCAGGTAATTTTGGTTCGTGTCCATTTTCTTTTTGCCATTTTTGATAGGCGCGATACGATTCTTTGAAACCTCCATTATCAGCAATATTCTCTCCTTGCGTGTTGATGCCATTCAACTGTTTGATTTCAGTTTTAAAAAATTGATAACAATAACGTTGTAGAAATATGTTGAAAAAGGGGAAAAGAATATCACTTACTTTCCAACCAGTCATAGGCTCAGTAAAGTTTCCATATTGCTCAATGATACATTTTGCTTTTTCCAAATAATGAGCCTTCGTTTCAGGTTGCCACCAATCAACTAAATTGCCATTGAGATCTACGAAAATATAAAGATAAAAAAAAATATAGATACTAAATTGATATTTTTGTTTGTAAATTACCAAATTGACTTCCTTTATCGTCAAAGCCGTGAGTGATTTCATGTCCAATGACCATACCAATTGCTCCAAAGTTCAAATATCGCGGACCTTTCATTTAAAAGAAAAATTATCAGGTGACATGCATTTTAGTGAAATATTTCGAAGGAACAGAAAAGGATCCAAAAATACATACGGTCGGGCGAGAAGAAATGACCTTGTAAAATTCCTGCCGGGAATTCTGTAAATATTTAATTTGACTAAAATCAATTTTTGTTTGCATATACTACTTCTATTCAATATATTGATAGGAGAGTATGTTATTCTGAGTAATGGCTTAATAAAATCATGTGTAAAACTCTTACGTATGCTATTTTCAGTTGGTTCGTAAAATGCATTAACAACGGCTGCATATGAATGCCGTCCAGTGACCCATTCGGTTTTGTTGACTGGTTTACGAAGTTTACTGAATGCATAATCAGTGCCGAAGATATTCTTATTCAAAAAGGACGACAGATAGTTGTTTTCATCGATTTCTAATTTTTTGTAGTATTTTTCAATTTCGGAATCGTCCATGAATTCATCTGGATAAGCGATATGCGAATACATTGTTCCTAATTTTTTGAGAGCTGATTCACGTGTTTCCTCATCCATCCACTCAACTTCGTTCAAAATGACTTCAAATTCTTTTTTGATTCCATTGACCATTTCCAGAGCGATGTCTCTGGATTCTTGTCGGAAGTGTTTTCGCACATACAATGCACCAACAGCTACTGGCAAACTAAACAAAGAAAAGAAACAATTTTCATGTCATTTAATTTCTGGTAAGAAATAATCTTCTACCTCTCTCTCGTAATATCAGTGCATTCTTTCCATCTTGCCGTTTGTTCTTGCACTCCACTGACAACTTTGTCGTAGAGTAATTTCCTATTCCGCAATTCGTTTGTGAGGTAGACTGTTGAATCGGCTGTAACGCGCCACATCATATAATTAGCAATTTGCCGTTTTGGGGCGTCTTGCAATAATTGGCTCAATTTTTCAAAATAAGAAGGCACAAGAATCACAATGATTTCATTTTCCTCGACTGACAACTCTGGCGGTAACAGCGCATTTATGTATTCAATCCATTGAACATATGGATATTTCTGCTGTAATTCACGCAATGTGTGCGGATTGTAGAGGGCTGTGTAGTTTCTTCGTTCTTCACTCGGCAGCGAAATCTATATGAGTTTTCAAATCAAGTTAAATTCATTTTTCCTCACACCTCGTTTACGGTAAAGGTATTTTCCTATTTCTTCTGTGTACAAGGACTTACATTGGCCAATTTCATTTCAAACTCAAGCGATTCTTTGAGTTCCCTTTCAGCAAGGCCACGGTCTGCACCATAAATAACAGCTGTGTCAACCATGTATTCGTAGTATGCCTTTACAACTTTATCCTCAAATCCTTTGATCAAATATTCTCGACGTAAACCTAAACCCGCTTGATCAATCTACGTAATACGGTGTTCATTGTGAGAAGTAAGTAAAGACTTAAATACTATCAAAGACTGAAAAATCCATAATAAAATGATACCACCTACGTTAATAATTCTCTTATTAGATAAGTCAAAAATATAATTGGTACTATAGCCAATTTTACGCAATTCTTTAACAGCCCAAGACCAGCTCCATTCTGTTTTCATATCCCATTGATCACCTTTGACGACCGGCCAACCGCCGAGTTTATCGGTGATGTCGCGTAATGGCTGCAATCCACGTTCTTCAATTAGTGTTTTGTTCATGCACGATCTGTACAATTTTTTTGCCAAATTGAATGGTGCCGAATCATTTGGATTGATTTCTTCGCTAATCAATGAATGTAACTGTTCCTGAAGTTTATCGGAAACTGCCGAGAATATGGTGATTAATCCTTTTTCTTCAGGAATGACAGTCTCCTTCACAAAACCGCCGCACGCGTAACTGAAGAAATCATCACACGGCTCAATTGTTTCATCCATCTGACTAAGAATACGTGACGCTTCATGGATACATGCAGGTGTTGAACAAACATCATAACTAAATGCATTGGCGGCTGCTGATAATGTTAGATAAGAAAGACAAAAGCGTATTTTCATTTCTATCTTGAAGAGATAAGGCACATTTTAAAAGTAACAAGCAGCTAAGACATGTAAACATGTCATTGACTTTGATCATAGGACAAGTATAGTTGTCAGACATTGAATGGCGCTGTATCTATCATATAAACATCGAACTAATGAAAATGTGTGGTGGTTCATGTCTTATTTAATATACAATAGTGGAAATTTATCCAATGCACAAACCATTTCTTCTAGTTCCTCTTACATTAGTGTAGGGGGATTCTTCTAAAGTTCAGAGAATGACGTTTGCATATAAATACATGTAAAAGACACTTTTAGGCTCGTCCTATGACTTTGATCCGAATCTTTCGATTAATCGTTCTCTTTATTGCACGTATTTTTATTAATCTTCAAAAATTTACCCTTTTCATTGATTTTTTTAGCAGCTTCACTGTCATCCGCTTGTAACTTAATGTTACTAAATGTCCTGTGAATTGAGTTGCATGAAATAGTTCCTTTGAAAATGAAACAAAATATGTCAAAACTTAATGGTAATTGTAAGAAGACTGAATATTTTATACCAATCCCGAAGAGGGCCACAATCACCAACAAGCTCAATTGCATTTCTATTTCCGAATATTATTTGCCTCAAATTTTCCCCGACTATCACATAAAGTTCAAGAGGAAATGTTCAAATGTGTATTTTTGTTCAATCTTATATAGATCTGATTAATTTTAAAATTAAACTCCATTTTTTAAAGAAATATTTCAAACTTTTCTCTTTGATTTTATAGAAAAATGTTGTCTCCGTATTTCGACTTACCTCAAAGTTGAAACAAAACTATCTAATGCCTGATTATTGAAAGCTTTCCCTTTTGGGTATAAAATGTACGAAAATACATATAGAAACGAAGATGAGATTCAAAGGAGCGATAATTTCGTATATTCAATTAAAAAAAATTATTTGTTCACGAAATTTATGTTCCAATTGGGCCAAGCGCTAGCACTGCTTATAATTATATAAGCTGATATGAATGTTGTTGATTACAATTGTGACCTATTAACTTTTGTATGGGAGTCATACTCATTTTTGATGCGATCATCTTGACATTTTTAGGAAGTTAAGTACTTTTTTAGTACAATTTCTATCAATCATAATAAAATCAGAAACATCAGTGAGTTTCATTTTTGTCAATCTAGATTAGAAAATTTCTATAGAATGTTAAAGCATAGGGCGCTTGTATGCCTGGTACAATTATTAAAAGTCAATCATAAAAATTTCAAAAATATCATTTTATTTTTGTCAGTTTACGGGAAAATTGAAATATCTCGAAATTTGAACTTCAATTATTATCCAAACGAGTATGGTACACACATGCGCACGGTTTTTTGATCAGAGGGGTCAAATTGACTTTGTTCTGGGGTGGGGAGGGGGTATTTATATGGAAAACTAAAATAACAATTTTGCATGAGAGAAACAAGGTAAAATGTGTGTTGGCGAGTGAAGCGAGCCGAAATTTTGCAAGTTTGACTTCAAAATCAGTGTATTGTTTATACATTTATATTGCAAATCTGAGAAAAAAATTCTCAGAGGGGGGTCAAACCGGTAAATCTCCTAAAAATTTACCCGGGGGTAAATTTTAAAAAATTTGCCTCAGGTGGGGGTCAAACCGGAAAACCCCCCCAGCGCACATGTGTGGTATGCTAGGGGGGAGACACAAACGATTAAACCATGATTCCAATATATAAACACTAATCCTACTATTCCACCAATCCGTCATTTCATTGTCCGATATGATGTCACATTTCGCCGCTATTCACTTTGTTGAAAACTTATTTATCGACATTGGAGTATGACATTTTGTTATTGATAATTCAAAATATTTTTATCATCAATCAAATTTTGAGAAAGTGTATCTATTGTTTTGTAAATTTGTAATCGACTTGTGAACTAAAAAATATTTCAAAAAAGAACAAATTACTATCTCAAAACAAGTTCAATGCTTTGATCAAATTCTGTACTATTCATTACAAAAACATTGAATCTAACCCATTTTCGCTATTCCATACATGGGATTAGTGAATCCATGTGAATCCAGCTACTGAATTCAATTCAATCGTCTATTCCACTTTAATTTCTCGAATTTTTACACTAAAAGTCTAATACTATTCCATGTGTCTACCCCCTAGGTGGTATGGTACAATTGTTACAATTGTTTAGACTTAGTCTCAAGTTTCGATTGTGACATGACCGGACATTTGAATACACATCAATTCGTCAATTAATATAAAATTCAATACACAACCCCATAAAAGTGCTAGTTAATATTGAATGACAAAAAAAACACCATAAAAATAATTCAATCGTTTCAATAGAGAAATGTAAGCACGGTTTCTTAATGGAGGTGCCGTACATTATTTGTTTCTCTTCGAAAACTTTCATACATTCGATTGATTTGAATGTAAATTACTGGTATTAACAACGAGAATATGTTTTAAATTTATTTTCATTCTTTTATTTAATCTTTGTTTGTAATTGTCTTCAGTTTAATTTTACATGTGCAATAAAATAATGTTCAAAAACAAAAATTACATCGCTCATGCTACTTAAAGTTTATTTGGCTATCGTTCTGCGGCGAAATATTTATAGATCCAAACTTACGATCTCTAATTAAATGTTGCTGTTTGCTTTCGCATAATTATGCTAGTAAAATAGTCAAATGTGAACATTTTCCCGTGTCGATCACACACTTCAAATTTAAGTGGCCGGGATTTAAATGTGTAATTAAACAAATTTTCTGGTGCTTATGTTTTAAAATGGATTTTATGATCGAATATTTGATCTAAATCGGTTTTCTATTGGCATACTTTGAAGTATCATTACGAAAATGTGGTGTGTGAAATGGATTTTGATTTATTTTATATCAATTAAAGTAGTGCGTGCACGAGTTCAAGTTTCAATCGGTGAGATATTCCCTTGTAAAATGAGTGATTACGCAACTTCGAAGAAAAAATTATGAAATAGTTTGGATTTTTTTGCTTTAATTTGTCCCAACATAAGAAATGAGTGTGCATTTATTCAATAGAAAAAAAGAATCAACCAATATAATCAATCTTAGGTGCAATTTTCGATATTGGAAATGACGAAGCAGAAATTGCATTTAAACATGCCGTGTTCCGTGAAAATATGTATGGAGCAAAATTCAATTTAGTTCCTATAATAAAAAACATCGATGCCACCAATACTTATGAGGCCGAACAAGCGGGTATGTTGAGCCAAAATTCTAATGCCCTAAACGAAGTGTTTTTCTTTCACATATATTGCTCTTTGCATTGTGTTTATTTAGATGTTTCTAATAATAGTTTTTGCTTAGGCATTTCCTTGAGCATTTCACGCATGAATTTGCATTAATCTGCATTCTTTTGGCACTCATCTAAATCTGTCTGATGGATTGAGTGATCGCTCTTTTCATTGGGCACGCAGCCAAAATAAACTAAGCGGTGATCATTTTCGTCAAAATTGACGCTTTCTGTGGCCAATGCAATTTTCGATTTCACTTAAACAATTGTAAAACTTTGTTAATTCTATATCTGTTTTGTCACTTTACGCTCGAAAGTATGTTCAATGTTATCGGAAGGTGTAGCTGCAATCTTTGAATCATCAAATGAGAAGTATAAACAGACCGGCATCGTGGCATCCATCGCAAATGAATTTGGTGTTCCGCATTTTATGGGCCATTGGACACCTGAGTTGCCTGTTTATAAACGGCCATTTCGTCAATTTACACGAAATTTCTTCCCAAGTCCAAGTGTTTTTTCTCGCGCCTTAGCCGATTTGATTGAGGATTACGATTGGAATTCATTTACAGTTATTTATGAAGATATTTATGGTTTGATGCGTGTACACGATATTCTTCAATATCATGATACCGGTAAAGGTCCAATTATGGTTCGTAAAATTGATGAAGGTGAAGATCATATGCCGATGTTAAAAGAAATCGCACAGTACGGTGAAACAAGAATTATCTTGGACTGTAGCATAGATAAGGTCATACCGATTTTAATGCAAGCCAAAAAGGTAAAACTGCTTGAAGAGTATCAAAATTATATCATTACTTCAATCGATGCACACATACTTGATTATTCAACGGTGGAAGGTAGTAGAGCGAACATTACAACTTTTCGAATTATCGATCCGGGCAGCGTTGATGCTGAAACGGCTGTGCATGATTGGAAACAGGATGCATCGAGGAGAAGGGAAGGTTCGAGCTTTTCAACCGATAAGATTAAAGTGAGTTGTCGAAGAATAAAATTCAAATTAAACGCAAGCACTTTTTCAAAATTTTCTTCCAAAAGACTGGTGCAGCACTTTTGCATGATGCGGTCAAAATATTTTCTGCGTCGCTGCGTGATTTTTCATTGAATGCTGATATTGAAGTTGCCGAATTGGACTGCACAAATCCAACAAAATGGGAACAGGGTGAACTGATTCTGAAACTTTTGGATCAGGTGTGTCCAAACAATAGCTGGAGAACTTTATTAGTATGACAATTTGTGATGTTTTTGCCTTTTAGAAAGAAGATGAAGGAATCACCAGTCGCATTACATTCAATGAGAAGTTAGAAAGAAATTTTTTTGTTCTGGAAATTATAGAATATTCCATTGCTGAAGGCAGAGATATGAAAAAAATTGCAACATGGGATCCCAAGCAAAAGATCAAAATGCTTCGAACAACGGAAGAAGTTATTGCACAGATCTCACAGACATTGCACAATAAAACGGTGATTGTGACAACCCGTCTTGGAATGCCTTACATGAGAATCAAGCAAGTATTTTTTTGGATTTTCCTATTCTTTCTTCTTTTCAATGGAAGTCCCATTTTTATTTTTTACATTGAAAAAGGCCCGAATATGAGGGAATTCCATGTGAGGGAAATCATTGTCTAGAAGGGTATGCGTACGATCTCATTGATTCAATCTCTAATATATTGGGTTTTAAGTATGAATTCCATTTGACCGAGGGCAATAAATACGGTGCTTACAACAAAGACACTAAAAAATGGGACGGACTGGTCAAAGATTTACTTGATCGCGTGAGTATCAATTTAACAAATTTGAAGTAATATTTAGCAAATCTAATGGATGTTACTTTTTAAAGAATGCTGACATGGCTATATGTGATTTAACTATTACGTATATGAGGCGATCTGCCGTGGATTTTACCTCACCTTTCATGACTGTGGTTGGCAGACTAAAAAGGTAATTTGGAGACAGAATGATCTGATAATTATACATTATTTTATAGGGGATTAGCATTTTATATGCAAAGCCTGAAGCTGAACCGCCGAATTTATATGCATTCATGGACCCCTTATCGCTTGAGGTTTGGCTATACATGGCTACAGCATATTTAATCATAACACATGCACTTTTGGTTTTATCAAGGCAAGTAAAATGTTATGGTTGTATCTATTTAAACAAAACAATATAACAGTCGATTATAAAGATTGAAATAATTACAGAATGGCAGCGGATGACTGGGAAAATCCACATCCATGTGATGAAAACCCAGAAGAATTGGAAAATATTTGGTCTATGCCCAATTGTATCTGGCTAACAGTTGGCTCTATTATGCAACAAGGATGTGACATTCTTCCAAAAGCCGCATCAACTCGAATTGCACTCAGTTTTTGGTTTTTCTTTGCTCTCATCATCATTTCGTCTTACACTGCCAATTTGGTTCGCATTTTTTTTTAAATAAAATCGGTTTAGAATAAATTTATTTATTTGATTCCACCATTTTTTACTTTGGTTCTAATAGGCCGCATTTTTAACGATGTCACGCATGGGAGTTTCAATCGAAAATGCTGAAGATCTGGCAAAACAAACAAAAATCAAATATGGAGCCGTAATTGGAGGCAGCACATTGCAATTTTTCAAAAACTCAAATTTTTCGACTTACCAAAAGTATACTGATTTTAAATAATATTCGACCGCATCCGTTCTCGCAGTTAAATGATTGTTTTATTCTGATCTAGAATGTGGTCTGCAATGGAATCGATGGACCCATCACCGTTCGTGGACAATAATAATGAAGGTAAACAACAAAGCAAAGAAAGAGTCAGAAACAACAATTTATGAACGACTACTTTTTGTCGAAAATAGGAATTGATCGTGTTTTAAAATCAAAAGGAGGATATGCTTTTCTCATGGAATCCAGTCAAATTGAATATTTTACACAACAAAATTGTAATTTGACTCAAGTTGGTGGACTCCTCGACAGTAAAGGTATGGATAGATCGTCTCATACACACTCCCCGACCTATAAATTGTACAATATCGCTTTTTAATTGCTTCAACTGTTTTTTCCTCCAATTTTAGGTTATGGAATCGCGTTACCCGTGAGTGAGTACCATCATCAATGTCATCTATAGTTAAGATAACAAAATGGGTTCCTTTTTTAGACTCTCCATATCGTACGCTCATCAGTCAAGCAGTATTGAAGATGCAAGAAAATGGAACATTACATCAACTCAAAGAAAAGTGGTGGATTACAAACAATCCAGGATCTGGAGAATGTGATGATGGTGGTGGCGGCGGTGGCGATACACCAGAAATGGGTTTGGATAATGTTGGTGGCATTTTCTTCGTTCTCGGTTTTGGACTATTTGTTGCAGTCTGCGTTTGTATCGTCGATTTTCTGTGGAACATTCGACAAATTTCAATTGATGAAAGGGTAATTTACGATGAACTTTTTCTATGAATCAAGTCAAAATACTACGTTCATTGAAATAACGTTGATTCAATTTTTAACTCTGGCAGATCACACCGTATGAAGCACTTATTCGCGAATTAAAATTCGTCATTGATATACGACAAACAACGAAACCAGTTGGCAAAGGTCTCGAAGAAGGATCTCAATCGTCTGGTTCAACTCGATCACTTAAATCGGATCGTTCGTTAAAATCAGCCACTTCCAAGGGCACGATGAAAACAGCCGGAAGTGAAAAACTCGATCGAGTTTAAATTTTCAAAGTGTTCACTTTCTGCCTATTTAAAAAGATTGATAGTTGAAACGCTTCTAAGTTTCTTATTTTTCTGAATAATACATATTCTCATTGTGAAAAAAGTAGCTTCTATTCATATGTAAATAAATCGAATAGTGAAATAAACAAGTGGTTAGAGAATGTTGATATATATCTTTCAACGTTGCTTTCGCATTTCGTTATATAAATACACTTAAATGGAAGCAAACACAAAAACATTCTCTCCTTCCAGAAAATTCGAACAACTTTCCAATAAGACGTGTGAGTTTTCTCCGTTGGAATAAGTGACTCAAGACTGCATTTATTTTCAGTGATCTCTGTCAGTCAGTAAATAATATCATACGCAGAAGGTTGTATTCCATTATACACAACATTTTTGCTCCTGAGAAAATGATGTAAAAATCCACCAAAAATGAGGTTTTCATTAATATTCGTGGTATTTCTTCTGCAAACTTTCAATTTTGTATCGTTGCAGCAGTATAAATACATCAACATTGGTAAGTTTTGGACACATTTCTTTAATCCCTTTAAAAAATGATACATATTACGCAGCTATTTGTAATTCTGGAAATTTTAGTAAAATTTCTATAAATTCAAAAGAAATGTTGGATTAATTGAATAATTTGAAATTATTTTGGAAATTGAGAATGAAATGCAGTGAAATAAATGAGATTTTCTCTAGAAGAACTCGATTTGAAATCAGAAGAGAGAGTGAAAAATATCGAGTGCGCAGAATCACAAACAGTGAAATAATGTCGTTACGAAGTGCTAAAAATTGTTTGGTGTGAAAGCATGTGACTCAGTCAGACTCAGTTTGACTCTGTGCGACTCTGAAGCCGACGCCATGTACTAAAAATAAACTACTGTGACTTTGTGTATTAAACAAACTCGTATGCACGTTTGTTTTCGTCGACGAAAACATCATGTTTTTTTTCCTCTTTGATTATGTGTATAAAACAACGTTTCGTGGGAGTCGTTGACGGGAAATTTCTTTGTGTCACAATCAAAACAACATTTACATGTTTAAAAATAAATTCTTGCTTTAAATTCTGCTTTTTATGAAAAAGGTGGCATTTTTCCGGAGAACAACGATGATCTGGTGAATGCTTTCAAAAATGCAGTTCAAATACTGAACACATTTAGTGACATGGTCAAATTACAACCAACTGTGACCGTGGTTGACACAAACGACAGTTTCAAAGTGCAAAAAGCCGGTTTGTACTATTTTTAAATAGAACAAAAAAATATTATTAAATTGTGTACTTCACCTTTATAGTTTGTGACATGGCTGACCAAAATGTTGCAGCAATTTTTGGTCCAAATTCTCTGAAGACTTCAGGTAAATTATGATAAATATTTCAACCTTTTTTGATTGTAAAAGTTTTTATTTCACTTTCAATTTCAGGTCTTGTGGCATCGATTTGTAAGAAACTTCGGATTCCACATTTCACAGCCAATTTTCAGCCAATTGAGATCGACAATTTTAACAGAACCGATTCCTATACTCGAAACTTATTTCCACATTCAAAGAAGTTTTCCGAAGCCATGATGGAAATTGTAAAAAGCTTGCGATGGATGACATTTGCGATCATTTACGATTCGGAAGGAAGTTTGGAAAAATTTCAAGATACATTCAATGACTTTGCAACATTGGATACTAGTGGCAAACCATCCATAGCCTTTTATAAGCTGCCCACCGATTCGGACGACTATAAGCCTTTGCTCAAATCTATATCAAAATCAGGCCACAATCGAATTATAATCGAATGCACAATGGAACACACTTATTCGATTCTAAAACAAAGTTCCAAAGTTAGAATGATGAGTGAATATGTGGTTAGTTTTATTGGAAACTTTAACTTTTACACAGACCATTCAAATGAGTCAAAATGTCTCTTTTCAGAGTTATTTTATTACGGGTATTGATGGATATACGCTTGATTTGACGCCATTGCCCGATGTGAGCGCAAACATCACAACAATTCGTTTCTTAAATCCAACGAATGCTGACATTTACGAATATGAAACCAAACCATATTTCGTGCGAAATCGCAATTACAAACCAATGTTCAATCCGTATTCAATGACAGTAAGTAAACTTTTGGCGAATGAAAGTGTATGAAAAAGGGCTATTTATTTGTGCAACTCATATTTCAGACAGAAACTGCTTTGATGCAAGACGCTGTGACGGTGTTCTCGAAAGCTTTTGGCGACAATAGAACATTTATCGAACAATTTAATATGAGTCCAACTTCTTGTTACGCCACTTACGATGAAAATCAATCCGACAATGACAGCGGCAGAGATATTCTCAACAAAGTCGATGAAGTATTGTGATTCATTTTTTTATGTTTCAAAATGAACAAACTGTGAATACACATGATTTTCAGAATACCGTTCGAGGATTAACCGAGGAAATTCGTTTCAATGAAGACGGACAACGAGATTTGTTTTATATTGAGGTGCTTCAACTATCTCGCAATGAGTCCGGTGACAATTATAATAACTTCAAGAAAGTTGCTGTTTACGACTCAAGATACGGAATATCATTGTTGCGTAATTTTTCAACTGTTGAAGAACAAACGACGTTATCGATGCAAGCCAAAGTATTTGACGTTATTATTCGCGATGGCATGCCATTTGTGCGGAAAAAGTAATTTAACAATCATATTCTGTTTCCTGCTTTTTGGTAACGGCTTTCAAATTGCCGTTGTGCCTTTAAGAATTTGATTTGGGTTTTAAAAATTGTGATATGTGCTATTATTCAATTTCAGAGAAGGTGTGACTTTGGGTCCAAATGTTACTGAAATCGATTTGTACGAAGGTTTTGCGATGGTAAGACATTCAAAATCATAAAGTAATTATTATTAAAGTAATTGTTTATTTGCCTAAATGCAGGATCTCATAAAAAACCTTGCAATTGAATGTAAATTTCGATACAGAGTTTCGGTTAGGGAAATTGAAAATGGTAAAATCGACGAAAACACCGGACAATGGACTGGAATCGTTAAGGTAATAATAATTGGTTTAATAAATTCAATTATTATGGATTAAGTTAGAAAAAAATATTATTTCGAAGATAATTTATAATATATTTTTTTAAATTTATATTAGGAAATTATTGACAAGAGAGCTGACTTGGCAATTGGAGATATAACCGTTACTCAAGCTCGCAAAAGTGTATTGGATTTTAGCACGCCATTCATGACACTGGGTAAAGAAAAAGACTACATCATTCAATGATTATGAGAATAGCTCTAATACGCTTTTACGTCACAGGTATCAGCATTTTATATGCAAAGCCATTCAAAGAAAAAGCCGGATATTTCGCGTTCATGGACCCTCTTTCGACGCATGTTTGGCTACATGTGGCTACAGCTTTTTTGTGTATTTCGATTATAGAATATCTACTGGCAAAGTGAGTTCTCTTTGCTATTTGTAATTATTTTTTACTATTTATTGTTTTTTTAATTATTCCATAGGATGGCCGCAAACGGTAAGATGTTGTATAAGTTGCGACATATTTCCCTACCTATATATATTGTGCAATTTATTTCTAGATTGGGAAAATCCACATCCATGTGATGAAAACCCCGAAGAATTGGAAAATATTTGGAACATGCATAATTGCATATGGCTGACTGTCGGTTCTATTATGCAACAAGGATGTGATATTCTTCCCAAGTATGACATATTTGCATTGACTTTTTTTGTTGTCATTACTCATTTATGGTAAATTTCAGGGGTGTTCCTACTCGATTGGCTGCTGCTGTTTGGTGGTTCTTTGCTCTCATCGTCATTTCTTCATATACGGCAAATCTTGCCGCTTTCTTGACCAAGGAACGAATGGAAGAAAGTATTAGTGGCGTTGAAGATCTTTCTGTACAAAATAAGATCCGATACGGATTACAAAGAGGTGGCAGCACAGAAGCATTTTTTAAGGTTTGTTTTCAAACCAAATTAACTGGTTTGCAAAATGATAGCAACTTTTAATATGTTCTTTATCGTCCAAAACATATTCATGAACAATATTTTATTTTAGAACTCAAATTTTTCCATGTATCAAAAAATGTGGTCGGTCATGGAAAAAGCTGATCCAAGCGTGTTTGTAAATAACAACGAAGAAGGTTTGATGCCAAATATCCAAAAAAAATGAGAAATAAATTGAGAATTGAATTTTGTAGGTGTTGAACGAGTTAAACGCGGTAATAGAAATTATGCATTCTTTATGGAATCAGCGCCGATCAAGTACGAAATTCATCGTGAATGTAATTTAACGCAAGTTGGAGGTTTATTGGATTCCAAGGTATTTGAATTCACTCACTGCGAAGTAGAGAAGATGAGCGAACAGAAAAAATTAAAATTAATCTTATTTACATTTTCGAAATTTTTTAAATTTACCACCCTTGAACAGGAATATAGTATTGGTATGCCGTTAAGTGAGTTTTTTTCACATTACTTTATTATTTTGATTATTATTTTTGGTATTTTATTGAATGTTCTTTTCTCAAGATTCTCCATATAGAACGCCAATTAGTAAGGCACTTTTGCGCCTACAAGAGTCGGGAAAGATTCAGGGTAAAATAATTAATAAGGGCTTACATTTTAGTTTATTAACCGATTTATGTTGGTTTTTTCATAGAATTAATCGATAATTGGTGGGAGAGTAAAGATGTTGATTGTGAAGCCGGCGACAAAGAACGAAGCGACACTCCTGAATTGGACATGGAGAATTTGGGTGGTGTATTTTTGGTTTTGGCTGTTGGCTTACTGTTGTCAATTTTCATTGGAATTCTCGAGTTCATTTGGTCTGTTCGGCGAACATCAATCGATGAAAGGGTAATGGGCTCCAAAGCAGTCTTCTATAGCTTTGATGAATTTTCATTTTGTTCTTTTCAGATAACACCCTATGAAGCCTTCAAAAAGGAGTTAAAGTTCGCAGTTTCTGTGTGGAAAGTTCGCAAACCAGTGGCACGTGTGTCAAGTGCTGGAAGTTCGGTTCGGTCAAGTATATCGAATGACATCCAAATGGATTCGATTCGAAATATTAAACGAACAGGATTGAATGGAATTAATTGAAATATTGGATGATTTTTAAAAATTAATCACATTCATATGACATTAACTCGTGAAGATTTTATCATCATTATTTTTTTTTATTTAAATGTTACTTAATTATATATTTTGCTCCGTTTTAAATAAAATATCGCTTCAAACGGAACGCTATCCAAAAGTGGCCAAAGATGTGTATTTTCAAGCTTCACGTTTTCACGCTAAATTTTTTACAGCTCTCAGTTTCTAAGTTTATTTTTGCACACTCACATTTTGATTGTAGAAATAGCGTATAAATAAATCAAATGAGAGACGAAACAGGTGGTTTTGCAATGTTGATATTTTGTATTACTGACTTCATCGTATTTATACGCGGTTAAGAGATACGACAACAAATGCACAGATGTTTCCGAGCATACTCTCCGTTCGTATTTTCGTTGTGATCCTGAAAATTCAAACATCTTTCCAATAAGACGTGCGTATGCTCTCCGTTGGAATAAGCGATTTAAAATTGAAGTTATTTTCAGTGATCACTGTCAGTCAGTTGCTGACATCAAACGGGTAAAGGCTGTGCTCCATTTTGCATAACACATTTTCATCGGCGAAAATAATTTGAAAATCGATCAGAAATGAGGTTTTCATTGATATTCGCAATAAGTGTTCTGCACATTTTTGAGATTGCATCAACGCAACAATATAAATACATTAATATAGGTAAGTTTATATGCGATTTTTTTTTCTATGAAGTGAAAAAGTGACACGTGTACGCTATTTGTATCTGAAACGTGGCCACAAATTTACGCATCTCAAAGTTAATTCGTAAAATGCAGTGTTTATAACTAAAAACTAAACCTGAAAATTCAGAAAAAATGGCATAAAATGATGAAAATTCTCATACGAAAAATCCAAATTTTAGCCAAACCAGTGACAAATGTATCAAGTGCGCAGAATCATCAAGTGTGAAGAAATATCATCGTTACTGCAAAATTTGGAATTCGACTTGAAAGCCGACACCATTTACTAAAAATAAACCTCTGTGACTTTGTGTATTTAATAAACTCGTGTCCGTTTTAGTCATTTTGCTAATTCATTATCTTTCAAAAAGAGTCACCAATGGGAAATACATTTGTGTCACAATCAAAACAACATTTTAAAATATACTATTCTTCTCTCTTTTCTCACTAGGCGGCATTTTCCCGAAAAACAACAATGAATTGGTGGAATCCTTCGAAAATATAGCTAAAACGAAAAATACATTTAGTGAGACGGTCAAATTGGAAACAATTATTAGCACTGTCGATATAAACGATAGTATTCAAGTGCAAAAGGCTGGTTTGTATTTTTGTTATTTATAGATAGTATGGCTGTGAAAGAATAGGAACTTTTGAGAATATTTTGTATGATTTATCACAATCAGCAGTATTCAAATATAAAAAAGGCTATTCATCTTGTATATATCATTTTTTTTATAGTTTGTGACATGGCTGACCAAAATGTTGCAGCAATTTTTGGTCCAAATTCTCTGAAGACTTCAGGTAAATTATGATAAATATTTCAACCTTTTTTGATTGTAAAAGTTTTTCTTTCACTTTCAATTTTAGGTCTTGTGGCATCGATTTGTAAGAAACTTCGGATTCCACATTTCACAGCCTTTTTTCAGCCAATTGAGATCGACAATTTTAACAGAACCAATTCCTATACTCGAAACTTATTTCCACATGCGAAGAAGTTTTCCGAAGCCATGATGGAAATTGTGAAAAGCTTGCGATGGACGAAATTTGCGATCATTTACGATTCGGAAGGAAGTTTGGAAAAATTTCAAGATACATTCAATGACATTGCAAGATTGGATACTACTGGTGATCCATCCATAGCCGTTTATAAATTGCCCACCGATTCGGACAACTATGAGCCTTTGCTCAAATCCATATCAAAATCAGGCCACAATCGAATTATAATCGAATGCACAATGGAACACACTTATTCCATTCTAAAACAAAGTTCCAAAGTTGGAATGATGAGTGAATATGTGGTTAGTTTTATTGGAAACTTTAACTTTTACACAGATCATTCAAATGAGTCAAAACGTCTCTTTTCAGAGTTATTTTATTACGGGTATTGATGGATATTTGCTTGATTTGATGCCATTGCCCGATGTGAGCGCAAACATCACAACAATTCGTTTCATAAATCCAACGAATGCTGACATTTACGAATATGAAATCAAACCATATTTCGTGCGAAATCGCAATTACAAACCAATGTTCAATCCGTATTCAATGACAGTAAGTAAACTATTGTTGAATGAAAAAGGGCTATTAATTTGAGCAACTCGTATTTCAGACAGAAACTGCTTTGATGCAAGACGCTGTGACGGTGTTCTCGGAGGCTTTTGGCGACAATAGAACATTTATCGAACAATTTAATATGAGTCCAACTTCTTGTTACGCCACTTACGATGAAAATCAATCCGACAATGACAGCGGCAGAGATATTCTCAACAAAGTCGATGAAGTATTGTGATTCATTTTTTTATGTTTCAAAATGAAAAAACTGTGAATGTGTTTTTCTGATTTTCAGAATACCGTTCGAGGATTAACCGAGGAAATTCATTTCAATGAAGACGGACAACGAGATTTGTTTTATATTGAGGTGCTTCAACTATCTCGCAATGAGTCCAGTGATAATTATAACAACTACAAAAATATTGCTGTTTACGACTCAAGAAATTATAATGTAACATTGTTGCGTAATTCTACAACTGTTGCTGAAGAAACAACGTTATCGATGGTAGGCAGAGAATTGAAAGTAATTATTCGCAATGAAGAGCCATTTGCTAGGAAAAGGTAATTCAATGAATAAGTTTTACCCTTCTCCTAGGGGGTTTTATGATTATACGTCTTACAAAATATACACAAATATTCACAATATACGCGTCTTATTCATCATATATGTGAATAGATCTGCACCAAATAATACGTATTTTATACTGATTGTCAGTACACTGTGTACACACACAGTGTAGCTTCACAGAATCGAAGAAAGACCGCACAAAAGAAAATGAAAAAATATGCCATGCACGAAATATATACGAGATAGATGCGAAATATACGTCAAATATTTCAATATTTACATTAAAAGTAGTACAAGTTTGAACATAAAATCCCCTAGCCCTTCTCTCTCTCGCATGATTGCTGCACTTGGCAGTACGCTTGTCGAATACACATGGTATAATAAAATTTTACCTTTTTCAGACAAGGTTTGATTCAGGCTGCAAATGCAAGTGACATCGATTTGTACGAAGGTTTTGCATTGGTAAAACACCTTCAGATTCATTTATTGTATTTATTTAATGTTCAAATGTTTCATCTTATTCATGTTTGTTCTTATTCAAAGGAGCTAATTAAAAACATTTCGGAGAAGTGTGGCTTTCGATACACAGTTTCGGTTGTGAACATGCCAAGTGGTAAAATCGAAAATAATGAATGGAATGGAATCGTTAGGGTAATAAATTGAAAAGGATGGGACTTTGTGAGTCAGTCACTTTTATATTGGTAGCACTTCACATATAAACAAATGGAAATAATGTCAGTGCCAACATAAAAATGAGAAAGTCCCATTCTCCTTTATTCATGAAAATAATTTAAGAAATTTAATTGTTATTTCGAAGATAATTCCATTAATTTATGATAAAGGGGTTGTCTACAGACGACATTATCTTAGAACTTACACTGAGACGAAGTACTAAATCACTATTTAAAATGTATTGATATTTAGTACAAGTTTTCGATTCTAAAATAATGCTGCTTGGACGGTGATTTTACACAGCTCTACTTTTTAAAAAAATGTTATATTAGGAAATTATTGAGAAGAGAGCTGACTTCGCAATTGGTGATATAACCGTTACTTCTGACCGCAAACACGTAATGGATTTTAGCCAGCCTTTCATGACGCTAGGCAAGAGCATAATTTTGATGCCTTGATTCAAGCATTATTATATGAAATTACTTTACCGTGTTTATTTTGTACATAGGTATCAGCATTTTGTACGCCAATCCAAATAAACAAGAACCTGGACCGTTTTCATTTATGGAACCATTATCAACAAACGTTTGGTTTACTGTGGCCACAGCTTTTCTGTGTATTTCGATTATAGAATATCTACTGGCAAAGTCAGTTTTTTTTTGTTATTTGTTCTTACCATTTTTTTAATTATTTATTGTTTTTTTTTTTTTTTTCATAGGATGGCCGCAAATGGTAAGATGTTTTAAGGTGCAACATGTTTTTCTACCAATTATACATACGGAGCAATTTTATTTCTTTAATTTTAGATTGGGAAAATCCACATCCATGTGATGAAAACCCCGAAGAATTGGAAAATATTTGGAACATGCATAATTGCATATGGCTGACTGTCGGTTCTATTATGCAACAAGGATGTGATATTCTTCCCAAAGGTGTGCCCACTCGCTTGGCTGTTGCCGTTTGGTGGTTCTTTGCTCTCATCGTCAGTTCTTCATATACGGCAAATCTAGCGGCTTTCTTGACCAAGGTACAAATGGAAGAGAGTATCAGTGGCGTTGAAGATCTTGCAAAACAAAGTAAGATCCAATATGGATTGGTAAGAGATGGAACCACAGAAGCATTTTTCAAGGTTTGTTTTCACAAAACTATAGCAACTTTTAAAATGTATAGATGAGAGAGCATCTCATCTCTTGCTCTCACTTACGGAAATTTCTGTAAGCAAGAGAAGGAGGTGGGATGCGACGTGCTGTTTTTGCCCTCAGCCTCTCAGACGTCCCATTAACATATCTTAATACTTACTTCTCACGAATGCTTTATTAACTATTAAGACCAATTATAATACGCGTATCAACATGAGTATTATTTATTAAGATCGATCATAATACGACGTATTACAATGAGTATCAATTATTATGGTACCGAAGTAAATACGTGCCATTTACAATCCTAATAAAATATTATCATAATAAAATTGTATTAACATATCGGGTTTGGCACATCTATATTAATATGTGCTTTATCCAAAACATATTCACGAAGAATTTTATTTTAGTACTCAGAATATCCCACCTATCAAAAAATGTGGTCGGTTATGGAAAAAGATCCAAGCGTGTTTGTAAAAAGCAATAAAGAAGGTTTGATGCAAAATATCCAATAAAAATGAGAAATAAATTGAGCATTGAATTTTGTAGGTGTTCAACGAGTTAAAAACGGTAATAAGAATTATGCATTCTTTATGGAATCAGCGCCAATCAAGTATGAAGTTCAACGAGATAAGGAACGTTTAGTGCAAATCGGAGATTTATTAGATTCCAAGGTATTTGAATTCACTTACTAATTCTAGTCGCTCTACTTCTTAACTTTTCCGTTTGATGACCATTTGCTTTCTGAGAGTTAATTCAATTAAATATACCCCCTCGTGGTCGTTTATATACGCGCTAAGAGACGATCATGTGTACGTTTGGCGCGAAATGCATTTTTGCATATGTGTTCATTGTTTGTCTCTCGGTGCGTTCAAATACGAAGTAGAGAAGATGAGCGAACAGTGAATCTAAAATCAAAATTAATCTTTCAATTTTCGAAATTTGTTGAAATTAATCACACACTACTTGGACAGGAATATAGTATTGGTATGCCGTTAAGTGAGTTTTCTAATGCATTACAATACTTTATTATTTTGATTATTTTTGCAATGTAATTGAATATTCTGTTCCCCAGATTCGCCATATAGAGATCCAATTAGTAGGGAAATTTTGCTCTTGAAAGAGTCGGGAAATATTGATGGTAAAATAATGTTATGGCTTGAATTTTATTTTATTAACCGATTTATGTTGGCTTTTTCCTAGCATTAATCGAAAAATGGTGGGAGAATAAAAAAGATGAAACGAACAAAGACAACAAAGAACCAAGCGACACTCCTGAATTGGACGTCAAGGAATTACGTGGCATATTTATGGTTTTGGGCGTTGGTTTACTGTTGTCAATTTTCGTTGGAATTCTCGAGTTCATTTGGTCCGTTCGGCGAACAGCAATCGATGAAAGGGTAGGGTGGCTCCAAAGCATTTTATTTTGGATATTTACTTGGATTACTTGGATGAATTTTCATTCTATTTTTTATATCAGATAACACCATATGAAGCCTTCAAAAAGGAGTTAAAGTTTGCAGTGTCTGTGTGGAAAGTTCGTAAACCAGTTGCACGTATGTCAAGTAGGTCAAGTACTGAAACTTTGACGCGTTCATATAAATCAAACGACGAGAATGACGAAGATGTCCCACTGAGTTCACTCAAAAGTGTCAAACAAAATGGGTTTAATTAAACTAAAATATTTGTTTTGTTTTCATTTTACTGCTGTAAAATCTGTATATTTTCTGTTTTTATAGACTAATAAAATTACGGTGACAGATTAGAACTATTTGTTTATTTTCATTCTATAGAAACCGATTTTTGTATGGCGCATGCGCGAAATGACGTGATTTTTTCGAAGATCGTTCCATTTTGGACATGTGTCGGTTGGAAAATGAGCGATCGTTTGAAAGAATAGTCAGTCGATCGTCAGCCGTTGAACTGGGAACAGAACTTTTGCTGTCTCATCTCCAATTAACCTCAATTCAATTTTTATCCGTACAAAATGACTTTTTGTACATTTCTAATAATTTTATCAATAATCAATTCTTCTGAAGCGCAAAAAATTATCAAATTTGGTGAGAATCACATTTATTTAAAGCGTTTCTGCGTAGAAAATTAAGAGAAAATGTGACCAAAAAAATATTTCATTCAAATTGTGGGTTCGGTCAAGTTCGTCTGTGTTTGCGATAAAAATAGAATCGTCGTTCGTTAGTTGTATTGCCGACTACTACTCACTATTCCGGGTTATAGAAAACATAATTTTTCTTTCGTGTGACATGAAAAGCGATTTTCGTTGTTTTCTTTTCACTTTGTTTTTGCTATGGTTATTTTGAAAGTTTGTTGCTATTTTAAAAAAAAAGCGACAGTTGTTTCTAAATAAAACGTGATGCGCACGTCAATGAACTACCCTGAATGATTCAGTCAATTTCCCTGATCTTATTTTTTTACTTTCCCTTTTTTTCCTTGATAAACAGGTGTATTTCTCAATGCGAACGATGTGGAGTCGTTGGAATTGTTTAACATTGCAATTTTGCGTCAAAATGCATTCAATACGCAATTTCGTTTGGAACCAATAATCAAAAAAATTGAATCAATTGACGGATTTCAGGCTGAACAAAAAGGTAATCATGAAATTTTGAAATCACAATCAATCATTTTGATTAATCTCGTTGATTGCATTGTAGTTTGTGAAATGGTTGAATCAGGTGCTGTTGCAATTATCGGTCCGAAATCATATGAAATTGCTGATGTAGTTGCGTCAATTTGTAATGAACTAAACATTCCACATCTTGTGAGCTATCATCGTACACCAGAAATCAATAAAAATCCATATCACATGTTTACGCGTAATATTCATCCAGATACAAAATTATTGGCAAAAGCACTAGTCGATACCATGCAAAATTATCAATGGACTCGATTTGCTATCATTTATGACAGTGACGAAGCTTTAATTCGTTTGAATGGCATTTTGGAAATGTTTACAATTGCTGCAAAATCAGTGACAGTGCATAAATTAACCGGCAAAGATATGATCAAACATATATTAAAGGACATCACAAAGGCAATGGAAAGTCATGTGATTATTGATTGCAGCATTGAAAATATCGCCGAAATATTCAAACAAGGATTAGACGTGAAAATGAACGAGCACATGGTATGAATGTTGGACTCAATGAAAGTCATGTACTTAGATTTTTATTTTATTTTAGTTTTTTTTCATTACGATGCCCGATGGTCATACAATAAATATACCTGAATTGGTTAATTATAATACATCCAACATAAGGGCCATACGATTGATGGCTTCAGAAGATGTTGAAGCAATGAATATCATTGACCAATGGAAGAAAACTAAAAAATATTTTAATGCCGAACAGTCAATTGCTGCAGAACAAGTATATGCACCAAATAAATTGAAAGTAAGTAATTTTAAGGCATTGAGTTTCATCATGATATGATTATGTTCGTGATATTTTCAGCTTGAGGCAGCTCTGATTAGAGACGCAATTACAGTTGTATACAGTGCATTGCAGGAGAGGAAATTATATCGAAAAATAAATGAGCCACCAACAAGATGTGATTTAATCGATCCTTATGGAGCTGCTCAAAATTGGCAATACGGTAGTGAACTTCTACAAAATATTGACGTATGTAGTGATCAATTAGTATTTTACATTCAATTAAACCGAAGTAATTTCGATTCCATCTCATTTTCGCAGAACAAAATTGCCATGGGAATAACGGGTCCAATAAGATTTGATCAATATTATAAAACGCGCGAAGATTTCTCTATGGACATCGTTGAGTATAGTCAATCGGAAAATAGCTTCAAAAGAGTAAATGGATGGAATGCAATTGAAGGACTGAAGGAACCTCGTAAAAATGAAGTGGTGAAACCAATAAAAATGGAAGGTCAACATTTTCGTGTTGTCACCGTCGAAGTTGAACCCTATTTGACTGTAAAGAAAGGCACTCATCAAGGAAATGAACGTTACGAAGGATTTGTTAAGGTATTACTTCTTCATCCTTCACCATGTTTGGCTGTCGTATTCATTGACGTTTTCTCTCATATAATCTTAAAGGATTTTATGGATGAAATTGCAAACACGAAAAAGTTTACATATGAACTGTATTTATCACCCGGAAACCAACATGGCAAACATAATCACATCACCGGCAGGTAAATCATGATAAATATTTCAACCTTCTACCGATTGTAAAACTATAATTGATCACTTTTTCTTTGGCGGACGCAGATGGGATGGAATCGTTGGTGAACTATTGCGCGGCGTGAGCATATTAACCAAGTTCAATAAGATTATTATGCCTATTAAGTCATAATTTCTTCTATTTGTTTTCAGAAAGCCCAATTCGCCATTTGCGATTTTACCATTACACACGAACGAATGACAGCCATAGATTTTTCTAGTCCTTTCATGTCGTTAGGTTTGACGCATATTTTTTCAATTGTTAATTTTTACATAACTCGCTTCTATTTCTCATTGTTTTTGTCCTTGTTCCCTTTCTCTTGCTCTCAGGTATAAGTATATTGTACTATAAGAAAGAAGACAAAGCACCTGGATTATTGAATTTTTTGCAGCCTCTCTCTACGAAAGTGTGGCTTTATACGTTAACAGCTCTTCTATGTGTATCGATTGCAGCCTACTTTCTGGCCAAGTATTTAAAAAATTGTCGAATATATCCTTGTTATCAAATGGATTCTCAATGGATAATATTCTTTTACAGGATAACAAGCGCTGACTGGTTGGCTCCTCATCCATGCGACGAAGATCCGGAAGAATTGGAAAATATTTGGAATATGCACAATTGTATATGGTTAACTGTGGGATCAATTATGCAGCAAGGATGTGATATCCTGCCAAAAGGAATTCCAAGCCGGTTAGCAACTGCGTCATGGTGGTTTTTTGCTTTGATTGTGACTTCTTCATATACTGCAAATATGGCGGCTTTCTTAACCAAACAACAAATGGAGGAAAGTTTTAAAAATGTTGCTGATTTGGCAAAAGAAACGAAGATTAAGTATGGTCTCATGTCAGGCGGAAGTACCGAGGAATTTTTCAAAGTAAGTAGATTTTTGCTATGACATTGTCGTTCTTTGCCGAAAACGGCATCCCAGTGCAACAGTAGTAATGACATTTACAGAACTAGCTTGAAAGTTGTTCAGTATCTTTGAGTAATAATCAACTTCAAAGCAAATATACGAAAACATAGCCCCAATCAATTCGTTCTCGTGTACAATATCCTGTTTCAGTCGGTTTTTATGTGTAAATGGGATAAATTGCATGCTTTAAAAGTTTTTTTTATTTAATAGTTGGTTCCATGCGGTTCCATGAGTGATATTGGATGGAGTTTATGAGTAGATTGTGTCACATAGTCTCATTGTTTATAATCGATCAACATTTATTGTATTTTCATAGGCGAATCGGAAGCGTTGAATCTTCTGTCTCCGTGTATTTTTTGGATGATCAAGTTATTTATCTCTAATTTGAATCAAAAATCAATTGTAATTTTAATTGAAGAGTATTTTGTTCTATCAAACACACATTTTAGTACCTATAAACAATGAGGTTATGTGACACTATCTAGTGAAATCCCCGGAAAACGGCGAAAAACAAAAACAGAGTATAATTAGTCATATTTTTCGCCCATTGATTCAAGAATTCAAATGATTCAATCTATCAGAAGATGTGGGCACGAATGGAGCACAACCCAGATGTATTTGTTGAAACCAACAATAAGGGAGTTCTGAGAGTGAAACAAAGTGAAGGTTCTTATGCTTTTCTGATGGAATCGGCGACCATTGACTATGAGGTACAAAGAGAGTGTGGAAAACTTATACGCGTTGGCGGTTTGCTAAATTCGGCACAATACGGAGTGGGTATGCCAAAATGTATGTACTGCACGACTTTATTCGATTTGCATTGAAATTTAAATAAAAAAATGTAATCTTTAAAAGCCAGCCCATTCCGCGACCATTTCAATGAGGCAATTTTGGATCTAAAGGAACGTCGTATAATTCACAATTTAAAAGAAAAATGGTGGAAAACACTAAACTATAAGGAACAAAATGGTGAAAAATTGAATTGCCCGATCGTGGAAGAGGCGAATGATTCAGATGACCCAGATCTTGACGTAGAACATATATTGGGCGTGTTTATCGTTCTAATGTCTGGCATTGGGATTGCGATTTTCGTTGGCATTTTGGAATTTCTGTGGAACGTTCGAAAAGTATCAGTTGCATTAAAGGTAATTTTATTTGAGGCGTTGAATTGATTTCAAAATGCTAATTAGTTTAATTGCAATCTTCTACGTGTGTGTAATATTCAATTTTTAGATCACACCATCCGAAGCGTTTCGTCAAGAATTGCTGTTTGCATGCAAAGTATGGTTGAGCCGAAAGCCGGTCTTGGAACAACAACAAGAATCGCAATCGTTATCATCGTTCGATTCATCAGGGAAAAAATAAAAAAAGATACAAATTCGAATAAAAATTATTATTTATTTTGCCCATTGCTAACTTGAAATGATACAATCCACTTGAATTAAAGATATTTTAACGCAATGCACTAACATACATGAAATGTGGCAAGCAACGCACCGTGCGCGCAATTAAATACATATAAAAAATCAACATGCGCGCTCAAACAATCCGAAATGACGAACATGAAATCAAGAATGCAAACGACATAATTGCCGGATGTAATGTAAAATTAACAACAAATAATAAATGTAAAACGGAATAAATTGATACAGATAGGCGCATAGTGCATAGTGTTTTTTTTTTATATATTTCGCTCAATTTTAAATGGAGAAACTTCATGTAGTGAATCGACAATGATGATTGTTTTTAATGGGCCTAGTAACGAAAAAGAGTGAAGGAGATATCCAAATATACTGACTGAAAAAGACTCACTTTTATCTATTGAAATCAAACGGATTTTGTATTGTATATACTCTTGTGCATGGTAATGCCTTTTGATAAAAATGCCCTGATAAGAATTATGAACCCCTTTTTTTAAACACAAATGAGAGAGTTATGAATACGGTGAAAAAAACGGCTTCTGTTGTCATATTAAGGACCATAACGTTTTTGCGTGATTTTAACCCCTTTTGTATCCAGTTGCAGATGCCATATCCTGTAATGCATTTGAAGTCAACAACACAAATGGATTTGAATTTGAATATATTTGGTCTCAGTCAAAAGATACATTTGAATAGGATTTTTTTTTTGGTTCACCACAAGCGAACATTTGTGAACGACGAAAATAAAATGACACTCAAGATTATAATTCATTTTCTGCGTTTCTGCTTATCTAAATGATTGTCGATTATACAAAAGAGAAACCAAGCGAAATGGATGGACTAATTATCGTTTTACATTTTTATATCATATTTTATGTCGTCTTTTTATTTCTCGCTGCAGTCGTGTAGGTGCAAAAATTGTTTATAATTTCTTTCTGCTCGTTTGTATTTTATCAACAAAATTCCGACAATCAACCTCATGACGAATGAAGAATTGATGCATTCACATTATTACGACTTAAAACAAAAGCAAAAATGCTGAAGAATGTATGTATATTTTGCATTTTTATTGCAATATTGTATGTTCTCATCATATATTCAGTCTATTTCAGTTAATTCGTTCTGCACCCGAAACTCTATTCATCATTACATTTTCTCCCATTTTAAATTGGCGATACAATTTTTTTTATTGTTTGATTCAAATAGCAATTATGCAATAATTTAATGGCCACACTGTAATACGAAATTAACACACATTCGACATTAAAAAAAATTGTACGATGTTTCGTTTAAACGCAATTATTTGCAGACGACGAGTTCATTTTTCAAATTTTCAACATCGACAACGCATCAAGATAGTGTTACTTTTGTACAGCACATTTATCAAAGACGGAAACACACACGTGAAACATAAAAAACACAATATTACATCTGTCAATTCAAATATGCAACATAGAATGATTTTATTGTTTCAGTTTCAACGAAAAATAAAACACATCAACTTTTGAGCGGACGAAAGAAAGGACATAAACGTACAGACAGACAATTATATGCGTGTTAAATGCAATTACGGAATGATGTGCGAGCGCGCGCGCGATTATTATTTCATTCATTGAATTCATATGTGTAGTTTTTGAAATGGCACTTGCGCTCGGCGTTATTTCAACAACCAAATTCTTCAAATGTACGTTCTATAACAATCAGTTTATGCAATCACAACCATTTTCTTAATTCGATGGATTTTGTTTTCCTTTCATTGTTAAAGCTGTCCATAGATCAATATCAGATTTGAGAATTCGGCGACCAGCGACGATAATGAACGGTTTCAGTCAAGTAATATTAAATTAACGATTCGGTATACTTTGAATGTCTCAAAATTCACTCTAACGAAGGACTAACATTGATGAAAACGTAAATGCAACGACGGTATGTGGTTTACGCAACATAATCTTTTAAAAAGGATAGAAAAACCACAAAAACAGTGTAGAAACATATAATGCAAACCAAATAAATTGGCATTCGGTGAAATGTTGAAGTGGAAAATAAGGGGGTTGAGAATAAAACGAAAGAGATTTTTGTTGAATTGTTGTTTACTGTTAACAATTTTATCGATGGTTTTAAAATTGCGAACAATGCGCTTGTTTTGGGTTCGAAAACAATGCACAATTGAGAAGAAAATGTGTCTACTTCTATTGTTTCGAAAATGTGAATCTTAGTGCAATGATAGAGATAGAGAGACAGGCGGGAGAGGAGAACAGAGTGGGCTGTATGTTTATTGAGAGCTAACCGCAGTCTGACACATTTCAAAGAGCGTGGCGCCATAGACATACATGCTATTTATCTATTGTTTTATCGCAACACCGACACCGATGCCGATGCTGTTGCTGTGTTTTTTCCTCTTCGTCTCATGTTTAACCATAAAATTGGCCAATTCAATGTTTGGTTCGGAAAATAGACACACGCAAAGCAAACGCGCTCGCGTACGGAAAATGGGTTGGACGATGTCATTGCTTATTGCATTCAAAGATTTATGACTGTAACGGTTACAGTGGTTTCTATTTTTATCGAATCCTTCGTGTTTGGCATGGAATTGAATTGGTTCTTTTGTTGGTCGTTGATTGAATAGCCTTTCCTTTGCATTTGCAAATAATAATAGATACCATTGTTGACGTTTGAATAAAAGAATGAATTAATCGATGTTCTCTACGAAAGAGAGAGAGAGCAAAAAAAACCATTATAGAGTCAATTAAAGAGGAGCAACTCCATTAGAGTACCAATTTTGGTAAAACCCATAAACTCATTTATAGTCGGGAATCGTAAAAAAAACCCATAGAAAATGGTTTTGAAAAGTCATGTAAAAATTGAAAAGCTGTACAAAACTTGTGCGATGTCCATTTTTCTATTGTCCGACCGATGCTTTGATTTGTCTAAAAACCAGCGCATTTGATTAAGTCAAAAACTATAATAGAAATCGATATAAAACAAACGACGCTATAAAAGCAAAGATCGATCGCACTTAAAATGGAGATTTTTATCTAACAATTCAATCATTTTTTTATTGAATTCATCTCGCTTCAAGTTGTTATAAGTGACTTAAGTCTGGTTTTTATTGGCCAAATCTATCGACGATCAGATATTTTATGCATTTTTCATTTCGCCTCTTATGTCTTCCGATTTCGAAACATTAACTCACTCATAAACAAATCCAAAACGATAAAATGGCCCGTTAAAAGATAACACCGAAAAATAAGGCAAAACGAGATCTAAATTAAATGCGACACCATTCGGATATAATTTTGATAGTTTGGTATTCGATGTGAGATAAGGTGACATTCCAATCGAAATTTCATTCAAATTGTCGAAAGAAGACCACAAAAAATACATGGTTTTGGTCAATGAAAGAATCTCTCTATTCGACCCAATGATGATAAGATAGAATGAGATAAAGTGCAAAACAAGTCTATTTTCGACTATTTCTTTTTCATTACTTTTTGTCAGTTCAAAGAGATAAGAGCAGAGAAATGGTTCCAATTGAAGAAAAAGAAAACAATTTAATTCACTTCCTTTTCCCTCTGAATTTTCGTTTTTGTTTTGATCGCACATTCTGAAAATAGTAAGAATTATTAAACTACCATACAAAGTCAAAGAAATGTTTAATGAAACTCTCCATTCTTGATTCAAAAGCAATGGTAATGACAATATATTTAAATTTATTTGCCTCCTATCTCAATTAATTATTTACATGTCGAAATATTAGCTTCGGATAACCCAAAACGGACTGTTTGTGGTTGAATGTTTTATAATATGGTTCTTTCACACTTGGCGCGAATGTTTTACGGTGCGCGCGCCTGATCGGAACAGCACCAAATGCAAAACACACGAAAGGAAAAACGAAAGACGACGTGAATTGATATCAAAACAGGAATGCGTTTGAATGTTGCGCCTTTCCATAAAGTCTTCAGGTACTTTTTGTTCTTTCTTCTTTTTTTTTTGGTTATTTAATTTATATTGCCATTTAGTCAAACAAAATGTTTTTAGTGTTAAAAGATTTAATTTCTCTTAATGAAATATTTAGATTTGTTTGTTGTGTTTTCGTTCGTTATTTAAGATTGTCTCGATTTTTTTTTTCAATATCGGAGCTCGGTGTGTTGGTAATCTTGGTGCATTTCACAACACTTTATTGGTAGATACAATACGATGGTCTCTTTTATTTTGTTTCTTTTGTGCCGATAAAAGCCGTAACTTGACTTTGACACACACGATGAACCCATATATCTCACAATCCTTGAAGCATTCTCGACTTCCCTCTCTCGCTCTGTATCTCTCGCATTTCGTGTGCATTTAGAATGGTCGAAATCCGAAAATGGATAGAGAATGAAAGAAACCATTAAATTGAGGAAATTTAAAAGTGATTTCATGTTAAAGTGCGCAAAGTATCGATGATATCGGATTAAATATTTGGTCACGTGGCCGGTTTCGTTTGAGTGTTGGTTCTTCTCTTTGAATAAAATAAAATAAAAATACAAAATTCAATGCACATTTTTCATTCATCGATTCAAGCGGTCCGAATGAATGAAGCACAAAATAAAGGTCGAACAAGCGAGCGGAATGCAATCGGTGTTTGAGATTTTTCGGTCAAATGGCTTTAAATCGATCGATCGTTTGCAACAAAATCATTAAGATTGATGTGGAGGAAATGAAATCAAGATTAACATCAAAACCAGAAACAAATGTTTATTTCTTACTTATTTCCGTAAAACTCTGACTCCGCTTCAATTTAAAAGAACACCAATTAAAACCATTGGTTAATGTTGAAATTACACCTTACCGTTACATCCAATTTTCCATGCAATGATTAAAGTAAAAATGAAGAACATCTGAACAAAATTATCGGCCCGCGCACACATTTATCAACTTTTATTGTCCTTTATTATATCATTTGTTCTATCTCTGTCTCTTTCTTAATTGTTGGTGTCGGAAAAATGTCGTTTGCAATCAACAATTATAATACAGAATGCAGGTGCACACTTTTCCAATTCGTATCAATCTATAAGCCGATAACAATTATTTTCTTGGCATTTTCAACCATAAACCGACCATTTATCGACTTTTATTTATTGGCATTCGTTGGCTTAAGCGCACACTTTATTGCCCACTTACCAATTTGAAATATACCGTAAATTATTATGATTTTCCTTTTCTCCTTCTCTAGTTCGCCCCGGCTCGCCCTGTATCTTACAAA